GCGTCGCGTAGTAAAGCCACCATGATGCGAAACTAACAACTGCGACCATGAAGGAGTGCAATCCATGATAACTTAAGCACCAATGCTCCCTACATCACTAGCAAAAATGAAGGGGATTCAAAGACCGGATTTCATTTCGCTGCCGAAAACGTGTTTATGGTTTCGCCAACACGGTGATTTGAGAAACGGTTTTCAGGACAGTGTTTGAACGATGCTGTGCTACGTTTGCGACGACCACCGAACCGTTTCTTTTTGGTTTGTTTTGTTTTGATCTTGCTTCAACACACACAGCAATTACATTTCGCAACAGAATCTGCTCATATTTTTGACATTGAATAAATCAATTGCATTCACCCAGTCCTTTCAAAAGCTTTTGAAACAACAATCAAATACATACCATGTTGTCTCTTCGATCCATCATCATGACCCTCTTTCTTTTGGCAATGCAGCCAATGGCGATGCCCTTGATGAGCGCGAACTACACATGTCCATCCATGAAGGTCTCCAGCTTGGCCGACGAAAACGTTCTTTCCACTGTTGACTTTGTTGGAACAACCTTGGAGATGGGATCAACCGTCTCCTCTTTCTCTCTTGTGGAGTTCATCCAATCGATCAACTACGAATCGATCAAAGCTTTTGCAGAAGTCTTCAACGTGAAATACGAGGCCCTTACTCAAGAATTGTCCCCTCCCATGATGTCTACCAAGTTCGAGCTCTTCAATGAGAAGTTCGAGGCATTCATCCAATCGATCAACTACGAATCGATCAAAGCTTTTGCAGAAGTCTTCAATATGAAATGTGAAGCCTTCGCCGAAGCATTTTTTGATGCCATGATTGCCAAGTTCGGGGTCTTCATTGAGAAGTTCGAAGCATTCATCCAATGGGTGGCTCTTGAGACCTCCGATACGATCTCTTCCGGCTACCAAGGGGTCTACAAGAAGCTGGAATCTTCTGCCACTCACCTGCTTGCTGCAGCTCCAGCTTGGCCCATCGGTAGCTTTGACCCTGAGTCCACTATCAGAGATGATTTTGACAGAGTGGAATCCTTCTTCAAGGGCCCATTAGTCTCAGCACCAGTTCCACCATTGCTATTCCTTGAGGACGCTCAATCGATTGCAATGAAGGTCTTGGATGCCATCTCTTTTGGTGCTACAACTCTTTCTCTCCTGAACCAGAAAAATTGGAGCTTCATATAAAGAGAGCTACTCATGTTCATCCACCTCTTCCGTTTGATCCTCCTGCAAACATCATCAAGGCCAACTCGATCGACTCTCCTGGGAGTTGGCTTGCAGGGGTACTGCTGCACCAAAACGTTGCAGTAGGCGGTCGCGAAAGTTAATGAGGACATATATATATATATATATATATATATATTATACAAATGAAAACTTGGGGGAAAGTGTAGAGGAAGATTTTCATGATGAAATGTGTGGGTTGATGGTTATTGGGTGCATACGATGTGCACAACAGATATGGAAGGAAGCACAGTGGGATGCTCAAAACACTACTAAATACTGTATGATGACACTCAAAAAGTCATTGGACCTTCAATAAAACAAACTTTGAATGGGGACACAAAATAAGTTCGAAGTCGAACTAAAAAATAACAATAATAATGATAAATAGCACTAGATGCAACATAAACCATTAGCCGCCAATCCTAGTCGTTAGTATTAGTCATTGCATTCATTTGCGAATGATCTTTTTGAGAACTACAATGTCATTTCGCATTCCAAAAGTCATACCTAACAGCATGTTCAATATACGGTACATGTGGAAATAAGGTATTACAGCAGTAGACCCAATTTGGGTCATGGTCATTGACAATAAAACTGGATTGATCGATTGATTCAGCCCAAGCTTTGCTTTTAGCCGAACGATCGACACAAATAAGAACGGTCCAACAATTCAAGGATACATCTCAGCACGCAGTGAGTCAAATGGTGACATTATGTGGAATCCCAAAATTCGAGACAGTCAAGATATGATATCAAGATCCTTCATTGTCCCTAATGCTGCTGTTGCTGTTGCTGTTGCTGTTGCTGTTGCTGTTGCGGTTGCTGTTGCGGTTGCTGTTGCTGTTGTGGTGGTTGCGCTTGATATAAAATTGCATTATTACTTTGCTTCTGAATTTACAGTATTTGTTTGGCCTTGTTCTTTTTTTCTCTCGCCGCTTGCTTTCGCAATTCTGCCATTTGAAACATGGATGGAATCGCTGGAATACATCCACATTTGCAAACAATGTCATGCTTCCTTGGAATGGATTGCAATTGTTCTTTGGTAAGTGGAGCTGCCACTGGTGTCACTTTGGACAATGCTGCTACTGGAATAGTGATAGCTGGTGGGGCAATGGTGGAAGCGCAATAATCCATTGGCTGACTGGAAGAAGAAGTAGTAGTATCTTCACCGCCATCGTTATCTGTTTTGTTTTGATTGGCACTTATGTCTGTTGTAGCGAGCCCCAAACTTGCTTCCATGTTTTGCAATAATATAGACTATATATTATACTATACAGACAACACAAATGGATGAATGAATGCTGTACGCAGTAGTATAACAGTGTGCTGGGATACCGGGTACTGTATTCGTACTGGTATGCCTGGGCCGAAATCAAATATCGCACAGTTTCTTTGATCAGGCAAGACGGTAGACGGACTGGCACGAGAAGATATCTGTCTTCACGCCAACAGTCATGTTGTCAGTCGCTTAAGCGAAGTAACGGTAATTATTGGACGAAATTTCGGGGACGATCGGCATGGCAAACGAAGGCGTGGCAGAAACATTCTTTTTGCCAAGTGCAAGATGAGACGATGAAGAGCTAAGGAACCATGATCTTCTGAAGCAATTCAGAATGATTATATCTTTTTTTCCCACCATCCCACCCGGTTCCTGATTTATCTCTTCTGCACCAAATGCTCGGTACCATTACGGTCCCAAATTTGTGTCACGACTGAGTCCATTGAGTCGAATCTTCGATTCCCGTTTCAAATCCGGTCCCTAATTCTAGTTACCAAGCTTACGATGCCAAACCCACACCTCTTACTTACGTACCGTATGGAGGACTGGCATAATCCCGTTTGGTACAATTCGTAGTATGCAATCATCCTAGGCCAATCACGCTAAACATCGAGTCATGAAGTGGAGGCGGCGCCTGGTAATCCGTAGGATTAGGTCCGTTTTCAATATATCTGTCCGTTTGCAGTGTTTCCGACAGAAGAATGAACGAATGAATCAATTGTGAGAGGGATGCAAATAGATGCCAACACTATCGTTATCGATGTGATTCCAAACGCGAAATCAATATTCATCAAAACTAAAATTACTAAACTATTGTTTTTCCTACTCTACATAGCTTCGTACTGACTGACCCAAAGTCCTCCGTCTGTTGTGGAGTCTCCGTCAGTCTCATTGACCAAAGCTCACCCTTTCAAAATTGTGTGTGTGTGTGTGTATGTGTATGTATATATATATATTTGGGCATGTTTCAGGGACTTGTATGTGTGTGTGTGTGTGTGTGTCCTGTTGTTCTACTGCACGATACTTTGTGTGTGTGTCGTCGTATTGCCCTCAAGACTTGATGGCTCGTACTACATAGTAGAGCAGATGCCTCCAAACGACGACGATTGGAATGAATGAATGAATGAATATCTCAATCCCATCAACCATCTTGATGGCATTGCATTTCCTTGCAATCATGGTCCAAAACAATAGAAAAACTTTTAGGCGGCAATGGTGGCTCTCATACCAATTTGTGCCAAGAGTTCATTTGGATGGCTGTAGACTTCCAAGGTACCCTCGAGTTGTAGTGATGGTATCTTCTTGCTGGCCGATTGCAGGGCTACTGACAAGGATCCTTGTTTGCTAGTCGAGACATGCGCATCGTCATCACCATCATCTTGTTGTTGACAGTCCGGCATGTCAATGACAACCTCCAAACCTTGAGGAAATCCATCCGTCTCGCAGTGTTGTTGCTGTTGTTGTTGTTGTGCGTCACCGCACAAGTTGCAACGAAAGGTCCAAGGTACCTCCTGGCCATTGATCTATTGTTGTTGTTTTTGTTGTGAGAAGGAAATAGGTGAGAACACTTGTGTACTTTTTGATCAAACACTCAATGACAAATTGCCATTTGCCACATCCTAGAGTAGACTTACCATAAAGGTTCCCTCGACATGTGCAAGGCTGTCATCACTCGATGTGTAGTCACCTTCCTCCATGTCAATATCATTTGACGAAAGAGTGTAATTCATGGAAATGACGTCTCCCCATTGATACTGACAGTCCGTATCTTGACAGTGTTTGCTGTCAAATTGAAACTCGATGGGAGCAATGCGAGCAATGTCATTGACGAGTTCGATGGACTTGGAAAACCAAACGCCAGAAGAAAACGATGGTGAACCTTGTCCTCGCAGATACTTTTGGGAGGATGCTTGCGAATCCCTGTTGTTGTTGTTGTTGTTGTTGTGGCAGTGATTGCGATGCATTCGTTCTAAAGAATGTCGAATGCTTCGAAACCATTCACGGGACAGTCCAGATACTGTGATATAAGTAGCGACTGATAGAATCAGCACTTTTGTGAGCGTAATCTTTTGAAGCTGAAGTTGCATTGTTTTGTTTTGTTTTGTCTTGTTTTGTTTAGGATGGTTTGCGTGAAAAAAGATTTGACAGGTGGTGATTTGATTCTTCTTTTTGTCTTTTCTGTAAGTATTTTGTTTTGTTTTGTATGGTGGAGCAGTTGGTGTGAAAGATACCTTTGCTAAGCGTGTTGTATTGTATTGTATTGTTTTGTGTTGTATTCTAATGCAATACTACTACTAGTGGTGATTGCAATGGAGGGAAAAATTGGTGTGGCAACAGGGATCTCGTTCAGATGTTTGTTGGCAGTGAGCATTTTGTTGCTTTTGACTGCCAGCACGGTCCCACAAAAGTCGACCGGCGCTCCAACTGGTGTTGGCCGGATGGCATTTTCGCGTTGGCAGTGTCTTGCCAAGATTGCAAGATCCAATGCACGATGGACCGCGCGATACGATTGAAAACTAAAGTATCTCCAGAAAGGGTGACGTCATCTCCTCCATTTCATCAAACGTCGTCAGCCATTTCTCATCCACGTGCGTCCAACAAGATGTGACGTTACGGATTTCTTCTGGAATTTCTCAACTTCACTACCCTTAAAGAATTAAGTTATGCATTTCTCCATTGAAAATATGAATCGTATCCTATGCATCATACGGAGGGGTGACCGGAAACCAGTCGACTTACGTCACAGAAGAAAAACTTCCAGACAATGAGAAGATGAGAAGTCGAGAAGACGAGAAGCATTCACAAAAGCACAAGTAACTCAACAATAGCGCACACACACACACACACACACACACACACACCTGATTCCTTTGTCGTCATCAGGTCTACAGGTCTACAGGTATCCTTATCTCAACCATCCACACACACAGCAGCATCAATCCTAGCTAGCGCTACTAGTGTCTCTTGACCTTTCCGAAAAATGCAATCCTCTCAACAATTCCTCATGGTTGTGGCTCGCAATAGCAGCATTAGCACCAGCATTAGCATTAGCGGCAGCAACGCTTCTAGACCCTTGGCATGTGCCCTGTTCTCCACCATGGATCTGTCACCCGCCATTGACACGACCATCAAGCCAAAGTACTTTGTCCCCCGTGCCGAACGGGGCGAACGTCCGGCCTTTCCCGTCGAACCGGGATCCAATGGACGTCTCAAAAAGATTGGACGTACCTGTCCCACGCGGGAATTGAATTACACGGCCGAGAACTGGCAAGCCCACAAGTCTCCCTACCGTCGGTTCCGACACGTCCTGGGGACTCTCAAATCGAGTCCCTTTCGTCGATTGGCCATGCCCGAACTGACCACGACTGCGACCATTGCGGCCTGTCTGGCCTATTACAATGAGATTATTGCCGTCGATCCTGCCTTGCATTTGCATTTGGACTCGGGGGCGATGGCGGGAGGAACCACTGCCATTGGTCTCTTGGCAGCCTTTCGTCTCAATGCCTCCTATGGACGCTACGACGAAGGCCGCAAGTTTTGGGGAGAAATCAACAATGCGGCCCGTGATTTGGGTGGCAATGCCTGCATGTGGATTTCCGACCAAGGTGAAACCCAACGCATGCTCAAACTCATCAAGGCCTTTCCCATTGTCACCCAGTGGCATTTGAACGAAAAGGGTGGCCACTTTCAAATGAAGCGCAAGGACCCTGATTTCAAGGAACAAAAGTTGGCCAACTACGTTGCCGAACTACGAGAAATTTACCAAAACGATCAAGATCAAGACTTTATTGACATTGTCAATACCTACGAAAAGGGTGGACATGTTCCACTCACTGTCTCGGCCGGTATGCGCCGCATCATTGCGGACAACCACAGCCCGGAATCTGCTCCCTACAACAAGGAAATGGACGAACAAGTCCGACGCATTGTCATGTGTCTTGGACAAGCGGAACGTGTGTTGAGAACTCCTCTCCCAACCTGCTTTACAAGACACACCTCTCGTCTCTTGTTCTTTTGGTCCAACCTTTTGCCCTTTACCATGTACGCGGCCTGTGGACCCATTGCCACCATTCCAGCATCGGTGGCAGTCTCCTACGCAATCATGGGAATTGCCGATGTCGGTGTCCAATTGGAAGAACCCTTTAACATTCTTCCTCTTCGCCAATATTCGGAAGGTATCTTTGATGGTATCAACGCCATTGAAGCTGGTTTCAACAATATGGATGGTGGTCGACCAGCAGCACCTGCCATTACTAGTTCTTAAGAAGAAGAAGAAGAAAGAGATGTTGTGATTGCAGCATCATTGGACCACGCGACATGCATGCATGCATGCATGCATTCAAATCAGCCAACCATCTACATACTCTTGCAGCAGCAGCAGCAGCAGAAACAGCAGTAAGTCTGCTATGCATTTTGTTTTACTAGTTCTTTTAAAAAAAATTGGATATGAAGGATTGATTGAATTCACATTCCATATCATATTCCTCCTACCACAGTACTACCCACTTTTTTCAATATGTGAGTATCATGATAATGATGCCATTACATATGCTATGATCGATCTCTTATTGAAGGGCTTGTAGTATGTGTGTGTGCAAACCGCTATTCCAAAATGAAGAAAAACTAACCGACCCTAATCGTTCAGCTGGTCGGGCTTTTCTTCTTACTCTTGCTACTAACAATAATACAAATATTAATAGCTATGTTCATTATAAAATACTTTTGGTATCCTTCATTGCTTTCTTGCTTCCTTCCGGAGTAGGTAGGCATATATTTTATTAAATAATAAGTAGTATTAATAAAAATAAAACATGTGGGAGAAGACGAGGAACAACGCGTACGTACGAGTTAAGTCCAACAAATCAAACACAACCTTTGCCACGTAAACGTGACGTGATGATAGTGGGAATTGATTGATTGAAATTAAACATCTTTCCGAATTCCGAACGGAACATTTATTGAGAACATCCGGCCAAGAGCATTCAAAAGTTTCTCAAATTCGGAAAGGCCGTGACATTACTTAATATCCTGATCGTAACCTGTCGGAACACTAACTATCGGACCAATTTTTCACTTAATGTTTGTTTCGAAAGGGGTGGAAGGTTCGGAATCCTTATTGTTCCCAACATTGATTCTAAACATCAGCATCTTCTCTACAATTAAGAAAAGATTAATGTTCTCACTGCGGTTCATATATTATAATGCGGATACTATGTAGGTTTGTACGTGGACCTACATGGTATGTAGATATAAATGTTCTCACGCTTTTCTCGTTTCGATCTTGACTGTCATACCCCCCGGTAGATATTGTACACACACACGTACGAGCGTTAGTCTCACAAACACAACTTTTTGGACCTCCATCTCACTCGCACAAAACACATCCACGATCGATTGTACCGGTGTTGTGTAGTAGCTCTAGTTTTTCAGTACACAGCTATAAACACATACACACACACACAATGATGATGATGATTCGAGAAGAAGGTCCATCCACACCATCCGAGAAGCGGGTTTCGTTCTCTCAAGACGTCCTCTTGTATGTAGACAACAAGTATAGCTTGAAACAAAGGCGCGACATGTTTTACACAGCAAAAGAGTTGAAAACCTTTGGCAACGAAGTCTACACTCAAATCCAGCTGGCCAGAGCCATTGGAGACCGAGTCGTCAAAAACTTGAACCGAGATTGCTGTTACCGTGGCCTCGAACTAGTCTCAGATGAAGCCTCTTCTTTGGGCAAAAAAAGACGGAAGCACATGGGCGAACTTGCTGTCTTTATGGAGCAAGATCGCCAATTCCTAGAAGACAGAAACGTTTGCCCCATCGATTTTGATGCCATGGCGCACCGATATGGGAACATTACCAAGGAGTCCAAGCAATTGGCTCGGGAACGGGGCATTCTATACCAGGAAATGGAAACGCAACAGGTTTCTTCCAGTGTTCTCGCTGCACCATCCTCCTCCACTTCCTCCAAGACTACAAAGTCCTCCAAGACGTCTGTTCCTCGAAAGCCAATCAGCGGTTGCCCGGTGGCTCCAAGGAGTCGGCACGCTGTTGGACCATCGGCTGCCTAATACCGGTATATATATATATATATGTTATATGTATGTATGCATACATACTACATACAGCAGCCATGGACCCTACTGTTATGATTAAATTTTCCGTTGCAACGAGTTTTGATACCTGCATCGTTTTTGAAAAAGATAAAAAGATAATACTAAATGAATGATAAAAAGCAACACGCTGATTATTAGATCTAGTACTTCTCTGCAAGTAGATTACGGCTTGTAAGAATAGTAGTAGACTGCATGCCGGTGAAAGGTGGAAGACAAAAACTGGTCCATTCTGTCTTGTTGTGACGCTAGCTAGGAGATAAAGTACCGGTAGGTATTAATACCTTCTAATTTTGTCTCGATACTGTATGGTAACCGATTTGGTTCCGGTATGTATAAAAACATACCTGGTTTCAAACACTGCCCTATTCTGTCTGTTTGCGACGCTGCTGTACCAATTTTGTCTCTCGATACGCTAACCGCCTTGATACCTCGAGGTGACGACGAGACTGTTGGATTCGCTACCCTGCGGTTCGAATCAATCGATCGAACATATATACCGGTACTGTAGGTATGTATTGATTCCTTGTTCTTTCACATAATCAAGAAGCAACGGAACAAGCATCGAAGAATGCAAAGAGAAGACGTTCCCATTGGGCACCATTCTGTACGTCCTGCAGGAGGTCAAAAATAACTTCTTTTGTAAAACAATTCATTCTGAAAGCGCGCTAACCGCTTTGATACCTGAAAAGGGGTACCAGGTACCGGACGACTGCTGCATTCGCTGCTACCCTGTGGATAGAACAAATCCTATCGTAGAACATCATATTTGTACGGTAGCATACCAGGTACCGGTACCTAATACTTTTATTTGATTCCTTGCTACTCTTCCACCAATCATCATCAGTGAAAAGTTCCCATACTAACTGCCTGGTTCTGCACCAAAGGCACAAATCATTACCTAGTTCCGGTAGATTCGCTCCCTTGTATTAATAGTAGTTACACTCTTCACCGAACATGAACAAATTGTTCTTCCAAAATGGTGTTGATTGACTGCCGATAAGAAGTTCTCATTGGATACCGCGCCCGATACTTTTATTTTAAAAAGGCGACGTTCGACGCAACCAAAACCAAATGTCAGTCAATGGATCGACGTGCTAAAGCTCGATTCACATTCCTACTCGTTTCTTGTGGGCAAAAGAATTTCACTCCGGTTGTTTCGAAAATGTCAAAAGGTGTTATAAATCTAACATTCGGTGGGTTCGTCAAAAAAACAGGCGGAAGGAATTTCAGTCTCACGAACGCTCAACTGATAAAACATGGAACTGTCACCGTTCTTTCTTTATTTATTGCGCCTGTTCTTTTTGCGGCAAGCGCGGTCATTTGTTGTGTCAGAAATCCAGTTTCACGATCGCGGATACCCGAACCACGTACCTTTTTTTGTTTCATTTCTGCAGAAGAAAATACTTGCGCTTGCATCACAATTAATTTCAAATCCAATTGCGGTTGGCAATCATTTTAACTGATATCGATCGTATCATCTACTCATTATTTTTATCATCATGGCAGAACAACAACACCAGCAAACACGTACTACTTTCAAGAAGTGCGTGTCGTTTTCTCAGGATGTCCTCATCAACCTTGACATGGAATGCGACATGAAACATCGTCAGAAGATGCATCGTTCGAAAGAAGAATTCAAAACCTTCCTAGAAGCTGTACGTGATGAGGCCTCTTGGGCACGGTCCCTTGGGGCAAAAGAATTGCAGCAAACCGACCATTTGCGGGGATTGGAAATGATGCTGGACAATGACGCCGTCATGGAACGAAATAAGCACAAGTTCCTCGGTCAGCTAGCCGTTTTCATGGAGCAAGATCGGCAGTTTCTCGAAGACGGTTCCATTACTCCCAAGGATTTCGATTCCATGGCACAACGCTACGGTGAAATCACCAAGCGCAGCAAAGAGCTTGCACGCAAACGAGCCATCTTGTACCAAGAGATGGAAAAGCGTGAAACCAAGGTGGACACACGAGTCCCTATGCCTACCGTCGCTTTGGCACCAAGGCCACGACGCTCGATGGGCCCGTCGGCTGCCTAATCAAATGTCTCTTTGAATATGTACATAATGCTATGAGATTGACATCATCCTTACATTTTCATATAATTTACGATACCAGATACAACAACAACAACGATAACTATTATAGCTTGATATACATACATACTCTTTCTTAGATTCAATATACATATGCCTACAATCAACCCTGTTTGGTACCGTGGTGATATCCGTCGTGATTGTTCTGCTACCTTATACCTACCATACACGTACACACGTACAGTAGGCATTGGACTCCAGGTTGGTCGACTGATCAAAAAGTTCCGTCATTTCTCAATGGCACAAAGCTCATTGAATCAATTGAAGAATTATTATGGCTACGCAAGTCTATCGGTAATGATGGGTGTACTCCAGATCTTGCGCATTCAGCGCCTTCGAGACTTATTGCGCTTGAGCTTTATCCGCCGAAGAAACAGACAAATAAAAGCAGCCACTCCAACCAATAAGGCATATAGCTGCATGCGAATCATTGCATCTTGTGTCAAATCACTCGACATCTCAATATTACTTGGATGTATTTCTGTAGGCAATGTCCTCAGTCCTCCATTCGATTGTGCTTCTGCTATTGACGATGACTTAGCCCCTGGCATTATTTTCAATGCCACACCTGGTTGGACATTGCGAAGTACATCTTCAATAGTCGTTCCATCACATCCGATTTGAGCCTGGAGCAGCTTCAGCAGGATAGTTGTGTTTGCAAACGAAGAGCGAGGAATCCCATTGGTGGCTAGAGCCGAACATGGCTGGAGCATGGTATCGCCATAATGTACTTTTAGATTCGGGTTTTGAAGAAACGACTTGTCCTCAAAGTAGCTGCAATCACGTTGTAAGAACATCCATTCCATTTCATCGAGCTGTTGTTGGGTGATTCCAGGATTACCAAACTTTTGATTCAGTAGGGCAGGATGTGGCATGCCATCGACCCATTCATTGTCGGTACTACACGGCACATCTTTCAGAACCCGGCAGGCGAAGACATGTGATACATCCAAATCCTTCTTGGAGATACCATCCATATCCAATATATGGATAGTAGCTCTATCGCCAAATTGTTCTATCAATGCACCTGCCAAACCTATTGGATTCGCCACGCAATTCAAATACTCCCACAACATATCCTGAGCATTATCACGGCATAGGTATTCTGAATAGGCTGGTGTCTTCTTTTCTCTGCGCGTCAGCTGTTTCCAAATGCTGATCCATTGATGACTTCTAGGGCGCCGATAATTCACCACTATATCAATTGAGTCAGGCTGAAGCAAGGTTATGAGCTTCTCAATTGCTGCAAGCCCATCCCTTCCAGACCATGGAGTCTTGCCAAATCGATCCAACTCCTCTGTCCCCAAGATGATTTGCTGTTTCTGATTGTCATTAGAATTCCAGACATTTAAAATGGTTTCATGAATTGTTTTTTCCCAACCAGGATCTTCATATTCTGTCACTAATGGAGCAAACCCTTTTCGTGGCTGATAGGATCGACGTCGAATAATAAATGGCCATGTCCAGTTGGCCAGGGATGGATGATGATTTTGAATCAACTTTCCACCAGTGCCATTGTGAGCAGAAGGGGCATGACGGAGGAAGAATTCTTGTATGCTGGAAGATGCTGATTTGTGTGGGCCAACAAATACCACCAATCGACTGTTTGCAGCATCTGAATCAACAGTCATACTTTTGAATATCTAGCATTCCATCGATTGAAGTTTCAGATTGATTGATTGATTGATTGATTGATTAATTTACCACCTCTTCATTCAAGTTCTCGTTATAATGATATTTGCATACCTTTTGAGCTTGTTGATGCTTATATACTTTGTCAATGGTATATAAAACTCTTCAGATGATGGGCCCAGGTTCTCAATGACTCTACGTTTCATCTCTTTTTTTTCTCGCGGTCATCATATTACATTATTGAACGGAGCGAAGAACTGACTTTGAACTTTTATCTTGGTGCTGGTCCGCGAACTACAGTACTGATGTAGATTTTATATATACCGGTATACTACAGTAGCGCGGTGCGGGTGTACGAGGCATCACGCGACTGCACAGTCGACATTTTCCAAACGCGGATATCATACCTACCGTATCGAAGTGCGATTGTAAAACATACTGTATATGTCAACGTTGACGGGACATAGGATAGAAAGATGCAACAAACATAACTAACCGAAGCTCAAAGAGAAGAATGCCAAAGAAGTATTCAATTGCACATGACGCTTCTGCTGCATGCTGCAACCTGTCAGAATCCAAAATGTCCGTCTGCCAGCCAATTGCCAAAAGATGAAGGGTCTCCTGAAACATGGTGCACATTGTGAACAAAAAGCGACTTTGGGCTCTCCTTCAAATTCAAGCACGCCAGTGCCAACAGTCCTCGTGCCCCGTACCCAACTGCAATGCCATTCGTGGTGAGCTACCTCAATTTTGCAGTTTTCTATTCTTCGCCCAAATAACTTCCAAGCCATATTTCTCATTATCAGTCTGTAGTAAATAAATAAGAGTAAAAGAGGCAGCTATGATAAAGACAGTAGATAAACAAAACTAGGACACCATTATCGAGTTTCCGACACCACCACAAAACTGCCATTTTGCTTCGTCCCCCAGATGAGGCATGTTTCGCCTCTTCTTTGCAATTTTTATACATCATTCGATGAATGGAGCTTATTTGAGCAGCATAACCGTCGTGAGATAATACTAATACCCGGCAGCAAGGATAAACCGGCAGTCCCATCATTTATGAAACATGAGCCTGACTTAAACCGTACATGTAGCGCGGCTGTAATCGTATTTGATATCTTTTGAGCTTGTTGATGTGTATGCCTTGTCTATGATACCGGTATGTAAAACTCTTCAGATTAGGGGCCCAGACTTGATACTGTAACTCTCTTTTTCGCTTATCTTTCGGTCATTCCATCATTGACGAAAGTTTAAGGGGGAGGGGACGGTACTTCGATTTATTACGTATCATACAGTATCACCCAAAGGAACGTACAGGTCACTCATGACTGATGACTCGGGACCCAAAGCATAGCCATGATACATGATCATGAACACAACAAAATGCGCGAGGGAGGATTTGCAACTTAAGCGAGGATCTGCAAACTGACTCGCTCACACACTGGGAAAAGGTGCTTTGATCTCTCCGATATCTGATTTCAGGTGTTAGGAATCGTGCTGTGTCCCCCAGATATCTGTAAGAAGGACACTGATTGCAGGTATAAGGTACTAGTAGTACATTATGTTCCGTGACTACAATCTCAAGAGCAGGATGCTAATTGCATGGATTAGATATTATGAAGTACAGTGTTGGGTGTCTAATGTTCAGTATTGTTAACAGGCTGAGTTCTTCCTCGAGTCAGGTAGGACGCGGTAGTTTCTCTCGTATGGTAAGGGAGAAAGGGTACACACGGTTACGCAGGCGCAGGCCATTCTCCTTTGGATACCAATCGTCCAAGGTTCATTCCGATTTGTACGTATTTCATTTCTTGTGGCTCAATCCGACCAGGTCGGCCAAACTGTCCCATGAAAGGAAATATCCCTATTTCGTCTATTCTTTGTGCTTTCTTTTCTTGTTTTGGTTCTTGTTGCTGATTACTTGGATGTGGCGGTGTATTAGGTAAGAAGGACGACGGATTTTGAAGCCGTTTGGACTCCACTTTCTCGTCTCGAGAAGCTTTTCGCGTCACTCCACCTGACAAGAGCTTGCTGTTCTTTCCTTTGATCTTTGTTCGTCTCATCTCCTTGCAAATGATAGGGTTACCTTTCACAAAGAGCGCGTGAGTGTATCCTCCTTTGTTAGGACTTGATTCCACAATGCGTTCAAAATCCCACAGATTCAGCTGTCGGATGAACGATTTGTACTGCGTCTGTTTGAAGAACTTTGGCATTACCTGTGTGACAAAGGCTTCCTTTTTGTGAACCTTAAAGGCGTTAGTATTTGTTCCAGGCAGCCAGGAAACAATGGACTGATAGCCTTCTCGTTCGGACCATGCCAGCATTTCATGAAGTTTCAGTGGAAACTGAGCGGTCTGACTGCTCGACGAAGGTTCCTGGTCAGAGTCAGAATTGAGCATCAGAAAGCTATCTCTTCTGTCGAACTCCTTGGACCCATTGAATGCCGTGGAGTCTAAAAGTTGGGGTTCAGTCATAAAGTCTGATTGCATGCCTTGCTTTAGCATCATCGCGGCAATCAAGACAGTTTGGAGTTTGGGAAAATTATGGAAAGATCGTGATTGTGTGAGCCTCACGAGCTCACAAGAGCCAACGACATCTTCATGTCAACACGGGAGCTTGACCGAGCGCGAGAGCTTGACCGATTGTCGAAGTGAGATCATCATCCGCTTTGCTGTTAAATCTCTTTTTAAGGAACAGACATTTTGGGTTGTACTCTTCATCGGTCTGATCGAAGTCGGATTAACTAACGGATGTGCGTAACTGTTAAATTCCTAAAACAGCGGGAGCATATTCCGCGACTCATGTTCCGACAAGAAGAAAAGCCATGCGATGCCCTAATTAAGGGACCCGATGTGACCTTGCGATTGAGGAGTTACAAAGATCCGTCAAGATCCAGCCTAAATTCTTTTGAAGGGGGTCTGTACTTATTGGTAACGGATTACCGTTAAAGTATTTATTGAAATCGGACAAAAACGTCAGTTTTTCCTCGCTTGTTAAGTGGCATTTTCTTGCTTGCGGTCGAAATAGCACTTCAACCGGTGCACGCAACCAACCAACTGACCTTTAATTAAAATGCGGCAGGCACGAATGAAGCGCTACAAATTACCGGAACTTTCTACGTGAACAGTCTAAAAAAGGTACATGATTCGTCAAACTTCTGCAGTGGGCGATTCATTCCATGAGTTCAATAAGGACATTTTGCGCAAACCGAGAAGTTATTCGTTCTTGGGTCTTGGTACGATTATGCCTCTTCCGGTGACACCTATGCCCTCGGGTTCAAAAAGGCTTGGGTATATCCGCAACCATAGGCCTGGGCGTTGCGACCTTTAGAAAAGGGGTCTTATAGGACCATGTTCAAGCGCTTTTCTAAAATACTACAAGCTAATAGAAGTGGGTCCCTTATTTATTAGAAGTGGGTCCCTTATTTGATGTTCTCATGGAACAGAGCGGATGGACGTTTCGTGCACTCTTCGGTTGGCGTATTTTCTTGCGGCTTGGTCAAGTAAGGATGTGATGGTATGTTGAGTGTACCTGGCTGGCACAGGTATCGTATCTTTCGAGTGCACCGATACAAGTAACGGTATCATCGTAATAATGTAATATTATGCCTTGACGGACTACTACAATGCCTAATAATGGGGTGTCTGCCTAATAATGGGGTGTCTTTTTTCAAATGTATCTATCATAATGTGGACTATTTACGGTGAAACATATAGCTTGCTTCCTATTACCGTAGGAAGCTCATGTGCATGTGTGCTCTACTATCACATGTGGTGGGGACATTGACGATGGGGAAAGAGCTCCTCGTTTTCAAGTTACAGGACCATTCCTGGTACAGTTGACACTACATTTCTCCATCTCCAAACATGTCTTCAAACGAAGCGTCATCATCGGCATACAGTGTAGTCCGTTGTACCTTGGAGGCAGTTTCTTCCTCCTCGTCTGCTGCTTCTTTTGTAGTTCCCAACAATTCATTCGCACCATCTTGCATCAGCTTCATAAACCCATACGAGTCCTTGACGCTCGCACTTGTCGCCGTCCGGTCGGCACAAGTTCGTTCCTCCATGGACATTCCAAAGAAGGGGTCCCCCAAGGTACTCACGTCATCAGCATTCTTGTCCACCATAATTTCGGCATCGAGACGTCCACCAAGAGCTCCACCTTCTCTGTCGGACATTTTAGCAGTGGGTATTTGTCCCTTTTGCGAGTCTCCATCCCCACTTCCTTTATTGTTGGCCTTGTACCATATTCCCAAAATGGCAACCGCAAAGAGTGTTGCACCTACACCAATGCCAACCAAGGCACCCGTACTCAAACCTCCAGGTTCATTTCCGGGTACTGTTGCTGGCTTGTTGATATTCCCATTCCCATCGACCAGATCCACCAATGTAATGGTATTGAGAATTGGATCGTTTGAGGCTACCAACAAAAGTCGATAGTTTTCTCGTCTTCCCGCTGTTCCAAATGCCGATGACACCAAGGAGGGTGCATTGACCGAGGACGTCGATCGAATCTTCAAAATGGTATTGAATTCCACTTGGAGTTTGGTAATGGCCTCATCCTCTTGATTGGTAGCAGGCTGGTCTTGTTGCAATCGTCGCACTCCTTGACCATCGTCAAGTTGTTCTTGGACCAAGTTTTGACTGGAGAGTCCCACCGTGACTTCTTCCACAGCAGTATCCCGTAGCAAATCTTGAATGATGGTGGCCAAGTAGTCGGCCGTGACGGACTGAAAGTCTGCCGTGGCATTGAAATTTAGATTTTGCACAGGCCCTTCCAAGCTCAATTTGGTCGTGGCAAAAAAGGACTCGAGTGGCAGGGTCGGACGAGACGTGGGAAACTTGGTAGGACTAGTGGTGGGATCGGGTTCCATCGTGGGCTGTAAGGTCTCATCGGGAGCCGTGGGAGGCGAGGTCGAAGGAACTGGCGTAATCTCAGCCGATGGCACAAAGGAATCTGTTATAGTAGGCTCGAGCGTGTCCATGCGGGTTGGTGATGGTGTTGGAGCTAGACTGGGCACAGTGGTGGGTGGCAACGTGGGGGCATTGGTTGGTCGGTTGGAAGGAGTCCAACTGGGCGCATCCGTCGGTGGTGGCAGCGGCAACGTCGGAATGGGAGATGCCAAATCAATGGGTCGAGGACCATTGACATTAATGGCCAATCTGTTGACGGAAGAAAAGGTATTTCCAATTCTTTGTCTCAAGGAAGAAAGATAGGGAGAAAGGAACACCAAGTTTCCTTTATTGTCTCGATCAAATATCTTTAAGACCTCGTTCCCAGCATTCAAAGATTCGGCATCTGGATCTGTTTGGAAGGTCACTACAAAGTTAACTTCCAAATTCACTCCATAGTTGATTTGTCCAAAGTTTCCAAGACTCGCCACATATCGCTCCTGCGAAAGGACTGAGAGTACGGTACCCGGGCCCAACATAGGCACCGTGCCATTTCCCTCTCGGGTTAATTGATCAAACATGGCGGCAAAGAATTCAGATGAGGCATCCTCCCAAATCAGTAGTTCATCAGAGGTCATGTTGCCGCTCCCTCGAACTGGCTCGAATTTGAGCAATGCATCAAAGGTGGAGGACCTTTGTTCATAATCTTGAGCTGCGGCAAACAAGGATCCACCACCTGCCGTTGTTGATTTGGATGATATTCGGAACGAGGATAATAGTGGTGAACTCGACATCAAAGCCATCCATGTTACAATCAGATAATTAGGCTTTAGAAAGTCCAACATGATATTTTACTGCTGAAGGTTCCTGATTTTCTGAATGCCAAATAGGCTTCTGCTGATGTTTTTTGCTTTTGCTTTTGCTGAACCTGATGCGCTGCTGACTGATCCGGGTGAAGCAAAGAAGTCAAGAGGCGTCTGCTGTTTGTATCTTTTCGGAAGCACGAGGCAGTTGTTCGTTTGCTGTTATTGCTGTGTATTGACTTTTTAGAATTTCAGGATGTTCTGAATGAATATTGGCTGACTGACTCTTTTTCAGAATAAGTCTAAGTATACCTGCAGTCTCAAGCAATTGAATCTTCAATCAATCAATCACCTGCCTGTTAGTGTGAAAGAACCTTACAGACAGTGGTGCAGAATCGAAATGAGAGACGTTAGGCACGATACACTCAAGTATCCAATGGACGAGCTTGCGTTGATGGAAGATAAGACTAAATGTCTATTTTTTTATTCTCTAAGAAAATTCTCTCTTCCACCGACAAAACTGCCGTAGGCAAGCCTACCAAGGCATTAGGCCACCTTTTTTATGCGGGGGAAACTCGAATGGCACGTGCCAAGCACATAGAAAAAGATACGGGCTGGCGAATCGTGACGGCGGGCACGAATGATAAAAAATGATGGAACACACGCATAATTTCCATGGATCGTGTGAGATATATGATGATAGGTACCGTATGATGTGCACCGGAAACGATGACGATGATGAGCGACTACAGAACACAATGCATGCACAATCACATTCATATTGCCAGTCAAATCTGAGCTTTTCAAGGCAAGAAGGATATTTTCAAAATGACAATGACCGGAGATATGGAGCCCGTGGTGTTGGTCAAAACGTGTAGCTATTGGGTGTAGTTCTCAAATCATCTCGGTCGTAATGTTTCATCACACATCGTTTTACAATACCTAATCTTGTTTGCTATACGCAACTATCCCCCATATTCTTCTCTCGTGTTATTATTCCCTTCCCCTGACTGCCTAATCAATCAATCAATCAATCCGATACAAGTACGAAACAAACCAAACGACTGGTTCCGATATCCAATCCCAACACCAACTGCAACATTTCGAATCATTTTCTTGGACTAATTCCTCCAAGGCTTTTTGTTGTTTGTCCATCCGGAATTTGCTTTTGTTCAAGGCTTTTTCCAGTCGGGCAATCAAATCTTGCAAGCGTTGTTTTTCGGCTTCCAACATTTCAATGGCATCCGTCGATTCCGCCGCCGTGTTGGTGAGCAAGTTGCACAATTCTTGGACGGTTTCCAATTCTTGTTCCAAATACTTGACTTGTTGCTGGGCTCGGGCCCAATCACCATTGGGTGGCTGATCACCACCTTCTCCTCCTCCTCCTCTTGCGCCGTCACCTTCCTCCTCCTCTTCCTTTTCGACAGCTTCCGTCAATTCTTGACACAGGGCACTGACCTTGTCCAATTCACCTTCCAAAAATCTAATTTGTTCTTGGGCAATCTGCCATTCTTCTGGTGTCATGTCGGGATGAATGGGAATTTGCGAAAAGGAATTCAGTGGTTGTTGTTGTTGTTGATGATGCTGTGGTGCGCCACGATTCATATTTCTAGCTTGTGCCGGTTGTTGCGGTTGGCGCAGAAAATCCTCCAAGGACGAATCACCGTCACCCTCGTCGTCAAAATCATCATATCCCAACAGTTGAGAATGACGATCTTCCTCATCCCGGCTTCCAAAGATTCGAGTGGGACGCCTTGCATTATTATACAAAGACGAGGATTTGGAAGAAGCGTCGTCGTCGTCGTCGTCCAATCCCAAAAGTGCATTTCGATCGTTTGGATGGTCCGGCCTACTTCTTTTACTGCTTGAGTTTTGTCCTGGGCTTGGAACGGTTCGACTGGGACCCATATTATTTCCATTTCCATACAAGAAGGAAGAAGATGTCGAAGAGGCATCGTCCAATCCCAAGAGAGCATTCCGATCCTGTTTTCGTTGTTGCTGTTGTTGTTGTTGTTGTTGTTGTTGCTGTTGTTGGTTAGCAGGCCTTGTTGTTTTGCCAAAAAACTTGTAGGAGGAAAAGGAGCTATCTGCATCTGACAAGTAGGGATCATTTATTGCTCGCTGCATTGTGGATGTTTTCGGTGCCTTTTGAGTCAAGTTGGGATCGTCCAAGACCGAAGTGGGCGATTTGATTTTGGGTGATGGTGGTGGCGGTGGTGCCTTTTTCTGTCGGTTGTAGCTTTTCTTCTTCTTCACAGCGTCGGCGGTGTCTTGGGAATCATCACGCGATGACACCGCTGGTTTGGCTTGTTCTTTCTTGGCTGGCCTTTCGGATCGTTTCGATTTGGATGGGGTTGCAGCAGCTACATTGTTATCCTTGGAAGTTGCCTCCTTTCTCTTTCCGGGCCTTGTCGGTCGTTTGGATTTCGACGGTGGAGGCTTTTGTTTCTTGCTGCTGGCCGATGGCTTTGTTTTGGCCACGGGACTTGCTTGAAAGGGAGGTGATTTCAAATCCGAGGCTTTTTGAGTATTGCCTCTTGACTTATTTTGCTGCTTGGCTTGCAGGAGGGAAGGCTTCTTGGTATGATGAGGTGACTTCATGACGGGTGTCAGATCCGAATCCACATCATCTTCTTGTTTGAATTGAGGTATGGATGATGGCCGTTGCCGCCTGTTCTTTGGAGCAGTCCTTTGAGTAGTATCAATCGTCGAATCCATGGATTGTTTGGAGGGAACCCTTTGCATTTCCTCCCGATTTGGTGGTGGTGGTGGCGGTTGGGATTTGTGTACCCCTTCGTCTAGGGAGGTTCTCAAATTACGATTTGCTTTTGGAACATCCGGATTCAAAAAGGCACTTTGCTGTGCGTAACTCTCTCGTGGTTCACCCTCCTCGTCGACGTGGTCCGAAAACAATAATGACTCGTCACGTGCAGTGTCATCGTGTTCCGGGTTGTAGGTTCGATTGAGGAAATTAAGAATATCTTCTTCGTCGGTATCATGGTCATCATCTTTTTGCGCCACTTCTGGAAGACTAGACGACTCGTCACTATCATATTTTCGCGCCTTTGCGGGTGATGGCCTTGGTTTGGTGGCTGCTGGACTCATCTGCTTGTTCTTTTTATTGGCCTTATTGTTCTTGCTGCTCCTCGACGGGTTGCTCTTTCTGCTGTGTTGACTTCTTCTATTATAAGGACCGGGATGTTCTTGCTCCCAATCGTCATCGGTAGGTTGGTTGGCAAAGTTAATCGTCGGAGGCCCTGTCAATGTAGATTGTGTCGATTCATGATCCACTGAATCCTCCATCATGGCAACAACATCTTGTGGTACTAGTTCCAAAATGGCAGCTTCGACGGGTGTGATGGTATCGCCGGGAGGATCTTGCGACAACCGTTTTCTGGCAGCAGCAGGAGGGGGAGGTTTTCGAAAGGAAGGTGGCCTGGGAGAAAAGAGTCTCACATTGCTTCCACCAACATCACTTTCCGTAGAAGCGCTCAGCACAGTCTCCACATTCATCATTACTCTTTTGCTATTGTAGGTCAAATACTGCTCTGTTCTGTGATGAGGAAGTACCTGATACTGAGAAAAGCACAGAAAAGGCTTGGGCCAAAAACCAAGAGAGAGAGGGACGGTCTAAACGTAATCTCTTGGACTCCAAGCTTTCCGTGGTGACAGGAACGATGTGATATGCGATGAGACATCGAAAAAAAAGACTCAACGCATGTGATCCACACGACTGGAATGACCTATAAACGGGTCAGAGTAGTCGTTTCGACCCGTCTGATTAGAATCGAAAAAATAGAAGAACACCGCTGGCTTCGCAAAATGCACATGGCATCTTCCTGAACTTTCATTGTGAATGAGTGGCTGCGCTACCGTCAGAGGATATCCATCGTCCTTCATCGACAGATCATGTTCCAAGCAAACCGAACTGTAACAAACTTTCTCCTTCTATTCTCACTATTATTCGCCTCTAGATTCCAAACGACAGATTCCTTTCAGCCAACATCAACGTCAGCTTCTGGTGCCATTATTAAAATGCCATCATCATCATCATCATCATCATCATCACAAGTCAAGGGAAAACACACGCTCACCCGCAAACGATCCAAATCCATCAATTTCCAGGGAACCAATGAAAAAACACCGCTCATGCCACTGGCCGTCAAATCGGGTGGAGGCACCACCAGTTTTGACGATAATATCGACTACGACGATGACGACTCTGCCACCACCAAATTGGTGGCCAAAGGACGTGCCATTTTGTGTTTGGTAGCCTTTTTGTATGGGACCCTCAATGTGTCCTTGAGACTCATCTATCAATTGGACTCGCCTCCCACAGCAGCCGCACTAAGTTCCACACGGGGATGGTTGGCGTCCGTTTGTTTTGTGCCACTCTTGTTGTGGAAACAACCAACGGCTGGTACATCAAGTACTACTACTACTACTACTACTACTACTACTAGCAGTGACTCTTCTGTAATGTCAGGCTCTGCAGACTCGGAAGGATCATCCTCAAAATCTACCTCGTCGCCTATTTGGATGGCGGGTCTGGAGTTGGGACTTTGGAACTTTCTCGCACAAGGATTGATCAATGTAGGTCTTTTGAGTGTGGGTTCGGCACGAGCGTCCTTCTTGACGCAAACTTCCGTCATTATGACACCACTGTTGAGTATAGCGGCGGGACAGACGGTCTCCAAAAGCGTATGGGTCGGATGTTCCTTGGCCTTGGGTGGACTAACAATCTTATCGGGTGGAGGCGGTGGTGGAATGGATTCTGCTAGTAGTTCTTCCGCACTCTTGGCGTTTTCGAGTGGTGACATTCTCATTTTGACGGGAGCCTTTTCTTGGTCCTTGTACCTCTTTCGGCTCTCCAAGATTGCGCCACAATTTGATGAAATCAATTTGCAAGCCATCAAGACTACTGTGCTGGCCATGTTCTATACGATTTGGCTGGGAGTCAGTCTATGGCAGAATCCAGAGGGTACTACTTGGGCGTGGGCTACCAATGGGGTTGCCTGGTTGGCACTCATTTATAGTGCAGTAGCTCCAGGGACTGTGGCAGATATATTGCAGCAACAAGGGCAAAAAGAAGTTTCAGCATCGGAAGGTAAGGCATCGTCATTGCATGTGTATAAAAAAATGATCGCTCGTTCGTACTATGCAGTTGCTAATGTTGGACAATCGATCTTTTTTCAGCCAATGTAATTTTGTCCTTGGAACCAGTCTTTGCAGCACTGTGTGCTTGGCTATTGTTAGGGGAGACAATGTCTGGGTTGGAGTCAGTTGGGGGTGGATTGATTTTGCTGGCAGCCTTGGTAGCCACACGATAACTTGTGGGGCATACTACTGTACTGTATGGAATGCATCATTCTCAAACAATAGGAAGATTTGGTACAACAGACCGAAATGATCGCTTTTACTGGTATAGTTTTGCTGGCTTCGAATACTTCTTTCTTTCCATGAACTGGCAAATGCCGCGGAAAAGACTGAAGCAAAGCGTTCATGAGCCCGCAAATTGCAACAACCAAACAACCAACGAATACAGGGTGATCAATAGTTGGGATTGTAATTCTAGAAACAAATTGATAAGCAAATTGCTTTATAATACATGTTTAAATACGTAGACAGATCTTCGGTCATGTTCAAAATCCCACTTTCCAATCGTGTTAACCGTCCTTGGTTATTTACTGCTTTGGGTGTTGTCCGTGAGAAGAAAGACTGGAATTGTCCGTATGATGAAAGATATCATGATGCATCTCATCGCTCATGGAATCGTGGTCCAAGTCTTCTCCGGTAATCTCCGTCGCCTCGGTAAGGATATCCAATAGGCTGGGGCAGCTGTGGCTATTAGAAGAAGACATGCTGGGGAAGGATGGCATCTCAGCGGCAGGTCCAAAGAGGGAAGAAGGTCCTTGGATCATGGAGGATCGAAGTATCGAAACGAGAGAATCTTCGAGGGGTCTTTCTGGCATTCGTGTTGATGAAAAACATGATAAGGTTGCTTGGTTGTTTGACATGGTGTTGCTGGATGATGATGATGGTGGAAAAGTTGTGTTGAGTTTTGTGAGATATACAACCGATTTTATTCTCCTTCTTCGCAGGCGGTTCGTATCGGGTAAAAAGGCCGTCATTTGTTTGGTAGCTTCTGTACGCACAAAATATCGAACGACGGCTTCTGGTTCGGCTGCGGAAGTTTGGTGCGTCAGATTCGGATTCTTTATGAAGTTTGTTTAGTTCAACGCTCAAAACCATAAACGGGAGGTATCCTTGCGAGTTATGACGTCTGACAATTATGTAGCTTCTACTGCGAATACGAACTAACGGCCTCGCCAAGCAGAAGGAGGCGCAACTTCAAAGAACATAAAATTATAATCTCAGTCCGTGTGTAATACGATGTCCTAATCTGAAATCGGGTCCCGTTCGTCCGAAACTATCCCGTCTGTCTCTAATAATTAGCGCGTGTCTCGGCAGCCAAGTAATTTTGGGTTGTTCGCTTGAGCTTATTTTTCTTCGCAGTAAAGTAGTTTTCGATTTTCATGTACGTGTACTACAGTAGGTGCCTGGTACGTGTAGTATGACCAGTGCAGTACTGTACGGTCATAAGTTTCGGCTCTGCAGCAAAGCAATTTTGGATGTTTGTTTGAGCGGTGGGCCAGTGGGCTAAAAATGCGAAAGCGAAGTACTGTACACTATCAAACTTACGAAATTAATGGACAGACTTTGCATGCTACAGCATGCCATGCATGACACAAACAAGGATACGCAACCATACTATCAATAGCTCAATACGCAAAATTAATAAAAACCTCTTCCTACAAGTCTGTGGAGTGTGCTCCGGCGGAATCAAAATCGTTCCTATTGTCAATGATCACCGTCTCATTCCGAACAGGCAGAAACCTTAGATGATGTCATCATGGGGCAGCAACTCCAACGTTGAATGCTATCTCGTCGTTGTCCAAAAGTCTGACTAGCCGCCATGCGGCTAAGAGGAACGAATGGGATTTGCCTTCAAGACCACCTTCCCAGAATTCATTTACTGCCTTGGTCGTGATGTAGCCTCCACTCCGGAGGAACTTCTGAAAAGATCGGCATTACCTCCCTGAACTATTGCTAGAGCCTCTTCCAGAATTTTAACAACCGATGTATCGCTTGAAGCTTGGTGGGCTGCGGCCGTCATCCAACAAAGATCTGTTGATGGTGAAAAAGGCTCGAGGGATGATGATCCATTCAACGAGGAGGGCACAAGGGGATCTGCCCTTTGCATGTTTGGAGCTTGTGTTCGTGTAGAGCATTCGGGGGATGTATCGCTTTTGGTCATTGTAGTATCGTTTCTCAGATGACGTGTGGTGGATGAGATGGACTGTATTCGTCAGCTCGTTATGAAAAGTTGTGTGGACACTCTAGAGCTGAAAAAACCAAGAGTTGCAAGTCATGTACCGATAAAAATATCTTGATGAGGTTCGTACACGTACCTGTACCTACTGGTACACGTACACGTGTACCCTGTACCAGGTACACTGGTACACGTGGTGTGCAGCATCAATGACGGTGGCTCATTGCCAAAAGTGCCAATTAACGCCGTCACCTCTGCGCGTTTAAAAGATATGTTAAATGGAAAATTGGCGCGCAAATTGAGGGTAGGAATCTTCCAAAATTCGAACTGATCTTCCCAAAATCATTGCGGAAGATGCGTAACTTTCTTATATCAAATGGTGACACGTCGTTCCGCGCTTGAAGAAAGAGCTTCGTCGTGCAGTATCCTCTTCTGGCTAGACTTGGGAAGGAAGTAACCAGTGAGCAGTCATCTTCAAGGTGACATTCACGATCATCAACGAGGACGAGCGCCCAGTTCTGCAAACAATGTCTTTAGCATCTACAGTAGATTTGTAGTTTTGGATATAGTGGATACTAGTCGTTTGGAAGTGGGCTAGTACTGTATGCTGAGGACCAATACTAGTAATAGTGTTTTGAAAAAAGTGACTGAGTGAGTGATTACATAAGTTATTCGATACAGTCTTGATTCTCGTCTACTAGTCTTATTCGTCTTGTTGTCGGGTGGAATGCTACAAAATTCCACATCAATGTATGTATAAAATGACCTTTGAAATTTGCCCTAAGCAAGAATACCGTGTTGCCCCTCTTCAAAAGTGGTTGTGCACAAAATGTCGAAAAAATGCAACTCAAGGGCACGCCATAAAAGATGCCGTTTGAATTACTGTTTTCGCCCCTCGCCAACGTTACGGTTGGAGAAACGTTTGCTGGAAAGAGAACGGAAATCGAGGTCATCCGACGAAATGGGAACGTCATGACGGATCACCTCCAAAGCGGACTCAAGGATTCCAAGAATGTCTTCTCTGCCGGTGGTGCTGCTGGCGTTGCTGCTGGGAGACATCCAACAATCTGGGACAGGTCGGGACCTGGGTGACGAAGCAAAGGATGCTCGAGTCAGTGAAATAAGCGACATTTCGCTTCGGCTGTTTGATGTGTTCATGTGCGCAACGCAAGGAGGTGGAGCCTCGGTGTCTCTCATTTTGGTATTTCTTTTCGAGGGTAGGGTTTCTGTATTTTTTGACTTCTGTAAGAATTATGAGAAGATTGCGCAAGTGATATATTTGAGAAACATCGAAGCTCGTGCGATGTGAAGTACTGGGACGAGTACCGGCACCTACTGTATTCTATCAGTATTAAAATATCTTACTGTACTCTAGGTACGCATGAACCTTTTATGACCGGAGGATTCCCGGGATCAATTTTTGGGTTCCTTTTCGGAAAAGCCACCGTGACCAAAATGTGAGCCATAGATGACACAAAAGCGGAGGAACATTTTGGTAAAACGCGGGAATTTTCAGCCTATCAAAAAGTCGGCATCCATAACAACTTCAAGTCATCGACTCGGAAACATTATGGAAAAGTGCGCGAGATATTTAATCCATCCAGTGGAGCGGTCATCTGCAAAGTTCTGGAATCAATTGTCTGATGCAGAACTCACAAACTTCCCCTAGTTCTGTTGGCAGCAAACTTGACAAGTTTTTCAACTTCTCCTTGTTCTGTTGGCAGCAAAGTTCGGCTAGCCAAGTGTAGCATCTGATCATGACCCCTCCTCTTGTGGAAGGGCAGCACTTGCTACTCTACGCTTTTGGATCTACTAGGGACCGACCGAATTCAGCTTCTCGAAAACGTCGGAGTCGTTCTTCCAAACCACGAAACAACTATTTTGGAAATGATTTTCCAAAGGAGACATTGGACTTTTTAAAAGTGACATGGATCATTACTGTCTAAATATTAAGAGAATAGAGTCGATCTAGGACAAGAAATACAACTCCTTCCCCCTTGGAGTCGTACCTCCAAAACACGAAACCACGAACTTGGAAATGAAAACTTCTAGTGACCGTTCAGTGAAGTCGAGTCAGTCTCATGATGGAGGAGGAGACATTGGACTTTACGTAACATGCATCAGTTCTTTCTAAATATTTTTGAAAAGGCCGAATCTATCTAGGAGAAGAAGTACAATAAGTCCTTTCCTCCTTACTGTACCAAAATAGGTAGTCTATCATTCGGCCAGCATGATTGGATGCTCCTCTTCTATACTTGAACCAGAACTCTCAAAGGTTTCATTGTCGGTTCGATTCGAATGTTCCATAACAAGTTTACTCTCCTCTCGTTTCCAAGTATAATCAACAGGTTTTGGACTCTTGGGCTTTTTCTTTTTCTTCTTCTTTTTCGTTTTTGTTTTCCTACTTTGCTCATCGTCAGCATCGCCAGCATTTTCATCATCACCAGTCGATACCTTCTTCTTTTTTTTCTTTTTCTTCTTCTTCTTTTTCACCGACGTTTCCTCTTCCATTGGATCAATCGATGGAATGTCTTCGGGTGCTTCGTTCTCTGCATTTTCTGACACACTTTCGTCTTCTTTTCGACCGGTGAACCTAAATTTGGAGAATCGAGATATCTTCTTTTCTTTCCCATCTTGTTTTGGACTACCGTCTTTGTGTTGTCCAGGAAAGCCCAAAGTAGCCAACAACGATATCTTCTTTTTGTCTTTTCGATCTGGAGAGGAGGCGTTGGGTCGGCGGCTGGCACTTTTCTTGCGTTTACTGACAGCCGAACTACTGCTGCGCATGTTGCTCTTGGAATCTGTTGCATCATCCTCGCCAATCAATGAAGCGTCGTCATCTTCATCGTCACCCTTGCCCCGACCGGTGCGGAATGGAAACCATCCTCCTCCTTTGCTACTGTTCATGCTGTCATGGAACTTGCTAGCGGAAGAATCATTGTCAGGTCCTTTGGCCTTGCCGTATCGTTGCCATTCTTGCATCTGTTTGGGATCTCGCAAGGTATCATACGCCCAAGTGATCTTTTCCATTTTGCAAGCTGCCTCTTGGCGTTCCTGTTCCGTGGCATAAGTCTTGGAAACGTGATACTTCTGTGCCAGCTCACGGTAAGCACTAATGACTTCGACCTTGTCGGCAGACCAATGCAATTCCAAGATTTGAAATGGATTTTTCGGCTTCTCCTCATCCTCGATGTCTTTCGCACTCTCGACAGTCGTGATTGGATCGGAAGGAGGCGACTGAGAGGATGGCCAGGATTGGTGGAATGCAGCATGAGGATTCATTTGAGGTGATGCCACAAAGGATGCCCTCTTCACTGCTGGTGGCGATGATGGTGGTGAAGGCAGAGGGTTAGGCCCGCGAAGCGAAGGCCTTCGGACTTTATTGGTGGGTATCGTGGTTGTTGTGGTTGTGGTTGTTGCTGGCGATTTGGAATTGTATGTCTTGCGTCTGAGAGCACCAGGTGACGAGGACTGCCGATAAGCACCTGGAGAGTTGCGAGGAGGCAATGGTGAAGTGGGCCTTCGGTTTCTATGTGCTGAAGGCGAAAGCCCCTTTCGATTCCGGGATTGCTGTTGTTTTCCTGTCGATGAGTTTCGTTGTGGTGAATTTCGTTGTTGGGTTGGACTGTTCACTCTTGGAGGGACGGGCGACACTGAACGTTTGGCTGTACGAACATGTCGCGGTACATCTCCAGGTGGGGGTGTTCGAGGGTTTGGTGTCTTTCTTTGTGGAATAGGACCGAAACTTTGCCTTCTCGGTGATAAAGAAGCTGGTGCTCGTTTTCCTGAATGTCGTCTCTGAGCTCGCTGATGCTGCTTCTTGGGGGAATTGGACCTGGTACGCGGTCGGCTTTGGCCACTGGATCGAGATGGACGTCCTCCGTTGCCTTGTTTCCAATCGTGCAGTCTGCCAGGATCGTTCAAAAGACCATATGCGTCGGATATCTTGGCAAACTTGGAATTCACTCGTTGTTTCTCTTCTTCAGTTTCTTGCTTATCAGGATGATATAGACGCGCCAGCTTGAAATAAGCCTTCTTGATAGTAGACTCATCAGCATCGCGCTCTACGCCCAAAATTTCATAAGGATCCTCGTGCTTGTCCATGGTGAGGTTTTGGTGTGACTGATTTTTTTTAAAAGGTGATGTGCAGAAGTTGTGTGTGGGACGAGTGGAAGTGCAGTTTTGGAGTTTTGATGATCAGATTGGCATCCAACGAGGTCTGGCGAACAAATTCAATCTTGGGCCATAAGTGAGGAAAGTTTGGATATTATCTGCGCGACCTCAAGCCGGCAGACAATTATTTTCGCTTCGCATGATTCTTGTGTGACGATTTCAGATTGGGCCTTATATGTTCGAATGTTTTCTCCCTCTCTCCAGTTCGCGTTTTCCATGGTACTGACGCAATCGTGATGCAGTCAGTATGGTACCAGTACCCCTTTCAGAGATTCTATCGCTGAACGCAAAATATCTCCCAAGACGATGTCACTCTCATTGGTAGATTGGGAGCTGTGCCTCGTCAGAATGTGTCTAATATTGTTTCCTAAAGGCCGCGATGTTTCAACAACAAAAAACTCTCAAGGGGGTGCGGTGCTAACATCATGATCATCAAGATTCATCTGACTGTGGTTGCAAAGACGTTACATACCCGCTACATCCATGTTTCCTATCATTTCTTGTTAGATTATTTATGATAATTTAACATTGTCTAGTCTTTACAATTGAACCAATCAATCAATCAATCAACCATGTATCGACCAATTGATATTCTGAGGCCCTGCTTGCTGGAATTATAGAAACAGAACCAAACAACCTGTAGCCCCAGATTGATCCACTATTTACTTTTGACACTCCTTTTTGAACGACTCTGCTGATTCACCGCATCACTCCCAAAAGTTTTGAGAAGCCAAGCTTGTCGACGCTTGTTGTCCCGCAATTCTTCGTAGGCACGTGTCACTTGCTCCATTTTCTTGGCAGCATTTGCCTTTTCCTCTTCGGATCGTTGCTTTGAAGGATGGTACTTTTGAGCGAGTTTTCGATAAGCCTGAATGATTTCGATACGATCCACCATGTGATCCAATTGAAGCACTTCAAATGGATTCTCGTCAGGGGGATAGGTCGGCGCTTGCTGCGGATTGCTGGCTTCTTTGAGGCCTCGTTTTCGACGAAGATCAGCGCGGCGTTTAGCGGATACAGATCGTCGACTGGTCTCACTATCGACGGAATGTGTCGAGGCATCCAGAGGCGCAGACTTGCCACGAGTGGTTTTGGGACTACGTCTCGCCGCACTTCGCGAAGCATCACTTGTACTACTAGTTTGGCGGCCCAACGAGCTGGGCGGTTTGACAGCAACAAACTTGTCGCCATCACCGGCACGCGATGATGACACGACCAGTGATGGTTCTGGCCGACTCTTGAGGTTTCGATGCGGACTTTTGGAGCGGCTGCTGCTTCTGGGGATCAGCTTGGGAGTCGAACCAGTAGATTTTCTTGTGGGTGACCGCGAGTGACTTGACCTTGCACCTCTGACATGATTACCCAATGACTTGGTTTCTCTTAGCGTTGTGGGAATGCCACCATTGTCACTATCACTTGAATGAGAGGATGATTCGTCCAGCTGCTTCTTCGGCTCAGATTTTTGTTTGCGATAAGGACTTCTAGAACGGCTACTGTCTCTTTTCGGACTCTTTTCCGCTCTTGCACCGCTAGATTGACGGACCACCGGGTCACCTTGTCGGGCTGTAGGTTCTTTGGTGTCGTTTGATTGTGTCGAAAAACACTCCAGCGCTACTTCCTCTGCTTGTTTGCTTGAGATAATTGTGGTACTTTCAGCTTCCTCTGATTTCGTTGGATTGACAATTGCAGGAGATAGGATCTCTTCGCTATCCTTTGAGTGGGTCGAAACCTTCGGCGCTGGCTCCTCCTTGCTGTCATTCGACTCTTCGGTTGTTTTCTCCGGTTCGTCAGAAGTAGAGGAACCGTCTCTCTTGGCGGGCTGCTCAATTGCATCTTGTAATGGGTTCCTTGGTTCTGGCTCATCATCGCTGGATTCGTCAGGTGAATTCTGTCCCTCGGAATCAGAGGAAGCGTCTGCTTCGACTGGTTCCACAGTTGCAGGTTGCAAGACAATTGTTGCTTCTGGCTCTTCGTCAATATGATCAGTAGATTCTGACTCCACATTTGTTGGCTCTGGCTCTTCGTCAATGTCATTCATTTCGTCAGTAGATTCTGGATCACCCACTGAAGGTTGTAAGAAACTCGTGCGTTCTGGCTCTTCGTCAATCTCGTCGATCGCTTCTTGCTCCAAAGTTGAAGGTTGTAAGACAATCGTTGGTTCTCGCTCTTCATCAATGTCATCATTGTCGTCAATCGAATTTAGTTCCACAGTTGCAGGTTGCAAGATAATTGTTGGTTCTGGCTCTTCATCAATGTCATCAATGTCGTCAATAGAATTTGGCTCTACAGTTGCAGGCTGTACGACAACTGTTGGATCTGGCCCTTCGTCAATGTCTTCAATGTCGTCAATGGCATTTGGCTCCAAAGTTGAAGGTTGTAAGACAATTGTTGGTTCTGGCTCTTCATCAATGTCATCGATGGATTCCGGCTCCACAGTTCCAGGTTCCAAGACAATTGTTGGTTCTGGCCCTTCGTCAATGTCGTCAATGTCGTCAATAGACTTTGGCTCTACAGTTGAAGATTGTAAGACAATCGTTGGTTCTGGCTCTTCATCAATGTCGTCCATGGAACCCGGTTCCACTGTTCCAGGTTGCAAGACAATTGTTGGTTCTGGTCCTTTGTCAATGCCATCCATGGAACCTGGCTCTGGCCCTTCGTCAATGTCGTCCATAGAACCTGGTTCAGGCCCTTCGTCAATGTCGTCCATGGAACCTGGCTCTGGTCCTTCGTCAATGTCGTCAATGTCATCCATTGAACCTGGCTCTGGTCCTTCGTCAATGTCGTCCATGGAACCTGGTTCAGGCCCTTCGTCAATGTCGTCCATGGAACTTGGTTCTGGTCCTTCGTCAATGTCGTCAATGGATTTGACTGGCTCCTGTCGTGGCCTGACTGTAAAAGATCTCCCTCGAGACGGAGCCTTTGGCTCAGGCTTTTCATTAGAGTCTTCCGGTAACTTCTTCTTCTTCTTTTTCTTTCTGTCACCCGACTCGCTTCGGTTTCTAGTAGCTTGCTTTTCGACAGAAAAATCGCTAAATGGAACCGATGGATCATCTTCTGATTCTTCATCAGTGTCTTTCGTTTTCTTCTTCTTCTTTTTACCTGCTGATTTGCTTCTCTTTCTAGTTGGCTCTGACTCTTCTTCTGGCTCTTCATCGTTGTCTTTTTTTTCTTTCTTCTTCTTCTTTCGGCCAACTGACTTGCTTCTACTTCGTGCCCGCCCTTCACGAGAAGCCGAGCGATCCCCCGCTGTCGGTACTTTTTCTATCGATTCGTCTTCCGAGTCCGTGGACTCTTTAGATTTCTTCTTTCTTCGGCTCACCGAGGTGCTTCGTTTCATAGCTTTCTTTCCCTCAGCTGGTTGATCCTCTTGCTCTTCCGTGGATTGTTTGGCTTTCTTCTTCTTTTTTCGACCAACCGAACCACTTCTTGGTTTCGTCGCCTTTTCATCCACGTCTAGCTCTTTATCTGTCTCTTCCACGGGTTCATTTGCTTTCTTCTTGCTTCTCTTCTTTGTCGACGGGACAGGAGAAGAGGAGCTCTCATGATCTTCTGCTGGCTCCTCTTCGGATTCTTCATCAGATTCTTCGTCCTTTGTCTTCTTCTTCTTTTTCTGACCAACAGAAGTACTTCTTGGTTTAGCTGCTGCTTCTTCCTCTTTGAAGTCGTCGTCATCGGATTCATCGTCATCAGATTCATCGTCTTTTTTCTTTTTGCGACCAGCAGACTTGCTTCTCTTTCTAACTTTCTTTTCAGGAGTGGGCGAGCTCTCTGGCTCTGGGTCTGACTCAAGTTCATCTTCTGGTTCTTCTGGCTCTGACTCAATTTCTTCGTTTGGTTCCTCTTCCGATTCCTCTTCCGACACTTCGCTGACTTTCTTTTTGGGTTTCTTTGGTTTTCCAGTCAATTTACGGAATAGTTTTTTCGTCATTTTCGTAGCTGGTTTCACACCAGTCATGGTCGCAAGAGATGGCAACGCATCCATTGATGGTAACACATCAAACATACTTGCTTCTGGCTCTTCGTCATTTTCGTCATCCTTGGATGGCTTATTTGTGCCTTTGCTAGATTTTTTCTTGGACTGTGACACTGGCGTTGACGATCCTCCGTTGAGCCAATCATCTTCTTCTGTGGAACGGTCCTGATTTGTCGATTGTCCCGATGTTCGTTCATTTGTTTGCGCCTTTGATTTTCGGAGCATGCTGTTGGTCCGCGCCATGCCCGGTCGAGGCGACGCTCCACCTGAATTCCGACTCATCTCGCGCTGTTTGGTAGCACTGGATTGTCTCATACTATTCATTCGCTGCATATTGGGTCGTCCCGCTGGTTGCTTTCGATTCATTTGCGGCGCTGTGTTTATAGGATTATTTCTCGCCCAGCCTTGCTGTGGCGGCGGAGGAGGTTGTGGACTATTGTTTCTTGCCCAACCTTGCTGTGGCGGTGGAGGAGGTTGTGGGCTATTGTTTCTTGCCCAACCTTGAGGCGGCGGCGGCGGTGGTGGTTGTGGACCATTATTTCGCATCCAGCCTTGAGGTAGTGGTGACTGTGGTGGACCACCACGGCCTCGCCCTGGGCCATAACCTCTTCCTCCTGGCGGTGGACCTCTTCCTCTACCTGGTGGTGGTCCTCGACCTGGTCCACCTCGTCCCCGTCCCGCGTTCCAATCTAATTTCGTCGGCCCTGCTCCCCAATTGGAACCATACCCTCGACCTGGTGGCGGTCCTCTGCCTCTACCTGGTGGTGGTGGCCCTCCTCTTCCTTGCATGTTTGGTGCTCTCTGGGACGCCCTCCCACCACCTTGCGGTGCCTGCATGGGTGGTGCATTCGAAAACATGGAATTTTGTCGTCCTCTTCCACCACCCATTGAGGTTTGTCTAGGTGGTTGTTTTGATCTCATGGACGGTCCTGACGTGGATCTAGACATTCCTGCACCACTTGGTCGATTGTAATTTGTAGGGTTCGTTTGTTGATAGGTTTGTGTTTGTGGTTGACTTTTGACACTTTGTTGGGATTCATATTTTTGTCTCCAATCATACCGCCGGACGGGATCGTTCAGCAATTCGTAGGCATCTGCAATCTTGGCAAATACATGCGTCGCCTTTTCTCTATCTTCATCGGTCGTTTGCTTATCGGGATGGTGTGTTCGAGCAAGCTTGAAATACGCTTTCTTGATTTTGCCTTCGTCCGCGTCATGCTCGACACCCAAAATTTCATATGGATCCTCACCCTTGTCCATTTTGTTCCAAAGGTTTAAGTAGCGTCAGAAAGGATGAACAAAGGTACAGTGTAGATGACCTTTTTCTCCTTCTTCTTCTTCTTCTTCTTCTTGGATACCGTTATTAAAATACACCCTCTTCAGCACAATAAGCTTGATGATGCTAATAGACACACTTTCACTTCGTTGGCGGCAGTGGCGCGAAATTCGGTTTTGAAGGTATGTAGGGTGCTTTGACCATGTACAGTATGTAATACTACAACATTCTTATTAGTTTCTCCGTTGGGGTTAAAAGTAAAGTTTCAGATGATCGACATTTCGTTGGTTACTTAATGTGGGTTGGAGAAAAGACATTTCAGAAGATCGAGAGAAAAAGCATTTCGGTTCCGAGAGTCATTTTGAATTTAGCCTTTGAGACAAGTTGGGTCGGAGAAATCAACGAGAGTACACTACTTGAACTGACTGAGCATTCTTCGCACGTTCCGTTCGTGTTGGTCGTGATTGACAGAATTCTTCTCCTTCCTTTTGGACTTAACCGACCGAACATGTACTGTACGATCTTCCAATGTTCAACATCCGGGGCATTTTAAAACCTTTGATCGGAAGACTTGGTACAGCAGCTGGTACTTGGTACCATACCTGTAGATCCACGTTGCATGACTGATGTCCGTACTGAAAGTACACGAATCTACAGGAAAAGATACCAAGTTGAGGTTGAGGAGAAAAGATTGTGAATTCTGTTCTGGTGGATCTTCCACCCTACGCATTCTCACAATTTTTAGGAATAGTCGAACATGAAGACCGCCGTCCTTGCATCCCTTATCGCCGCCGCCAGTGCCTTCGCACCTGCTCAACAAGCAGCCAAGACCAGCTCCTTGAATGCTTTCGAGAGCGAGCTTGGTGTTCAGCCACCACTTGGATTCTTCGATCCTTTCGGTATGCTCTCCGGAGATGCCACCGAAGAGCGATTCGAACGTCTTCGTTACGTCGAATTGAAGCACGGACGCATCTGCATGTTGGCCTTCTTGGGTCAAATCACCACCCGTGCCGGAATCCACCTTCCAGGATCCATCAACTACGCCGGAGACAGTTTCGACTCTTTCCCCAACGGAGTTGCCGCCATCTTTGGCCCCAACCACATTCCTACCGCAGGAATCGTGCAGATGATCGCCACTGTTGGTATCTTGGAGTGCGCCTTCATGCGTGAGGTCCCAGGAATGGCTGAATTCCCAGGTGACTTCCGTAACGGATACATTGACTTCGGATGGGATGACTTTGATGAAGAGACCAAGCTTCAAAAGCGTGCCATTGAATTGAACAACGGACGTGCCGCTCAATTCGGAATCCTTGGACTTATGGTTCACGAGCTCATCATTCCATTGGGATATGATGCCGATCTTCCAATCATCGGACACCTCAAGTAAATGTGTTCAATCAATGGATTATTTTCACTTTTTGAATATAACACACCACCCTACGCTCTTCTCCTGATTCGTCTTTGAACAACAATAAACTAAGGCTCGAGTCATGAAAAACAAGCTATCTTTTTTCTTTCATTGCACTTCCTAGTAAACTTTATAATGTTGCCGGTTTGTATTGCATCTCTTGTTAACATCAGATGTTGCCCCTACCCGTATTGACCTGTGTCTATAGCGAGTCATTGTTGGAGTCATTTACACGTGGAGAATTTCTCAATTCGAATAACAGGCTTCAGTTTAAGAGTGAGGAATATCCAGCGACCACCTACAGTACAGTACCGGATCACTATAATCGTTGATAACATCCAATGGAAGTCTTCGTTATCGTACTGTACCTGGTACCGTAGGAGAAGTCATTGTACAAAGATGGTTAGCCGCAAGGACACAACAATTGATCTCATTCGTTCATACCGCATACAAGGGAGGTATCAAAAATATTAATACAAGATACCACTAAAATTAATATTACAGGGAGGCACTATCATCATCGTCGTCGTCGTCATGAATCAGATTCTCGTTTTCATCGTCATCCACAATCTTTGCAGCTTCTATGGCTGCCAACTTGCGTTGCATCTTTTCATCTTTTTGATCCGCCGTAAGTCCCAGCTTGGTTTGTTGGTCGGCAGCTCTCTTGGCCTTGAGAGCAACATCGCGTTCTTGCATGGTCCGTAAGGTTTCCAAGAGCTCGTGCTCTCGTCCCTTGAATTGGGCCAACATTTCATCGACATTTTCAGACTCTTCGGGAACCACCTTGTTGACAAGTTCAATCACTTCGGCACGTGTTTCTTCGCTTGGTCCATCGTCAGTCCCTGGCGACAAGGAACGATGGTCCTCCGGAAAGGGCCCAGAGTCATCTCCAGAATTGGTAGTCCCACCACCATCCGAGCCTGGCATGGAAGCACCAGAGGATGTTGGAGAGCCTCCACCTCCTTCTTCGTAGTCTTCCGCCGAGACGTCCAAAGACTTGGTGGCTTCCAACTTGGCAGCAGCTTGAATGACGCCTTCCCAATCCCCGGCATTAATCATTTGTTCAAATTGTTCGGCAGTTTCTTGATCCATTTTGGTTTCGTCCATGTTTCCCTTGAGCAAGGAATTCGATGGAGTAACTCCATTGCCACGGTCATCTTGGGACGCTGCTAGGAGGGCGGCCGAAGCACCCACTGAAGACCAATCCCCGGCCTTCATGGCAGCCTCCATTTCATCTAGTCGCTCCGAGACTTGAGCATCGCCCGAGCTGTCCCCAGGTCCCTTCTTCTCGGGACTATCAATGTCGCCAGTATCGACGGATCCCATGGATTCCGAATAGTTATCCGACCATCCGGAGGAATTCTCATAGGACACATCATCACTTTGATTACCACCGTCCGTAGCTCCTTCCTTCTTGGAGGGTGATGTTCGTGCTGCTGTACTTTCAGATTCGCCACGTTGTTGGGTAACCTTGGGCTCTCCTTCCCCTCCTTCTTGTTGGAACTGTAAAAATGGCATGGCATATCCCTTTTCGGAACTATCCGATTCCGAAGCATTTTCACCAAGGTCCCCATCTTGGACTGGTTCAATCATGGAAGCGTATTGTGCCTGTCGATCTTCTTGTTGTCGTACAGCCTGGCGTTGCAAAAAGACGGAACCAACGCAAATGACAATGGCAGCCAGGGCAATACCAATAATCGAACCAGTTCCCAAATTGATACCGTCTGGTTCGGCAGCAATGGATCTATCACCATCACCACCAATATTACTGGAGTCCCCAGTGGCAATCGTCACTGGCGAATTAGCTTCCACTAGGGACAAACCTTCAATCAATCTACCGTTTTGAATATTTTCTTCGAGCTTTTCACGGAATAGATCAATCGTCTCTTGATTGTCATGTTCATTCGTGACAGCCAACCGTACTTCTGCATCCACAATACGGCATACTGAGGTTTCCTCGTCCAAATCGTTTGGGCAATCTGGTAAAGAACAAAACAGACAAGATGTGAGAATTATTTATCATCATGAAAGTGCACAAATACAAGCAACGAAATCAACAAGCAAAAGAAAAAGCTTACCTCTGCTACCCGTTGGAGCGATACTTTCAATTCGTTCAATCCCCGTTGGCAATTGTACCCGAACTTCCAATCGTCTTCGTTGTCTTTCTCGTTGCTTTTGCTCTTGTGTTCCCACCACGGCAATAAGCTCTCTACCCCTTTTTCGCAAATTGCTGTTGGAAACTACTCCTTCCACTGGCAAAGCCTCCACTTCAGCAGCCGTTTCGGCCGCCACAATGTCCATGGCCCCAATCAAATCAAAGATATACGTTTCTTGCGTCACGTTCGTGGGCGAGACAATGATGGTGTACGAGGTCCGTATCGTCGTCAATTGCGATTGGGACGGTGCGGGACTAACACTGGGAGCGGATGAGACCGAGGGAACGGGTGTGGGAGCTGCCGAAACGGTAGGTCCAAAGGTGGGTGGTACCGATGGGAGATTGGTGGGACCAATCGATGGCAATCCCGATGGTGCCGCCGTCGTGGGAGCACTGGATGGGATTCCACTTGGTAGAATGCTTGGTGCCAAAGATGGTTCGATGGAAGGCAATATGGATGGCATTCCACTTGGTAGAATGCTTGGTGCCAGTGATGGAAGAGTCGAAGGCAATATGGATGGCATTCCACTTGGTAGAATGCTTGGTGCCAGTGATGGAAGAGTCGAAGGCAATATGGATGGCATTCCACTTGGAAGATTCGAAGGCGTGGTGGTTGGTACTCCGGATTGAACCTTGGTTGGTAGATTGGAAGGAGCACTCGTAGAAGGAGTGGAACTTGGTCCCAATGATGGCACAACGGAAGGAAGATTGGAATCGGCAATGGTAGGAATGGAACTGGGACCAAGTGACGGTGCAGTGGTTGGAATGTCGCTGTCATTAATCGTTGGCGTTGCCGATGGATTGACCGATGGTACAAAAGTCGGTCTCCCACTATCTCCAATCGATGGTGATTCTGAAGGACTCGTTGTGGGAACATCGCTGTCCATGATTGACGGAACAAGAGATGGACTCGTTGTGGGAGTATCACTGTCCATGACCGTCGGTGTCACAGATGGACTTGTTGTGGGAGTATCACTGTCCATGACGGTTGGTGTTACTGATGGTGTCAAAGTAGTAGGTTCTGAGCTATCCACGATTGTTGGCATCACGGATGGACTAGGTGTTGGCAAGCTACTATCCATTCTTGTTGGCGTCACAGATGGGCTGGCTGTTGGTGTATCGCTCTCCATGACTGTTGGAGTCACGGATGGACTAGGTGTTGGCATGTCGCTCTCCACGACAGTTGGCGTCACGGATGGACTAGGTGTTGGCATATCACTCTCCATGACTGTTGGTGTCACGGATGGACTAGGGGTTGGTGCATCACTCTCCATGACTGTTGGTGCCAACGTTGGACTAGGGGTTGGCATATCACTCTCCATGACTGTAGGCGTCAGTGATGGTGTCGCTGTTGGAGTATTACTATCTTGTCTAGTGGGTCTGTTGGATGGAGCCGAGGTAGTGGGTGATGGTGTAGGAAGTGGTGTTGGTGCTATCGTTGGACTGGCAGTGGTTGGTGTTATTGTTGGAAGGGGTGTTGGTGCACTTGTAGTCGGTGATACGGATGGCACCATGGTGGGAACAGGAGTATCGTCTGGTGTAGGCGGCCTGGTGGGCACGACGATTGTGGGTGATATCGTTGGACTATCGGTAATTTCGACAGTGGGAGTGGCTGTTGGAAATTGCTCTTCCTGAATGATTTGTTCCACTGCCGATTGGGTCACCCGGCACAGGGATTCCATGTACTCTTGTTCGTCGTCATTGGCAGCATCCATATCAAAGATTGGCAGATAAGGATCAGCTGCCAAACAACAACTGTTTGCTTCTGGACAGATACAAGACAAGGCAAAGAATGTACTCTGCAAAAGTAACGGCAAACGCCCGTAGGTTTCCACTTGCAATGGTACCAATCCTTCTGGCGTCGTGGATTGCAAAAAGGTGACATATTCTTCTTTGCTCAACCGTCCATCTCGGTTGGCATCGCTTTCGGCCAAAGCACCAAAACAATTCCGACTCAGACGTCCCTGTCGTTTCATGTCTTTGATCGTCGTGTCTCGCAGTGGAATGAGTCTGCCCTCCTCTGCATCATTTGCGTGAACCGTCGTTGGGTTTGATAACAGCAATTGCACTTGGAACAACATGACAAACCACCATTTGGAGTGTGACTGGGTCTGTGACTGAGACTGGGACTGTGACTGTGACTGTGATTTGGAAGATTTTGTTGACAACGATGACGATGGCGAAGAAGATTGGAGCGATCTCCGTCTTGTTCGTGTTGCATGAATAGCCATTGTGCTGTTACTTTACAGTGTGTTTGTTTGTTCGTTCGTTCGTTCGTTTGCTGGCAGTACTGGGTGTTTTTGTTGTTCCTTTTGACTTTCCCAACAACCACAGCAACACGAAAAAAGATCAGTTGAACCGGGATTTGGTGAAGTTACGGAACTGAGGAATGAGATTTTCGGTCGGGTAGCTGGATCTGTCCGGTGAATTTTGAAGCGCCTGTCAGTCACGTTGACTGCAACAAACCTTAATTTTTTGAAAAATAACATGTCGCAGAAGACTTCAACAGTCAAATCAATCTTATTGTTTGGGCGGGAACAGTTGCCGGCGTCGAGATTCAAATTTCGAGTATGGGGATCGGGGACTGATGTAGTACGTAATGAAAAAAGCGTGACAAGCATCTTCCGGTGGCATGATATGGTACACCACAGGGTACCGGTACTCTTGAAAACCTGACATTAACAACAAATGAACCAAATTCCTGAAAATTCACATGTAAGACGTCGTGGAGCAGCGAGCCAATCTTATACAGGTATATCTTACGGAGCAAATGTACAGGTACGTGTAGTACTACAAGTACTCTAGTACTTTTTGTTTACGTGTACCTGCCATTGTGGATTATCTGTCTCTTTAGAATGCATCCTTTCTTTCCTCTACTCAATCGAGATGGACAACTACAGTACCGGTATATGGTGATGCTTCGCTCTTTTTTCACGGACGACGCAAGACAAAATGATGATGTAAGCATTCGGATCAGTCCTTCCGTTCTCACTCGGAACGTCCGGTCCACCCACCAGGCAGATACACAAGCTTTTCAATCCAAAACGCGTGCTCGTCTTACTCTAGCCAGGCGCGATGGAAAACAGATTGCAGAAGAGGCCTAAAATATTTGACAGATTTGCGTTATAAAAAATTTATTCGACTGTCCATCATTCATTGATTCGTTGATTCATTGATTCATTCGTGGTCTTACTTGTTTGTGGGTGTCATCTGTCATTGCAAATTATCTTTTTAAGATATAATAAGCAGAGGAAGATATAGAATCAATCAATCAATCAATCAATCAATCAATCCTCAGAAGAGTAATACATCATGACTGCGAGGCTGTCATCATCATCATCATTGTCTGTGAGATGGCTGATGTTGTGCACAATGATCTCCTTGATCGCTTTCAGTCATCATATTCATCAAACAGAGGCACTGGTGGTATCGCCAAGGAATAGGCTGCTGCTGACTTCAGTCTCGAATGACTTGTCATCCAAGAAGGAATCTTCTTCGTTTTCTTCTTTCCGAAAAGTTGTACTACAAAGGCCATTACGAGCGTCACTGGTGCTTGCAGGAACAACAAGAAGAACAGCAACAACAACAACAACAACAAGAAGCGCATCAACCATGATGTCTATCCATGGTAGTTCTACAAGACTCTTTCACATGGGACATTCGCACAGTCATCACGATCATCATGACAGCAACAATGACAATGATGACGAAGCACAGCAACATGCGCTGACGCCTCAACAAAAACAGATGCGCTTGCGGCGAAAGATTGCCTTGGTGACGGTCGTTTGGATGGCAACTTGTGGCTCGGCCTTGATTTGGAAAGGTAGGCTGGCCAAATCGGATTGGATGGCCTTTGGGATTGCCTCCGTGGCCTTTTCCAGTGCCGACAAGACGCGACGGGCCATTCGAAGTTACATTCAAAAATTGGCCCGTCTCAAGGATGGAATTGTCAAGCATTCTCCAAGGATCGACTACAATTTGATTGCGGACAGCAGCAGCAGCAGTAGTAGTAGTAGCACTAGCAATGAGAACAACAATCATTACAATGGCATGTCCTCCTCCTCCTCTTCCGCCAACCACAATAATAACAATCATAATTCAGGAGCATCCAATGACAAACTACGCAATGACGCCCGAGACGCCGATCGCGTCACATGGCTCGGGGCCGTCATCAATTTGGTGCTGAGTGTCGGCAAATTGGTCATTGGGATTACCCAACATTCGTCCGCCTTGGTGGCCGACGCGGGACATTCTCTCAGTGATTTGGTGAGCGATTTCATCACGCTGTGGACGGTCAAGGTGGCACGATTGCCCGCCGACGAAGATCATCCGTACGGACATTGGAAGTTTGAAGCGATTGGGTCGCTCTTTTTGAGTTTGACCTTGATTGCGACGGCCATTTCCGTGGGAGTCATGGCCAATAAACAATTGATTGAAATATTGCATTCTTCCTCGTCGTCGGGTACAGCTGCCAAAGCTGCTGCGGTTGCTGCGCATGGTGGACATGGTCATTCCCACATGATTGTCCCCGGCAAATTGGCATTGGTCATGGCGGCCATTTCCATTGCCTCCAAAGAATGGTTGTACCGAATTACCAAAAAGGTGGGAGAAAAGATTCGTTCCCAAGTGGTCATTGCCAATGCCTGGCATCATCGATCGGATGCCTATTCCAGTATTTTGGCATTGCTGTCCATTGCTTGGGCGCGCACGGGAGTCTTGGCGGCCGATGCGGCGGCTGGATTGTTGGTGGCTGGTATGATTGGCATGACGGGGGGAGAAATTCTTATGGAAAGTGTTCAACAATTATCGGATGGGGCCACGCCATGGTTGCAAAAGGAATGTGAAGAGCACTGTCAAGAGTTATGGAAAAAAGATTCTGACGATGTCGATCAAATATCCTTTGTCAAGGCACGACAAGTGGGAAGTCTCAGTTTGGTGGAAGTGGAATTGTTGTGTCCGCCTCACTTGTCCACGACGGCATCAAGGGCGGTGGAAGAACGATGGAACTTTTGGTTGGGAGAATTGTATGGATACGAAGCTACGGTCCATACCAGACCAACAACTACCAATGACAATGATTTGATTGTTCGTCCATTGCTCGAACAGCAACGGGAAATGGATTCCGCAGCGGCGGGGCAAGTGGTGGGGCAACAAAATCAAAAACAACATGGTCACGACCACAATCATGACGATTCTTCAACAACTAATCCTGCTAGTACTAGTACTAGCAGTAATGGTACACTCCAAGACTTTACTGTCATGAAGACTACTCACAATGGCATGGCGATGGAGGATGGCAACAGCAGCAGCAGCAGCTCCTCGTCTGTTCCCATTATGACGACCAGCGCTGGAAAAATTGAAACCTTGGCGCGAAAACAAGTCAGTCTATTTGGAGGTGGAAGTCAAGTGGAACGAGTGACGGTTCATTACAATCCAGGATATGAAACCAGTGTGGATATTATCTTGTCGTCACCACCACTGTCGGCTGCAACGTCTTCTAGTACGAATACGCCGCCATCGCCTCTGACGGAAGAATCCTTGCCCAATTTGGTGGAGAATGGAGCTACGCTAAAAGAATCATTACAGTCACTTATCGAGATTGACAATGCCAATATCTATTGGGATTTGTCATCCATTTCACTACCAGGAGCTAAGAAAAAGATGGCACCTTGAGAGTTTTCTTGAGCTCCGTCTCATCATGAGCAGTACCAAAGAGAAAGAACACAAGACGATAAAAATACACACGAGTAGATCCATCTAGAGAGACCGCTGACTTTTCTTTTCCCTCTTAGTTTCATTATTTTGCCTACAATGAAAGTTTCTTCTGTGGTAAAGTGCTACCGATGATCAATGATGATTCAGCAATATTCAATATTCAATATCGTCTCAAAAAACAGGTTAGCGTCTGTCAGGATACGTGCACCGTAACCAGTCGTTTCAAAGATTCCATTCATTCATTCATTCATTCATTCGATTATTACGAATGAATCTGCCACCAACCCACCCGTTTTTCGATCAGACATGAAAACTGCTGCCAAAACAAGAGGAGAGGGTAGAATACGAAGTTCTTGATCCACGAAGAGCGCAGTGACACTTAAGTTTCGCGACAATGATCCCAATTCCATTCAATGAACTGAAATCATGTCTAGTACTTCTTTCTTCTCTCCACCACATGCTGATGATCAGCATCAGCCTTCCAAAAGTGGAATGAATCTACTGGCTGCCGCAATTTACATTCTCTCAGGATGCTCCCAGCCCATCATTATGAGACTCATAAAGGATGCTGGATTGGCCGATTTCAGCTCCCAACTCTATATGCTGTTTTTCTACCTCGGACCGTCCTTCTTCTTGATCCCAGTTATGATGGAGGAGAAGGAATCATGGCCGTCCAGGCGTTCTACCTGGAGAGCTTGTGGGGTTTCGATGTGGGATCTGATTGCTACAGGCATGAACTATATGGTACCAACCCTCTTTTGAATTTCATCGAATTCCATTCTTGTCATGCCTGCTGTCTCCTCAGCCGGATTCGTTTCGTCTTTGTTTTGCAGGGAGCCGCCTTGGCAGGACCAGCCATTTTCGGAATTGTGTACAGCAGTGTGGCAATTTGGACGGCAGTGCTATCGAGAATATGTTTCAAACGAAAAGTGTCTCTGTGGCAGTGGGCCTGCGTCTTTGTTGTGTTTGTTGGACTTGCCTTGACGGCAATGGATGTCTCACATGACCGCAACAGTGTTCACAAGGGTGCTACTCTTGTTCTGGTGGGATCCATGATGCACGGATTGTTTTATGTCATGAGTGAGTATATCATGACGTATGGGGATGACCGACTTACGGCGAGACAGAATTGCGCCATCCAAAATTTCACTGCCATGTGTTTCTTCTTTGTTTGGCAAGTGGTATACACCATGCCACGGGCCGACGAGAAGTTGTGGCAGCCAATGGAAGCTACTGGAACGACATTGCCTATTGGGATTTCCTTTCTTATTCTCTTTGGCGCCGCAAATCTGATACACGCAATTTCATTCTACCATACGTTAAAATACTTTCCTGGAGGAGCAACTAGTGCGGGTGTAATGAAGGGGCTTCAAGCTGTCCTGGTCTTTGTATTCACGCATTTAGCCTTCTGTGGGAGAAGAGGTGGCCCCGAAATGTGTTTTACCAAAACCAAATTCTTGTCGTTGGTGACGGTGGTCAGTGGCGTCATTGGCTATGGCCTGGCAACGAACGACGAGAAACACCATGGTTACGAAAGAATAGGAAGCGTCAATGAATTATCAGAGATTTCCAATGTCAAGTCGTCAGCTTTAGGACGAGATGAAGAGAGTATATAATAGGTCACATTTCTCTAATGATAGAAGAGCATACCTACCTACTCTTTTGAACATGGAACTTTCGTAGCTTCTTCTATCGAATTCGGAAATTGAGTCAAGCTCGTGAGTGAGCATCAAACGCCACCAAAGCACTTAATGATCAACCGGTGAGAGTGCCAGCTTGCCCGCGTATCTCCGCGTCACCTACAGTACATCTGGCATTGGACAATATTTGTAACGGCGGACAGACAATGACGGCAGGCTGCCGTAAGAAGCCCGCGCTGAACATTTCCTTTGCAGCTCTCATTGTCCCACCAACAGACTCCCAAGCTTGCAAGATCATTCGTTTTCTACTTACAACCTTGACGTCATTGACGTTAATCTCACTTTCGTCCTAATGGGGAAAGCGACAAGTAAAACGGACGGCGCGGTGAAGGATTCAGCCGATGATTCTGAAGAAGCAATTTCGGTTCCTGTTGTGAGTATTCTGATGATTTCCTTAAGACTGAACTCTTGAAGTCGTTATGCTCACGAAGTCTTTGCCTTATTTTGCTCTACGACACTTTGAATTATGTTCAATTTGCCAATCCATCCGCGATACACCGATTCTATGACTCCTCTAATGTGTTCGCGTGATTAATCTGATGTCATCTGTCCTATGAACTCAACAACTCAATGACAATCGGATCTCAGCCGGCAATCCAGACTCAGACGGCCGCAGCATCAGGTAATGGAAAGGAAACCGGCGCAACGGACAACGCCAGCACTTTGAATATAACTGATACGTCCAAGACAAAGGCGACACCTCCTTCAGCTATTCCTGCTGCAGCCACAACTGCGCCAGCTGCACCAGCCGCATCTGCCAAGTGTCCTCTTAAGGACTCAACAACAGTTGCCAAGACTTCTAATCATGCCAATGGCCAAGTAGTAAAGAAAAGAGGCAGAGGCAGACCGCGTAAATATCCTATCGGTGGCAAACCTAAGACGGCACCCAAGACGACCAATGGGAAAAAGTCCACAACCGCAAAAAAGGCCAAAACCACATCGCCCAAACCACTGTCAGCAGCAAAAGCATCCGCAGTAACCACTGCGACTGTAGTCGCCGCCGCAGCCTCAACAGCGGCGAAAGTTAATGCTGCAAAGAAACTACCTATGCACAATACCACCACCAACAACAACACCACCACCACCAACAACAACAACACACCCTCGAAAAGCAGCCGGACGAGTGCTTCGTATTATGCTGGAGGAAGTGTTGGGGGGGCATCGGTCACTGACCAAGATATAAACGACGTTATGGGAATGGATGCTCTTGACTCGGACTCAGCATTTGCTGCATCATTGCTATTAAGTCCCCAGCTAAGTCCTGGATTTACTGCCGAACTGGGATTTGGACCAAGGGGAAACAATGATAGTAAATCTTGGATGGCATCGCCACACCTTCCGGATACTGATCTTTTGGATGATGGAGAAGATTCTACCAGTTGGAATCGTCCAACATCAGGATCATATATTCCTCCAGCAACTGGATTCCCAATGCCTAATTTAGAAGGAACACATCTTGCGAACTCACCGAGCAAAAAGGTAAGACTTGCTGAAAGAAAAACGATTGATGGGCGCAAGTGTTTCTATACGAAGTTTGCGTTCTAACACTCGGCTCCTCTCTTTGAAAACAAAATAGTCTCTACATGGAGCAATGCACAAGATGAGAATGCAGAACGGGGACCATGATGAAGCTTACCGCCAGCTCCAGGAGCGACACGACCGCCTCCTTCAGGACCATGTCAGAATGCAAAAGGAGCAGGAGGCACTGGCCGCAGAGCATGAGAAGATACGAGAGGAAAATAATCGCCTTCTAGAAGATCGAAAATCAATAGAAACTGCAAAGCAACGATTGCAGCAATCCAGTGCCAAGCTGAAGCAGAATAGCGATCGAACCGAGCGGGATCTCCAAAATGTGAATGACAAGCTGGAAATGGAAAAGCAAAAGTTGCAACAAAGCTATAACGAAATGCGACAACAACTTGAACGAGCGACTATAGAAGAAGCTAGGATTCAAAAGGAAAACGAGCATATGAAGAAGCATCAGAATGCTTCAATCCGTCAAATTCGATGTCTCCGAGAAGCTTTCGAACGGAATCAGTTCGAAATAGTGGCGCTGAAGGAGATGCAAAATGAGTACATTGCAAACAATGATAATCTCCGAAATAGACAGGGCGAGATGCTCAAGGAGATTGAGTCTCTGAAGCAAGAAATTGAACGTTTGGAAGAACCAGGAAGAGCCCCCCCGCGGATGAAGAGAGCCCTGCCATTGAATAACGCGCCGACGGGAGCTTCTGATTCTGCACTGCTACAAAAGTATAAGACTTTGGAAGAAGCGCACAAGAAGGTTCAGAAGGACAACGGGGAAATGAGTCAAACTAACGCCAAATTGAAGGCACAGCATGAACAGCTGGAAAAGAGCTACCAACAAAACCAAAAGGAAAAGTCAAGCGTTCAAGAAAGGCTGAACACTTTGACGGGCGAAATGAACAAATCGAAAGCAACCCTGACGAAATTAGAGAAAGAGAAAAAGGAATTGGAAAGTAGCAGCGCCCAAACCAAGAAGCAACTTGATGAGCTCCAGAAGGCAAATGATGGAATGCGAAAAGAAAAGCAGCAACTACTAGATGCCAACATGAAGTACGGAGGAAAACTAAAAGATCTCGATCACGCCCGAAGGGAATTTGACGCTGAAAAGATACGGCTCGAGGGTATCATAGTGACGGTTCAGAAAGAGAAGGAAACTCTGCAGGAAGCCGAAGTCATTTTGCGGGAGCAGCGAGATCACTTGGAGGATTCCTACAAAAAGTTACAGAATTCTGGTGACAAATTAAAGCAAACCAATGCAAAGCTGCAGGAAGAAAAGAAAGAACTCGAGACTAAGGCGAAAAACGAACGCGAAAAACTTGAAAAGACCGTAGCAGCACTGGAAAAAGAGAAGGACGAATTGAAGAGATCGCAATCGAAGGACGAAGAGAAGATGGAAGTTCTTCAGACGAAGTGCGAGGATATGAAGAAAGAGAAGAAGGAGCTTGAGAAAGCTCATGCTGATATTCGGCAGGACTTTATCAGTCTCAAGCGCGCCCATACACAACTTCAGCGCGAAAAGAAGACTTTGGAGGAATCCTTCGCGAAGACCAAACTAGAAGTCGACGACTTCAAAAAGAGTCGCAGCGATTCTGAAAAGGAGATGGGCAAACTTCAGGGAGCCGAAGCCGAATTGCGACAAAGGGTCACCGACCTGGAAAAGGCACTGGCCAAGACCGAAAAGTCTGAAAAGAGTTGGCAGGAAGCATTGCAAACAGCCAAGGACAAACACGCGGAGACTTCCAATCTATATGTCAAGCTTCAAGAAGAACACAGTTGCGTTCAAAAAAAGCATAGAAACCTTGAGGCTACCAACGAGCGTCTGGAACAAGCTCACGACAAGCTGATGGAAAAACAGCAGACTAACGATAGCGGCACCAAGGACGTGAAAAAGGGAACCAATCACCTCCAGGAAGAAAACATCAATCTTTTGAAGGAACTGCGAGATATGAATGAGCTGTACGGGAAGGTCAAGGGGGACTTTGACGATTTGCAGCATGATCATGACAAACTGCAAAGGAAGACGAAGAATTTGGGAAAATTGTTGGGCACCGTCCAAATCGCAGTGAAAGAAGCTGTTGCAGACGACGATAGCGTCACTTATCAAAGCAGAAGAGGTGGGGATGGGTCTGAGGACGAACGTGAACTTCCTTCTGCGACACCTCCTCGGCGGAAAGGCAAGAGATCAGTGATCATTGGTGAACTTGTCGGCGATCTCGAAACTCCTGAAGATATTGCCAATCGCACGGATCTTTTGACTGAACCAGAGCCACGCAAACGTTTTACCAGTCCAGGACAAACTAGCCGAAGTCGGAAACGGCGAGCTACCATTAGTGACATGAGAGGACGACGAAAGGAAGCGAGGACGACGACGAACACTGCGAGTTCGAAACGACGTGCTTCCAGCGGTACTCGTAAGAAAATTACAGATGTTACGACTAGGGCTCCGAGACTGCGATCTGCAAGCAGTTTTGAGCAGGGCACGACTAAGAGAAGGGCAGGGAGACTGCGTTCTGAGAATCCCACTTAAAATTGCAGTCGCCTCGATGATTAATTCCTAGGGTGTCGGATTGAACCAGCAGAGACAAGAAATTTATCAAAGTTTCGGAACAGTGGATTGGAATCTACCTTCTTGTTTTGTAACATCAATTCAGTTTGAAAGACCGACCCCGCCCAAGCTAAAATGTCAAGCAACGGATGGGCCAACCCTGAAGATACGATATATCCATACCATCCGGCACATTGCCGCGTAATATACTTTTATATTAGTGTACTCCATTGGAATTTTGAACCCTTTTTGTTTGATTGTTTTTGTTGTTGTTGAACATTCGCATTTCAGGAGGTGCACCAAGTTGACGGCCAACAACTGCGTCAGCAATCAGGAGCTTTCGGGATGATACTGTAGTTGTGAGGTTGTCATCGTTCCTGTAAGGTTTTATTTTGGGCTTCGTGTCGTGATTTCATGTTATAAATGTAGTCCATTGATTGTTCCTACCGGTATTACGTTTCATCCATTGCATTTTGAGACCATTAATATATTGTTTTACTGCCCTTTTCCCAAACCCTCAGAATGGATTGTTCGTATCTCGTTTCTTCTATTCGCGTTCCGAGGCATACAATTACAGTATGTGCCAGTGTACATCCACTTGTAGTGTATTCAAAATATGACCCGGCTATGCGCAAATGACGGTATCTTCGTTTCGATTGGGAGACTCCGATCATTGTAGTCTCGTTTTGCTTGTGTCATTTTTATTATTTTTGTGGGTTTGTCGTTTTTTGGGGGGAAACAAATAAACGCAGCCAGTGAACCGAGTGAGCCAACCGCCTTTATTCGTAATCTATTAACTAAAAATTCCAAGACCAAAGATGGATTTATCGCCTCAATAATCCGTGAATCGGTCATTTATGAAGAGGGATCCATAAATTTTGTCAACAATACAACGTGGTATTCTCCGGATCTTCGATGTTTGTTAATTGAACTTTTTCAAGATTAGAGCCGGGGTTCGAAACTTTCCACTCCGTGACTTGTATGCAATAGTCATACCTCAGAGGCCTTTGAGATACGAAACCCGTTGGCTGCGTTTGATACACGTTCGTTCACCCATAATATGCTAATGTCAGACAAAGATCAATCAACAGGAAGCAGAACCATGAATCTTGGTGGTGAAACAGCTTTGAATGGACGCCCAAAGCCTTCCTCGCTATCAAGGGGAAAGACCTATTCAGTTTCCACTGGCGGAAGCAGCCGCAACTTCGGCAACACTGATTACTCAAATTCCCCTAGGTCAATGGCTCCAAGGCGAAACAGCTTTGGAAGTCTCTCATCAGTAGCCGAACGAAAGAAGGACCGGAACTCTTATCTAAATAAGCGAAAGAACCGAGACGGAGCAGGTAAACGTAAGGATTTGATTCGCAACTCCTTATTCAGCAAGGTTGATACTGTCTTTGGGGAGGAGACTTCTGATGTCGGCGATCCTTCCGATGTTTCGTTTCAGAACGAAAACTCGTATTTGAAGCGATTGCTGCTATCACCAACTGCAGCTTCATCTTCAGGGAAAAAGAAGTTGAATGTTGATAACTGTCGCTTACAGAAGAAAAAGAAACCTCTGAAACTTCCTCAGATCCCCATTGTGACCCCCAGTCCAGCTTCTAAGCGAATCGATAAGACAAAGGTAGCTGCGAAGGTAGCCGAAAGGAGCAGTCCCAAGGATAAGACACCTAAAAGTTCTTCCAAGCTATCCGCTGAACAGAACGAGAAACGCCTATCCACAGATTCCACAACATCTACTGCCCCAACTGAGGCTTCAGATTCTACGGACAACGATACCCTCACTGCTGTCACCAACAGCGCTGCCAGTATGACCATCGCTGAAGAACCCGTTGAAATTGATTATACAGAGCTTTTTAACTCATTTGAAACTGTTGCCGTGGATGTCAACTTTGCAGAGCCACCTGTGGAGCGGGAACGAAAGATTTCGTTTGCACTGCAAGCCCAAGTAGCATCGATTGCTGATTTAATCGTTTGCTCATCGGATGCTTCCAAAAACTTTGAATGGGAAGATTTGTTTTACACTGAAGAGGAACTATCTGATCAACGACATGAAGCTTTCTTGGAAATGTGCGGATTGGATGATGACGATTAGAAATCTCGTTTCCTTAATGGGGTTGAATCAATTTCTTTATGAAAAGGAATGGAAACGAAAGGGACATGCAAAAAGCTTTAAAAACAATTTTAAAAATATAACTTACTACATAATATATTACAATAGCACATCTTGTACACGTATAAATACCGCAGGAAGATTCTTTTGGAATACACTTCTGTCCCATAAACTAAAATGATGATTGATATGGCACAAGCTGTGAACCGCATGTTTATAATGAGAGAGATATATTGCAGGTGGATTCTTTTTTCTTCTTCGCCCAGCTGAAGCACATAAATTTGAGCAAGGGTCACAAAAGGTGTAATACAGTATCTGCACCAAACGCCATGGTCATTGTTTCAAAATTTTAGCCCGTTTGTCTCCAACGGACATGTGGACAGACCACACGTGCAACCCGCCGTGAATCGAATGAATCATAGTGACAGCTCCTCATGCTACAGTATAAAATATATATCGCTATAAAATAAGGCAGGACAAGAATAAAATGGAATGGAAAGCAGGTCCAATGGGATTTTTTCTTCCTTGGATTCTTCTTTGCGGCATGACAAGTCAAGCGAGTGCTTTTTCGACCCCGATTGCTGCAGAAGACACGCCACGACCAGCTCAATACTACGATGATTATTTCAAAACCCTTCCATCCATGGAGGGAATGACTGTTGCCATTACAGGATGCTCTCGTGGTCTTGGTTACGTGGCAGCTTCAACCGTTGTGAGAAAAGGAGGTCGCGTCCTTTTATTGAATCGAAAAACCAACGCTATGGAATGGTACGATGAACTCTGTCAGGTTGCTGATGCTGCCTCAGGACCAAAGCCAATCCATGTGGAATGTGACTTGCTCAGCTTCGACAGTGTGAATAGTGCCAGTCAAAAAGTTTCAGAGCTCACAGCAGATAGTGGTGGTCTGGATGTCCTATGCTGCAATGCTGGTATAATGCTCCAACCTGATCAAGCCTCCAAGGATGGATACGACATTACTGCATCAACGAACATGCTGTCGCACTTTTTGTTGGTCAAGAATCTTTTCGGTCAGCTATTAGTACAAGCCTCATCGTCCGAAACAGCACGAGTGGTAATCATGTCGAGTGCTAGTGGATATGGGGAGCCTGCATTCAATCCAACATTCTTTGAAAAGAAGGGCGGACAGCTTGGAGGACAAAAGGCGAGCTACGAACGGTATCATCAATCAAAGTTGGCAAACTTGGCTTTCTGCTGTTCGTTACAAGAAAAGTTGGACAATGCCAAGATTTCAAACGTAATTGCGCTTGCTTGTACGCCTGGAGTTTGTGGCACAGACATGTTTCGTCATGCGACATCCCTATTCAGCAAGGACGGAACACCATTGCCACTTTCCAATGTTCCCAATGTAAAGGATGGCTGCATGGCCCAACTGAAGTGCATCTTTGACCCGACCGTGCAGCCGGGAGAACTTTGGGGGCCTGGAAAAGAGGGAAGTCTGGTTCGCACCGATATGTCACCACCTACTGTTTTGATAGACGAGGAAGCCAAGAAAGCCTTGTGGCAAGTATGCGAAGATGCCGTCGGCAAATTTGAAATTTGAGAGGCAGGAAGAGGAAGCAACCCCCGTCAAAGATAACATATGCTATTTTGAATTGGCGACAAGACTAGTCAGTCAGTTTGGCAGGATTCTTATTATCATTATTATTGTTATGCCACGATCACACAATCGAGGAAGGGCTTGCGAAGAATGAATAATGGCCAGCAAGAGCACGCTGGGCGCCTACTAGTAGCCGATGCAAACAATAAATGGTAGTTGTGAGAAGAAAACGGATACAGACAACATAAAATGCTTAACGATGCTTCAGATAGAAAAGTTGAAGCATAAGCAACAGTTGTGAATTGTAGGTTTTTCTGATATACCTACTGTATGCTGTTGTGTATAAAATATCGGCAGCTTGTTGATGTACGACTAGTCCGACTGAGATCTATATTCAAATATGCCGCACGCACGACGACTGTATGTATGCATAGGATCATGATGATGGTGGTGTCACGTCAACTCATCCTAATATGTCTCGTCCTTGTTGTCGCTGAAATAACCAATGGCTTTACCTTACTGTGTCGTAACAAAAGGCCACGGATTGTTTGCTCTCCTCACAAGCAGCCACAACTCCAAATCCTTCCAAAGTCAACACAATCGTTGGCTGATTGCTCGTCAATAAGTATACAAGTAAAGGCTGCACACTTCAATGGGGATGACGAAGTTTCACCTCCAGATGGAAAGGCTGTCGCCGCATTGGGAATATTAAGTGCCCTAACTTGGATAATCATGTAAGACAGAAATGTGTTTGCCGCTTTTATGTTGATTATTCTGGCCATCATATATCAATCCTCATGACGTTCCTTTCGCTCTATATATATTTCCTTCCAGCTCCGTGACGGCACTCTCCTACCACCCAGACCCAAAGTTTGCCAACTGCACCATGCGTCACAACATTTTGACCATGTCACAGGCCTTTGCATTTCCGCTTCCAGTAGGATTTGCATCAGTATCAGTGTCATCATCGTCCGAATTTTCTTCTCTGGCACGGCCAATGCGCTTGGCATTTGCAGTTGCATCCCTATGGCTTGCTGGAGCCAGTCTTTTGGCTCCAAGGTTTGCCTTTGGATTCGATCTATACTCGCCACGACTCAAGGTAGCAGCAGGTTTGGTACATCTTGCTACGGCAGCAGCCTCGCTGAAGTCTTGGACAAGAACGGCAACTACTCAGCAACAAGAACAATCATTGCCTCCAGATTACAAACCAAAGGCTAGTTTGGCTTCTCGATTGTGGGGAATGTCTTCCTTGGGACTATTTTGGTTTACAATCTGCCCGATATTTGCACCCTATCCATTGGCAACCTTCCCTACCATTTTGGGGAAACGATTGTCGCGACCAGCTTCCGCCTTTACCTTGCTTGGTGCAGCACTGGCTTTTTGCTTGAGACAATCGGAACTCAAGGGTACTAACATGTCGAGGCAGGTGTCCATTGCGCGGAAGTGTTTGCTCGTGGGATCAAGCTTGCATTTGTTATTGATTGCACTGAAATTGATTGGAGTGGATGGAGGAGGCTTCCTTCTTGCCGGAAATGGCCTCTGGGAAGTATACCCAGCAATGCTGGCCGTCCCATTTGCTACCGCTTCATCATTATTGATACATGTGCTAGTTTGCATCGCTGCAACAAGGTAGCAGGATGGAATCTTGGAAATGCACCAATGATGAAATCAACGTTCGATCAATCTTTCTGCAATCCCATGCTTTTAGAGCAGTGATTGGATCAACGGGAAACGACCCAAACTTATGAATACCTTCACGCCGAGTTATTGGGGACAGCTTCACTAGCGCACTTGCCGACTGTCAGGAATCGGATCTATTGAACCACGGTGAGATGCTGCGAGGAATGCCCAACAACCACAATAAGAATCCAATACGAACACTTACACAAGTATCAGGAGGACTATATAGGAGAATAGGTTTTCAGAGTAGCAATGGGTTGCTTTTCAAAAAATTATTCATAGGATATGCACTTGTGCACATTGCTCCACATCGTTTGGGTGACATGGTACCAGTTTGGGTGACATGGTACCGGTACCAAGAAACTAAGTTTCTCCATTTCCACCCACGGAGAAGGCAGCCCAAGTTATCACAGATTTTCTTGCATTGGAATGTGTTCATGCGTTTCGGACAAATTCCAACTTGTGAACGCGCTCGACGCTGCAATGGCGCATCAAGGAATGGTTTGCTGATAATCATACTCGTGAGCAGTCAGTCTACGATGAGAGCATTGTGTAGATATTGTAGTCTAAAATCTTCTAAGTTTACATCTAAGTATTGTAATAAATGTATTTCTTTACTGCATGTTGGTCTATAGACCTGAGAAAGTGTCATCGGATGCAACGTTGCTTTGCAGTATTCTCGTTCTTGCCAACCATTGGTCCACTTCTGTGCATTGTGATGACGAAATATCTGAAACTTTGCTCAAGACCTTGCCATTCTTGATGGCCACAATGGTAGGCTGTTCAGGGTCAATTTGCAGCTTGGCAGTAAAAAGTGGTGCGCTCTTTGAGTTGATCCTTCGGCATTCGCACTTGGATTTGGACTCGAGGACTCGCAGCGATAGGACATCTTCAATGGAATTGGAAATGGAAGTTTCTTGGTTGAAAAAGTGTACCAAAAAGACCACGTCGCTTTGCCCGTTGGTCAAGAAGCATTCCGTTAGAAAGCTATTCTGGTCCAATGTTTCGAAAAGACAGTCATCTTCTTCCTCTCCCACATCGTCTTCATCAATGTCGCTGAAGAAGGAGAAATCGTCGCTATCCACAGTGTGATAGTCTCCTTGAGAACTGTTATCGTCAGATACTGCCGCACTTGGTGCTAGGGAGCAGTCCTCCATGGAAGAACGATATGACTCGGGTGCGAGAATGCTGCTATTATCGCTCGATGATGAGATGGTGACGGACTGTTGGGAGGATACCATCGAACCTTCTCCTCGTAGTTTTCGTTGCATTCTCATGCGCTTTCGGCGGTTGGAGATTGGCTTGGTGATCTTTGAGCTAAGGCGTCCGATGTGATGGACGATGCTTTGAGGCTTGGCCTCGTTGGAGCATTGAATGTAGGACATGATGAAAACTTCGTCTGTGATGTTGGTAATGATTCTGTGATGTGATGGGTCGGAAGAAAATGAGTGATGGGTCCGAACTCCAAACACGCGTTTTACTCGTGATGGTTATTGGTTGTAACAGAAAAGCGGCTCCCGCTATTGGAAAATTATTTATATCTTTAGCGTAAAAGGATCTTACATATTGTTGATGCGAACATTTTCTAGTTAACAGTCACAGCCGTTGCGCCTCCAAATTCGGTAATTCTGGTTGCAGTTGGTTCGAACCGAATTTTGGTAGGTAATAAGCTCGTCAAATCAAACACATGTTTAACGAACAATACCGCATACAGCAACTTCTTTTGTACCATTGACATCTGGTATTTGCGCAATGACCTGTCTGCATTTGAAAAATAACGTTACACTTTTCTATGCTTCAAAAGACTTTTCGACTCACTTTAGGCAACAGCTGTACTATGTACCCTGGTATCAGTTGGTACGTGTAACTGGAACCCCGGTGGGCAACAGAAACGTTTGTTCCAGAGAAGCTTTAGAGACTATGGAACCTTGTTCGGTTTTGTACAGACAACAAATGTCGTTTGCGAAACAGTGCTGGAGACGTTCACCAACAAGCTTGATCCCGTTCTATAATTGTGCAGAGTCCTTGTTGATTGTATCTTCGTGTTCAATCGTACTGTAACAGGTGGTACTGTACCCTGTCCAGTTTATAATCCATATTTCCAACACCTTCTGCTGGAACAAGAATAATCTAATCAATGTGCTGTAGTAGTGCACTATTACTGTAGTTTAAAACAAAAAGGCAAGCACTCCTTCTCCATATCCTCGCTATTGGATTCCACAGTTTCAGTTACCGGCACAGCATACTCTTGGTTAGACTGCCACTTTTTGGACGACATTGAATTCCTTTGCATGTAGCTAAAAAGGAAGGTACACTACAGTACTAAGGGGTGTTTCAGATACATGTACAGTCGTAATCAGCCATATAGGGTAGTTAGTAAGTAGTGCGGACGTTCAAAATTGTATATCTATATTTGAGTTGTACATATGTTTATAGCTACATGTTGGTTGATAGACCAGAGAAAGTGGCGCTGGATGAAACGCTTTGAAGTATTCTCGTTCTTGCCAACCATCGGTCCACTTCTGTGCATTGTGATGACGAGATGTCTGAGACTTTGCTCAGGATCTTGCCATTCTTGATTGCAACAATAGTGGGTTGTTCCGGGTCGATCTGTAGCTTGGCTGTAAAGAGTGGTGCGCTCTTGGAGTCGATTCTTCGACATTCACACTTGGAGTTGGTCTCAAGGACTCGAATGGATAGGATGTCTTCAATAGCATGGGAAATGGAGGTTTCTTGGTTGAAAAAGTGTACCAAAAAGACCACGTCGCTTTGTCCGTTGGTGACGAAGCATTCAGTGAGAAAGTCGTTCTGGTCGAGTGTTTCGAAAATACCTTCATCTTCGTCAATGTCGCTGCAGCAGGAGAATGCATCGTCGCTATCAATGGTGTAATTGTCTTCTTGATAGCTACCATCCTCGGATACTGCCACGCTTGCCAGGCAGTAGTCAGCAGTATCGCATACTGATAGAGAGGCGGTCTCTTGGTGCGAGGATGCCACTGACCCTCCTGATAGTTTTCGTTGCATTCTCATGCGCTTTCGGCGATTGGAGATTGGCTTGGTGATCTTGGAGCCAAGACGTCCAATGTGATGGACGATGCTTTGAGGCTTGGCTTCGTTGGAGCACTGAATGTAGGACATGATGAAAAATTTGTGTGTGATGTGATAGGCTTGGAAGGAAAAAAATATGTGAACGAAAGATGTGATGGATCCGAAGTTTTGAGCAGACAAATACAGTCCCGAAATAGAAAAAGTCCGTGCTTTTTGCAAGGATTTTTTGTGCGCTTCGATGTCCGCATTCAAACAAAAGTTCAACATGTTCTCTTCCTTCTTCAACGCGTATTACATATATGGAGAAGCATCTGGTGCCTACTTAGCCTCATTGAAGAAGGCAGTCGGCTGGCTCGCGGATGATTCTTTACACACTGACACTGTCGACACTATATTATATATACCCCGATACCGTAAATGCAGATATTCTGATTGAACTTCTTATCCACCTTGCAGAAGACAACCGACTGGCTCACGGATGACACTACGGACACTACTGTTGTTCTAGTTTTTAATTGAAGTTCGGATTGCCGATGATTGATTCAACACGCTCCATCCACCACCAATACAACTTCAAAACAAAAGGTATGGAGATTGTCTGGCTCGACACACTCGCGGTTGCAATAGGTCCAAGAGGGTGTCGACGAGGGCAACATGTCTTTGTGTCTGTTGTCTTCTATTTGAGCGTTGATGTTGATCGTTGTCAGCCTTTTGACATCTTTTGCTGATCTGTTGGCTGATGATCAACAGCGGATCCTTCCTCTTTGGGTGTTCCGGATTCATTTTGGGATTTGTAATTCTTATCTTGGAGTATGGAAAGCGTGTTCCAGCTTTTGGAGCTATGGAATCCAAGTTGTACAAGAATATGGGCTGCCTCAAGACTGTCTGGGGCCGTGGTTGCCTCTTGTTCTTTGCCGGGACTGTCGAATTCGCCCAGAATGATTTCATCAACTATGCTATCGGTAATTACCTTTGGAGTGTTGGAGTTCTCTTCATCTTGATCGGACGCAGTGCCGCTCGCAAGACAGCCACTGCCCGAAGAAACTTGTGCACTAGCGAACAATGGGTAAAAATGTTTGCTGGTGTCGATCAAAATGGTGGTGGTTTCATCACCAAGAACCAATTCGGCGATTTGACCGTTCAGTTGGAAATGAATGTTACTCGAAGAGAAATCGAGATTGCCTTCCGACAGATCGATGTCGAAAACGAAAGCCGCATCGATTTTTCCGCCTTTATGAGATGGTGGAATGACGAAGCCACCGAAAAGTGGGACAGCTTTGTTCCACCCTCGGATATGGCTTGAGACTTACGCATGTTGAGTTTGTGAGGAGGATAGCGTTTGAGAGCAGTATAGAGATTGTTGTCTAGCTACATAATACAACGGTTGCAACAGGTAGCTAATAGTAGCTGTTATGAAGGTCCAAAAAAAGAGCTATTATTATATCTGTATTGTATGTATGGATGCTACATGTTGCTAGATGAGACCTGAGAAAGTTTCTCTGGGTGCAACGCTTTGAAGTATCCTCGTTCTAGCCAACCAATTTTCAACTTCTGTGCATTCCGACGATGAAATATCCGAGACTTTGCTCAGGACCTTGCCATTCTTGATTGCAACAATAGTAGGTTGTTCGGGATCGATTTGCAGCTTAGCTGTAAAGAGTGGCGCCCTTTTGGAGTTGATCCTCCGGCATTTGCACTTGGATTTCGTCTCGAGGACTCGTTTCGATAAGACATCTTCAATAGCATTGGAAATGGAGGTTTCTTGGTTGAAAAAGTTAACCAAGAAGACAACGTCGCTTTGCCCGTTGGTCACGAAGCATTCGATTAGAAATTCGTTTTGGTCCATTGTTTCAAAAATACCTTCCATATCCACCTGTCCCAACTCGTTTTCATGATCGTCACCAAAGAAGGAGATTTCATCGCTGTTGCAGCTACCATCTTCGGATACTGCCACAGCGTTCTTTTGGGAGGATGTCAACGATCTTTCTGGTAGTTTTCGTTGCATTCTCATTCGCTTTCGGTGGTTGGAGATGGGCTTGACTATCTTGGCACCAAGTCGTCCAATGTGATTGACGATGCTTTGAGGTTTTGCCTCGTTGGAGCTTTCAACATAGGGCATGATGAAATTGCAAGTCGTGCGATATGATGAGGGGCTTCAAAAAAATGTGACGAAGGAAAATGTGAAGGGTCGATATTAAAAAATATTTTGATCAGACGATTTATTTGCTCCCACGAATCAGTCCCGAAATAAAAGTCAGCACATTGTGGTACTACTGTACGTACCTCTGAACACATTCCTTCCGTTTTGGTTACCATTAAAATGGCGATTGAAGAACATACACCGCCCCCAGCAATCCTGACATATAAATTTGCAACTTCCGATCGACAGTAGTTGAAGTCTATTTTTTTTTATAAAACAGAGTACCGGTACCTCTCAAATTTGGGCAACTTTGGGCAACAGCAGTACCGCCACGATTGTCGAAATAAAGTAGTAGCATACCGGTACGTTGGCCCCAGCAATTTTAAAAGTCCGTGCTTCTTGATACGATACACCTTCTGATCGACAGTATTTGAAGTACTGTATATTTCGCAATTTACTTTCTTGTGATTCTCGGTCTTCAGAGAGCATAAAGGGTTTTGGAAAAAGCGCTGCTGTAGCTTCGATTCCGAGTTTGTTAGCAAGGTACAATATTATAATCATTAATTCTCTTATTTCTTCAAAATGGACAAAACGGAGTCAAGAGTAAACCCTAATGCAGTACTTTCAAGAAGGGCCTACACCAGTCCATGCACTATCATTCGGATGTTGGAGTAACTTCTTTGAATCGTACTTGATTCTAAAGCATCTTTGTCACTCATGGACACCCATGACAAGGCTGGCTGGCTGGTGGCCTGGAGAATTCGGGGTGGGATCAGTGTTTTCAATGTAAACGTAGTTCAGCAATTGCACCATCAATGCGCCTACCTTTTGTTTCAGATCTCTAGTAGCGCTTGAAAGCAATGGCTTTTTAGCTAGATGCAACTTGGTGGTACCCACGTATGTGGTGAGAAAAGTGCATCAAGAAGTGTTTGAAATGCCTATACAAAGTTGTAGTCTAGTCTGAAGTTTATTTTTAGGAGTATCTCTGAATTGTATCTGTATTCTATATTCATATCTATACTATATCTTGGTGGATAAGCCTGGAAAAGTGTCGCTGGATGCAATGTTGCTTTTCAGTATTCTCGTTCTCGCCAACCATTGGTCCACTTCTGTGCATTGAGATGACGAGATGTCTGAAACTTTGCTGAGGATTTTGCCATTTTTGATTGCAACTACGGTAGGTTGTTCGGGATCGATGTATAGCTTGGATGTAAAGAGTGGCGCGCTCTTAGAGTTGATCCTTCGACATTCACACCTGGAGTTGGTCTCGAGGACTCGTATTGACAAGATATCTTCAATAGCATCGGAAATGGATGTTTCTTGGTTGAAGAAGTGAACCAAGAAAACAACGTCGCTTTGCCCGTTGGTGACGAAACATTCAACTAGAAATTCGTTTTGGTCCAGTGTTTCGAAAAGACTTTCGTCTTCCGTATCGTCTTCATCAATGTCGCTGAAGCAGAAGGAGAACGAATCGTCGCTATCCATTGTATGGTAGTCTCCTGGCGAGTAAGAGCTGGTATCATCGGATACTGCCACACTTATTTGGGTGCTATCCATGGCTTCGCTTACGGATGCGGTGACGGCCTGTTTGGAGGATATCATCGAATCTTCTTGTAGCTTTCGTTGCATTCTCATGCGCTTTCGGCACTTGGAGATGAAGATGGGCGTGGTGATCTTGGAGCCCAGACGTCCAATGTGATGTACGATGCTTTGAGGTCTGGCATCGTTTGAGCTTTCACTGTAGGACATAGTGGAAAATTTATGTGATGCAGTGAGCTCAGGAGAAAAGAGGAGAAGTCGTTTTCCTCCCTTTTCTTGGGTGAGAACATAATCCTTTCTTGGGTCAGAATAATATTTTAAATGTTTCGATTCACGAATAGAACTCGAACAAAAGGCCTGTCTCTTTGCGATGTGTGTGATAAACTTCACATATATTGTTTGATTCTGTTGATTCATCCTTACTTATTTTCGGCATGAAACGACCATGCACCTTTGATAGTATTTTTCTTCTGCTCTGTTCTTGTATGATCAAACCAGAAGGGCGCAACTAGATCGAAAAAAAGCTTCAATACTACGTGACCCCTGATACTGGAGAAGAATTTGAATTGAGTCACAAACTGCGTCACAATGACCTGTTTGTTGTTGGAATATTTGACGACTAAAAAATTAGTGGTTCAGCTTGAAGTGGTTGCACAGCCACTACATACATTGCACTACAACGTCTTGTTTTTTGCCTACATTTAACAATGACTGATGCTTGCTGCTTTGGTTCAGTTGTCGAGGTGGTTACTGTTGTCTTATCGCTGATAGTGTAAGATGAGACTTGGGATTGTAGACTTGTAACAACAATAGTGCATTTGACTGCATATTTCTATTTTACTGAAATATGTAGTGGAATATGATATGTCTCTTTTTAAAAAGTCACCCAGATGACTCTTCAAATTCAAAATGACTGACACAAATAGCATATAAAAAATAATAATACACGTATTATACGTGTACACGTGTACGTGTACGTGTACAGCACGACCAACCCACACGACGAAAATAGCTGACACAGCAGTCAACAAATATTAGGAGCACGACAGCTACACGTACCGCAGTAAAGAGGAAATCTATCAATGCAATTCCACTGATCTTCTTTGCCTGATGCGTTCTGGCATCAAATCACGGGCAGAAAACAATGGAAGGTGAACGGAACAGATACAAGGTTTGGATGGCTTTGGTAGCCTTGCTTGCACTCTTTGGGATCAACTCGATACGCCGACCGCTGATGATTGAGTCATCATCATCATCATCATCATCATCATCTTGTAAGACGAAAGAGCGACAGGCTATCCACCAGAATAAAGAAGACACTTCAGATCCGCCAGAAGTGTTGCTTAGTGTCCCCTTCTACGTCTACGAAGAATGGTCTTGGTTGAACAGCTACTGGATCAAGGAAAACGGGAACAACGAAACGGTTGAGCATTGGAGCACCAAGACATCGGACGATGGCCACCCTTATTACAACAAACATGGCGACGACTTTTGGTTTCTCAGAAATGCAATGAAACATCCCATGCGCACAACCGATATCTCCACAGCCAAGCTTTTCTTTGTTCCAACGCTCTTGAATCAGTTCGACTGGTCGCTGCGAAGAGGAAAGAGGAACATATGTTTCAACAAGGATTGCTGCAAGTACGATCTCATCCAACGTACGCAACAATATCTCAATGCTTCTGAAGCCTTCCGTTTGTACCCAGAACGTCACGTGATTGTCAGATCTTATTTTACACCGACGTGGAAGAATTGGGATGTAAGAAAACAACCATCGGAGGGGCTAGTCGAACTCAGGGAAAGCTATCGAAGTTTCTTCTTTGAAATGGTACCTAAGATGCAGGCAATTGTGTTTGAAGGAAAAGACTTCGCTGATACAGCTACCCACCAAGTTCCCCGTCTTGGCCGCCATATTCTGCCAACCTATTATGTTGGTTCCCCTTGTCTCGGCTCGCCATCCAACAAGAAGACTCTGGATATTGCCATGATTGCGACCATGAAAGGCATATATGATGGCCGCAAAAACTTATGTAGATGGCTGAACGGAAACCCCAATGTGAAATCCATATGCGGAAAAGGAGAGCGCTGTCCAGCTTTGGCAGATGCAAAGTTTGGATTTCATGTGGCGGGGGATACGTTCGGGTCACAACGACTCATGGATGTTTTGCTGTCGGGGACGGTGCCAATATTCAGTCATTTGGACCAGTATACCATCCAAGGCGATTGGATTGATTGGGACCAGCTCTCATACTACATTCCGCTACACAATGATACGACAGCTTACAGCGAGGACCCAGTCACTCGGTTTTCAATGACAAATAATTCTGTGGAAAAAGTCTTCAATGAACGACTTCGGCGTGTCTTGGACGACGAAGAAGGCTACCGTAAACGACAAAAAGCAGTGATTGATCACCTCGAATTCTTTGATATGAGAACAATATATCCCTTTGATACGTACATGTACCTTTTCCAGGCGGAGCTGTATCCAGAAACAAGACACACGCGGAGTCGATGGAGTGCACTGATAATGCCGCCTCCTCTTTTCTCTAATTCGCTAAAACAAAGTTAATATATATGAGCTGGACACTCTAGTATGTGCGACTGACCTCTTCTTGGATAAACGGATATGAAAATAAGATCCTATTTACTATTTTTGACAATCTAGATCTTATTGCAAAGCTAGCTTTACTGTTGACTACTACAATCAACATTGACGACGTGACATCACGTGTTTGAGTTACGGGTACAAAAGTAGTCAAGTAGCTCGTAGGAACAGTGAAGGCCCAAAACTGTACGCCAATATTCAAATTGTTTTACAATGAATCTATACATACATCGTGGTGGAAAGACCTGAGAATGATTCCCCGGTTGCAACCTTCTGAAGTATTCCCGTTCTCGCCAACCATTGGTCCAATTCTGTACATTCCGAAGATGAAATATCCGAGACTTTGCCCAAGACCTTGCCATTCTTGATCGCCACCACCGTAGGCTGTTCAGGATCAATTTGTAGCTTAATTGTAGATAAAGGTGCGTGCGTTGAGTTGATTCTTCGACATTCGCACTTGGAGTTCGTTTCCCGGACTCGTTTTGATAAGACATCTTCAATGGCATTGGAAATGAAGGTCCCTTGGTTGAAAAAGTGAACCAAAAAGACGATGTCGCTTCGTCCGTTGGCGACAAAGCATTCAGTTAGAAATTCGTTTTGGTCTAGTGTTTCAAAAATACCCCTACATTCTTCCTTCACTTCAAAATCGCTGAAGGAGAGGGAGAATTCATCCTCCTCGCCATTCATGGCATCATGGTAATCCTCTTGTTGAAAGCTACCATCTTCGGAGCTCTCCATGGTATCGCTTACTGACTGAGCGACGGACTGTTTCATCGATCCTTTTTGTACTGTTCGTTCCATTCTCGTGCGCTTCCGGCGGTTGGCGATAGGCTTTGCGATCTTGAAGCCAAGACGTCCAATGTGATGTAAGATGCTTTGAGGCTTGACATCGTGGGAGCATTCAATGTGCGACATGGAAAACAATTGCAAGAAGTTACAGTGGTCCTTTGCAATGTACCTGGAAGAAGAAATTATGGATGGTGTTCGAAAATAGGATGCTGTACCAAGGTACATGGTAACTTAAAAACATATTTTGAGAACATTCGAACAAGTTGTTTATCCATGAGAATAAAAGCGTGTGTTCGTACCTGTCAGGTCGCTTCGGTTTACTTATCGTTCCTTTTCAGTTTATGTCAATTTGCTTCATGTTTATACTTTTCAGCTCGTATTTCTAATCATTCTTGGCAACCGTATTCTTATAGACGACGTTCCAGTACCTTAGATTATTTAACACTTGGCACGACAAGCTACTTCTGACCGTACAAAGTGATCATGCCATTCGCGTATGCAATGTTGAAATGAGGCGAAGTGCGAAAGTCGAGAAAATAGCAACTAAGAGAAACTCCAGAGCAGACGTACATTCTCTAGGTTTTAAAAAGTTCTCAAGTGTTCGGCTTGTCGCTACAGAAAGCAAAGAGGTCATGCAACGATTGCTGCAAACCCAATCTCTTTCAACGCAGCACGTGGCAATACACTACTATTCCAAAGCCTCATACTGGTACCACATGTAAGCCTTCCGCTTTTGTGCCCAAAAGAACATCACGTCATGGTTGTCTGGTCTTAGATAGCAGCAGAGGGCACAAACGTCTGAGATGAAGCTAACTGTACTTCCGGAGATCAGTTAACATCTCTTCTTGGAATTGGAACCACAAACGCAAGCACTTGGCGCTGTCAAAAGGAAATACGTGCTTTGCCGAGAAGCAACCCACCGGGCTCATCGACCTGGTGGGCGCCATGGTCAGGCTACCTATTTGCGATATTATTCCCCTCGATTCAACATTTTTAAAATACAGATGATGATAATATAGTTCTTATGGAAGCCTTTATGCTGGCCCAAGGAGCTTCACTACGTTTCTATTCTTCAGCACTTGGCTCCTGGACTTCTTCTACCTTGGAACCCTCCAATTGTGCGTCCTGTGGCAATTCTACTTGAATTCCCAGATCAGCAAATATCTGAATAACTTCATAATGCCCAAACTTGACAGCCATGTACATTGGCGACAAGGCCAAGTATTTTCCTTCCTTATCCTTCCACTTGGAAATATCATACTTATCTTCTTCCAAGAGTTGCTTCACCTTGGCTACATCTCCTTCGCGGCAAGCCTTGTCCATAATGGCATCCAAGTCGCCACCCAGATTGGAATATAGATCAACGCGTTTGACCAAATAATCAACGATTTCCTTGTGTTCATATTCTCTTGCCAAAGACAGGGGCTCGTCGTCAACCTTGGCTTTGCCTTCTTCCACTAACAGTTTCACAATGTCGAACTGTCCTGCAAAAGATGCCCAAGATAATGCGGGGTATTCACCATCGCCATCCATGATTGTATCAATCAAAGGTGGTTGGTGGTACGGCAAGAGGGCACGTACCAATTCCAAATGGCCGTAATCAATTGCAATGAAAATGGGTGGCGACCTCAATTCTAGGCCTTGCGCATCGGTCCACGCTATCGGAGTGCTGCAGATAGTTTCAGCTGACTCAGCGGCCTTGATCAAATCCAAAGTCTGGTCGATGGAACCCTTGACGCAGGCTTCAGAGAGAGCCACAGAAGAGGAAGAGTTGTCGTTGTCTGCCATTGTGTTGATGTTTCGCTCGTCCTGTCTGAATGAATGAAGTTTCAATTTATGGCTATTTGTATGCAGTGTTTAGAATCAAATTTCTGCAGCGTTTAAGATATGTGAAGTGGATCGATGAGCTTGAGTTACTGTATGTGTCCTCGTGGTTCCTTCAGTTAGTTTGAGATTGTGAGCACAGGTAGCGAATGCGATTTCAGTTTTATTGTTGTGTGTTTCGAAATGACGCCATTTTGAATTTCGTTCGATGGACATCGCAAATCGAACAACCTTGAAGCCGTTTTTCAGACACACAATTCGAGGATTCCGGATTCTGGTTTTGGGAAGCGTCGACTCATATGACTACTGCATGCCTCTTCATTTTTTGTTTAGGTACCTACTGGCGAATTTGCTATGATGGTATATACTCTCATATTATAAAATGCGTTTGTCTCTCTCCTTGATGGTAGACTTTGGAGCCAAAATCAGGACAAGATATCGAAAATCAGGAGTTTACAAGCGCATTGCTTCAGTGAAATAAGCCAACACCATATCATCATCGCTCTTCTGGAGACATTAGCTCTTGAAGTGCTGTTGGTGGCGTCGCGTCGTTGTGTAAACGTTTCATTGATTGATCGTATCTATCGGCGGCAGGCACTGTCACAGCGGTGTGTCGGCTGATGCAATTGTTGCGAGAAAGTCCTGTGCTGAAGCTGTTGGACCAGCGAGAACCAACCCTAGTTCCCGGTAGAATTCTTTGCAATTCTGTGTTGCCCACAAGATTGAACTTTCATGTAAGAGTATTCGAGTTCCTCACTTTTCGTTAGATTCTCGATTCATTCGCAATTTTCCATGCCCACTATTCGTAGCTGGATTGAGAACGACAAGCCTCGACTCGGTATGAAGAATCGTCTTTCTTGCTGGCAGCTCTTAAAATAATACTCTCAAGATTCCAATAGAAGTGGATCTCGGTCGAATTCTACGCCTTCGTCATCATCCTTGTGCTTTCTTAACTGAACAGTATCGAATACATTGCGATCAGTGGCACCGAACAGAAAAATAACGCCACCAATTGCCGACACAGCAGACGCCAAATGGAAGACGGGGATCCAACTCGATTCCTTCCCACTGGTCCCTTGCTGCTGCTGCTGCTGCAACAAGTACCCGGTCACCACGTTTCCCAAAATGCCGGGAAGCGTTCCAATTGAATTGGAGATGCTCATGATGGATCCGGCATGATCGGGTCCACCAACGTCAATCATATTGATCCAAAAACCAGAAGTGCAAGCCCTGCCAAAGAACAAACATCCCGACAATAGTCCAATGGCAGTGATAGAAGCCGACGGAGGAGTGTATGGTAACACGTAAAGAAAAGCGGCAGGCAAGAAGCTTCCAATGCTATGCATCATTTTTCGAACATACAAAGTTGGAATCTTCCGTTCTGTAATGAGGAAATCTGACAACCGGCCGGATAGAAGGAGGCCAAGATATCCACACACATAAGGAGCAACCGTCAGTCCTGGATGTTCCGACAGGTTCCACCCCAAGGCTTCCGTCAAGTAGGTAGGCAGCCAGCACAAGAGGATATACCAACTGTAGTTTGCTGCAAAATGTGAAGCATAAATGACCCAAAGATGGCGGCTGGTCAAGAGAATACGCCAAGGCATGGTAGCTTTCTTGATTTTGCCCTGTGATGACGAGGATGAGTACGTCTCCTCGATTATTGGCAGCCCCGCTGATCCAAGTTGAATCAAGTCCAGTTCCAGCTTGGAAACTAATGAATGCTCTTGCGGATTGCTCGTGACATGTCTCATGAAAAATACAAGCCATACCATGGAGAGGATCGAAAAGACAATATAAATAACTTGCCATCGGCCATCGGTCATCTGAATAAGCCAAGGAGAAATCAATAGTGCCAAAATATTTCCCAAATCTGAACCACTGGTGACCATGGCTACAAGGGTAGCTCGTTCATTTGCGGGAAACCAATAAGAAGCAAAGATATGCAGGCTAGTCATAGTGACACCCTCACCACATCCCATTCCAGCTCGAACCAAACTCAATAAGAACAAAGATGGATAGGTTAATATGGTGAAAAAGTCACAAAAGGTCCACACCAAAACACCAGTGGCCAAGACTTGCTTGACGCCAACTCGCTTGGCAAAGTAGCCAGCTGGAACCTGAGTACATATGTAGCCATAAAAGAATGCCGATAGAACAATACCTCGATCCCCATTGTCGGGAACAAAGTGGGGAAGGGCAATCCCGATATTCATTCGGCAAGCATAGCATAAAGCATTGGCTAGACACAGGATGAATGCCACCCGATATCGTTGATTCTGCAATTTTCCTCCAGGCATTGTAAAGGTTCCACCAATTAACCTCTACCTATATCCGCAGTGCATTGCTTTATATTCTGAATTCTTATTGAGTGTTGCGTGTTATTAACTGGGATCGACGCGATACTTGGGTCATGCGATCGACTCACGTGACTACTGGCGGGTGGTTGCGAATACGAATAACTCCTCACGGCAGGTACCAGGCACGGTACGGGTACGAGTACATCAGTACCAGTACGATCGCCTTCGTCGCCCTCCCGCTCGGTGTTCCGTCTCTTTAGGTCTATTTCAACCATTCTCATGGTATGGTCCCACAGACCTTGAAACACGCGAAACTGAAACAAGAAAGAAGGAGACTGTTTGAAAACAGGAAGAGGGCGGGTACTACTGCAGCAAACTGATTGCATTGCTACTTCATTGAAACGGAGAGCTCATGCATGGGTTATATCGGAGATTTTTGTAAATATTATAAACGTTTCTATTTATTCGTTTTGAAACAATCAGAGGGTTTCCTGGTCGATTCGTCTGTCGCTGCGGTGCAAGGGCTGTTGCAATGGTTTCGAAGTCCTTGTAGTAGAGCCGCTCGACCACCGAGAGTCTAGCTCTGTTTTGAAGTGCACATGGCATTCCAAGGAAGGGCGAAGGTTCTTTCTCTTTTTGAGATGCTCCTGCCTTGCTTTGAAGCAGCTTATTGGCAATGTAGACGATAGTCGTGGTGTATTCCTTTGCCTTGCTGGTGGTGGTGGCTGTGGCGAAAAGTTCTTTAAGGCCACCTCCTCTTGAATGATACCTCCAGTTTTTAGAGGATGGAGTGTTGGATCATTCATTAGTACCAACAGAGCGGCCGATAGGATCCTATTGGTAGGTGACTTTGTTGTTGTTTGTTTTGACATGGTGTAGCCTTGCATGTTGTAAAAATGTGAGCAGATCTGCTGAAAATGTGTGATACTGCGTACACTGGGAAACCTTCGGATTGCAAAGAATGATCATAAACGCTTTCCCGTTGTTCTTCCTCTGCTCGAATAATGAGCATATATGTCGTGAGATCGACCGCACGTCACAAAATGGGTACCTACCGGTGTTGTTGCTTGGAACACATTGTGACTTTCAGAAACCTTCAAATTGCGAAGAATGATAACATGTTTGCTACTTATATGCCCCCAAGATGAAGCGTATGAGTCCTCAAACGTTTTCACATTGTTCTTCTTCTCGAGCGAAGGCATTACATGGCGCATCTATATGATCGCACGTCACAAAATGGGTACTTGGTGGTACTGGTAAGGTATCGGCAGGTGCAATTTCAAATTGTTTTGTGGTTTGGAGTGCAAATGAAAATTGTTACTGGAATTTGTTCAAGTAGCATGTTGAATTCCCGAATGTTCTCTTCGTCTCATTCATCGTACACGTGTACGGTACGTGTGCAGTGTGACTGCCAAATGTGACGACATGCAAATAGCAGCGAATTATTGGAAAGTAAGTATAATAAGTCCACGTTCCTTGGTTGAAGTGGCATTCTACGCCACTCGTTTCTTTCTGGTCAATCATTCGCATTCTGCTGAAAGAACTGCATGACAAGACGCGATTTTTGTGGTCGAAAGGTGGTCAGCCCTACGGGTACACTCTACTGTAGTTTCGGGGTGTCGACGCGAAACGCGACTTTAAACTTGATGTTGTAATTGTGAGGCTCTTCTGGGCTTTTCGCTTTTCTTGTGATTGATGGTCACACATTCCGAAGGAGCACGTTTCGGAAAACCTGTTTCCTTCATTTCACATTCCATCTCAGTGCAGCTGCATCATTGCGAAATGGCAGCATCACATAAACCCAACTAGCTTCTAGTGCTTGATGACCGATGGCTGGGATTTTGCTCTGTCGATGATTCATGTGACTCACGACGACAGAGTTAAATTCTCGCCAATGCTTTGCTTCAGGGCATAGGACCCAACAGTATGTAATCCAACGATACCATCTAGTAGGAACGCAATGCGTTGCCAGAGTTTCTGCTTGATTGTGTCTTTCGTGTCAGAGCTTCTACAAATTTTGAAATGAAGCAAAGTTGGCCATACACCTCAGTTTGAAAATTGTACGTTCACAGAAACGGATAGCTCATACACTTGATAGAGGCGTGGGTAGTTTGTATCAGAATTTTTTTCTTATTCTTGAATATTTTATCTATTCTTTTAGAAGCTGTCATCAGATTTGCCGGCAGGTACTGTCGCTTCGGTGCACGGGGTGGTGCAATGGTTGCGAAGTCCTTGTGGAGCCGTTCGACCACCGACAGTCCAGCTCTTTGTTGAAATGCACGTGGCATTCGTCCAAGCAAGCAGCAAGACACGCTCTCGTTTTCACGTGATCCTGCCTTGCCTTGAAGCCGCTTCTTGGCCTTGCGAAAGATGACTGTGAGGAGCACACCACTAATGGTGTATTCCTTGGAGAGGAGGAGAAGTTCTTCTTGAAGGACAACTCTTGAATCTCTGCACTCGTTAGACGCAGCGTTGGATCCTCCATTAGTACCAGTAGAGTGGCCGATAGGATCCTATGGGTAGGTGAAATTGTTGATTTTTGTTTTGACAAGGTGTAGTCTTGCATGTTTTATATTTGTGAGCAAAAGTTTGCGGTGAAAACGAGAAGCTTTAGGATAGATATATAAAAAAGAATCCAAATATAAATAAAGCGCGACCGAAGTATGTTCGGGTACAGCACTGTTATCCATTTTGAAGCTGGTTGTGATTTTGTTTGCATTTTGATAATTGTTCATTATCCAAGAATCCACACAAAGAGCAATATGCCACCAAACTGGCGGATGGAACAATTTGACAGATGGTATATCTTTTTTGAAGAACATACCCGTACACGTCCCTTGCGCTGTGTTAGCTTGGTGGAAGCGAAAATACAGTTCAAATGCTACGACGCCCGGCTGTTTTTCCAGTCAATGATTTGCGTTCCGATGGAAGAAGCCAAACTTCAAAGTCCCATGACTTTAATTCACAGTGTTCCATAAACACCATATTATAGTTGCAAGAACTTTTCACCAAAGCCCAGGATCCGCCATATGGTTGGAACCCTCCTGTCATTTTTTACTAGAGCTAGTAGCTGCTTGTTCCTTCTCACACATGATGCACGACAGAAACTGCATTGCTGTCTGTCGATCAGATGGGTCATTTTTCTGATGCCAGAGTTCGGATCGGTGCCGTTCCACTTCTTATTTTTGGTTTGAGAGCAGCCGGCGTATATGCTGAGTTCTTGTTCAGCATACAACAATACTACTACTAAGGACACCATATGGATGTATGTTCTACTTGCTTTTGTAGTTGCCTAGTGCCAAGATCGCGATGGGGTACTATGGGACGCCTGTAGGGTCGAGATGATGAAGCATGAAATACAGCCGAGGAGTCAATTTGTGATTACCATGCTGCAAGTTGGTACAGTACACATTACTATTATATGATCAAACCTTATATATGGTACAAACACTAATATTATGAAGCTGAAGCATCCTCTAGTTCATTCTAAAGTACCAGGTAGTAGCACTGTAGAAGATAATCAAAAGACCACAATTCGAATATATAGATGACAATAAGACATGCCAATCTGGTACTGTACTACAATTATAGTAGTGATTAGTTAAAATGGTGTAAGACGCCGCTGCCCCGTTGTTGGGATGTTCAGTCCATAGTGCCATCATCGCGATACTGCATGCACCACCGAGTATTGCAATAAAAATTATTATTATTGGCAACAACGGCTGTTCACATGTCTGACGGATATCGCTTGCTCCCCATATTTGAGCAGGGTGATGGATCACATGACACTGATATCCCAAGCGAGGCTTCCGCTTTGCCTTTCAATCCTTTGGAAATAGTAATCTCGAACCGATGATCTTGTTCTTTAAGTAGGTACGCCAATCCCAAATCCTAAAGGGACCACTTATCTGGGATCTTGCTGATCAGGACGCGCTTACGAGCCTCGACCTGCCCATCCCACTCCCGTCGTCCCACCCAAACGATTGATTCGTTTTAGGTGGCCAAACAAGACTGGAGGGAAGCACCCAGTCGCAGCAAGCCATGAAATCATCTGGTTTCGCGTCGCCGATGCGACCTAGTGAGTGACCAATTCACTAGAAACCACAAAGGCAAACACTAGCCTTCCGAAGGATCCCTTGGAAGTGTGACAATAAAATAAATGCGAAAATGTATACTCGCCAAAATGTCCTAAAAGAGAAAAGAAAGAAAAAGTGAGATCATGGTTAAAAAAGTAAATGCAATTGATGGGGTGAATTTCCAGGTAAAACTCTTTGATGGGTTGTTCGTGTGTTGTCGCACACTATTATCATACTTCATCTCTTTCAAAGTCGTAGCAAGAATGTGCTTTAATTGGCACCTTTTCCTCGATTTACCACGCGGCGACTGTATCGTCGTCCTTTTTCCGTCATGCCAGATCCCAAAGCTTCAGTAGAAGGATCCTTCTTATCTGGCGAAAGCTTGAGCTGTAGCCTTCGGCTGTAGCGCTTTCCGGATTCGGTCCATCCAGATCCCATTCCATCAGAAGGAATATCATTCGTAGCTGCGTTGTCAGATTGCTCAGTTGGTGATGCAAAAATCTCGCCATCGCTACCATCCTGCTCCAAAGAATCGAAGTTGTCATTAATCAATCCAGCATCAAAAGGCGACTCGTCAATGGTACTCAAGTCTTCTCCCTCTGGATCTTCGATAATGACAAGAAGGGAAGGTTTGAATTCCTTCTTCTCGTTCACGTCATCGACTTCTTCTTCCTCCTCCTCCTTCTTTGGATCTTCGATAATGACAAGAAGGGTTGGTTCAAAATTCTCCTTCTGGCCCTTGCTTCTTCTGGCCCTTGCATTGTTTGCCCACTTGACACTCTTGGCCTTGGCCATCTTGTTCAAATTTGCCTTCTCGGCCAATATCTCCTCCGCCTTCTTGACCCAAATAGCGTCAGCTTTGGTAAGACAAGTCGATCGTTCATTGGCGGTGTCATCGTTGAATCCAGCATCCAGCGACGAGTCAATGTGGCTCTCGTCGTCGTCTTCGTATGGATCTTCGATTAGGACAGGTAGCAAAGGAGTGAAGAGTTCGTTGGTTCGTTTGGCCCATGTTGCAGCGCAAGTTGGAATCGTAGATGATGAATTCATTTTGCGACGCTTGGTGGGTCTGGATGAAATAACGCAGGAAGTTGCGGTTCGCTTGAGTGACAATGGTGCTTGTTCTTCCATGCAGGGCTCGTCGTCGTTGTTGTCGTCGTCATCCAAATCCATTGGTACTGGAATATTGGAGAGCATGTCCTGAAGGACCGTTGGAAGCATTTGTCGGTGGTTCTCAAGCGCGATTGCAATGATTTCAGAGTCGATTTTGCCATCAATAAATGCAGTATCCAAAGACGAGTCAATGTCACTCAACTCTTCTTCTTCTGGATCTTCGATAATGGTGGCAAGCACGGTAGGTTTGAAATTGACCTTAAAGCGCCGGACATTCCGTCTCTTGATCTTGAGGTCAATTTGACGAATTAACTGCCTTCGGGACTGAAGATCTTGCTCGTCGGGAATGAAGTTTTTCCTTCGAGTCTTAGGGGCGAATTGGACTTGGTTTGAAGAGGCTGGTTTGGGTGATCCCCAATCGTTTCTTGAAGGACGAAGAATGGACACAGGAGTGTGTGGAACGAATCTCACTGTGTTCTCTATCTCTGGAATTACTTCGTCGTGAAGTTGGATGCGCCATTGAATCAGACCCCAGCATTCCCTGCGAGATTGTAGCTCTTGCTTGTTTGGGACAAAGGTTCGACGAAAGATTTTGGCGAAACGGACACGATTTGGTTTTCTGATGAACACGCCAAACCAACTTCGGTTTTTCTTGCGAGACCCGCCTTCTGGACGACGAAGGATGGAAACAGGAGGCTGTCGTCTGTTCCATTGCCTGCAAAGTCTCTGATAGGTTCGGTAAGTGTCGAGTACCATGTACCGAAGTAACACGATTGCGACTGCACAAACCAAACCGGTAATGATGGTTTCTTGAACTGGTTGTTGTTGTTGTTGTTGAGTGATGGCACTCATTCGAGGTAACTTGGGAAAGCTGATGCTTTTCAAGCTTTCTTGATTGACAAAGGTAGTGATGTAGTTGGTCATGATTGCTGTTGTTGTTGTTGTTGATTCAAAGAGGTTCATAATGGAAATTGTGAGGTGTTGCGTTGCGGGGTGTGTGGAGTGAAAACCGCACGGCGGGTTGGAGATCGCCAATTTGCCGTGTTTTTAACACGGTTGACTCCTTCGAATCCTCGTTTGTTGGTCTCGGTGAACGGTGTTTTGTACCTGGTACGTTACAGTATGTGTGCAAATTGCTTTTCCCCCCGTACACATGTTCAACGAACGGGTATTAACCGCCACAAAGCGGGTGTAAATGGCACCCGATTCATACTGGTACGTACACGGTCAGTCATCTGCCCGAAAGCAGGGACGGTCCTTTTCATTTCGGCTAAAACTATATTTTCTGGTAAAGCAAAACAATGCTGTCGAATATACATGTACCTAGGTAAACATTTGAAAAAACTTGAAACCATATAAATGGTGCTTCTATCTGGCCTCCACTTCCAATCTCCGAAACTCTCACATTTATTTTCGTCCAATCACAAATCATTTATGTTCGATCTAAGCGCCTGGTCGCCTCCCGTCGAAGCTTTCAAAAGACTGCGCGCACCTGGCACCTTGCGGTGGGGAGATAGTAATGACGGGCTGCGGTCGATATCATCTGACCATTATCGTATAAAATAAATTGGTCTCCCATGCAACAGGCGTGTTGTGATACTAGCCCGAAACCAAGTGTTGAAATTCTTTCATCCTTCAGAGCCATTGCCATCCATAAGGATCATTCGTAGTAGTGAGAATCTAATCTATACATCGCATCTCATCGCATCATCGCATCATCATCAGAACCATTATGACAGAACCAAACTGGACCGATTTGAACGACAGTCCCCTTAGCACCATTGGTGAAGATGTGGCCGTCACCAACCCAATTAATCAGGGCGAAGGGCGGAATATGCATGTTGTCTACCTGGTTGTCAGTGGAGGAATTGAAGCGAGAAGACGGTATTCTGATTTTCAGTGGTTGTATCAACGCATCTTGACGGAAGCTCCTGGCGCCTTTGTGCCCATAATTCCACACAAACGAACGGCGCTGATTGGTGAAGCCAAGTACAGTCAAGAGTTTGTCGAAGAGAGGCGTGGGAATTTGCAAATGTTCATGAAGGGCGTCTTCCAAATACCTGACATTAACACTCTGAGCCCTTCGTTGGTAACCTTCTTGACGGCACCAGAAGATCAGTTGGACAACGCCAAGAAACAGGTCGAGGCGGCCAATCCCAGCCTGGTATCGACTAAGGATATGGATGCTGAAAACGATAATGTTGCTGAAGCTAAGAAAGGACTCGGTAATCTGATAGCAAAGGCAAAGACTGTCACTCAAACCAAGTTGGGAAATATGGAACTCCTAGAAACCAAGGATGAAAAAGAGATTGCTGCACTCAAGCTCTACATTAGTCGTGTGGAAATTCACATCAAGGAACTGGCAATTTGTACCGAGAAGCTAATCAAGTCCACAAGCGACAAACTGATTGGCATTAATGATCTTGGTGTCAAAATTTCAGAATGGAAGTTTTCGCGGGATGATTTCTTGGACACCACCTATGGCCCGGAAGGTAAAGCACCAGTGTTACACCATCGTATGTGCCATAAAAAGCGGGGCTCATTATCGTCTATTGTGTTGTAAACTCCACCAATCGAATGAATCATCTGTGGTTCATTCACTCTCATTGACATGATTTTCATCTTTGTAACGACAGGCCGACTCATGGACGACCACCAAGAGATTCCCAAGATGATGTCTGCAGTTGCTCACTTTTCAGATGAAATACGGATTCAAATGGAGAAGCAAGCTGCTGCCGAACGAGCAACGTTGGAACAAGGTTTGAGTCGATTGGCATTGGACATTATTGGTTTCAAGAGAGCGCTGGCCACTCGCAGAAAGCTGCAAGTCGCCTATACTACAAAGGACAATCAAATCAAACAAATCAAAAAGAATTTGGAGAAAAAGAAAGAAGTCGACAGAATGTCAGCGGACCTTTACGATTTGGAGAAGGCGGCAAGTGTTCTGAAGGTCAAATTGGAAGAGTGTTCCCATCGACTGCTGAAGGAATCAAATCGCGTTCGCCCCGTGATAGAAGCCAGATTGAATGATAGCTTGAAGAATTATGCAATCATGCAACTAATGTTTGGAGAAAAAGTTAAGAAGCTTTGGGACAACCTGATGCCCAAATTTGAACTTGAAGGTACCGAAGAAGTAAATGGTCCCAATACGCCTGGAAAGCTTTCGACGATTGCACTCTCCGATTCGGGTGAGAATTTAAAGCCGTCAGCACCACCGCTGAGCGAAGACTTAATGGGAGGACGGGCGATGCCTCCTACACCCCCACCACCAGTACCGGATGCTTCCGCCGAGCTTGTCGTGGAAAAGGTTGAGGGCTCTCAAGATCCTGAAATTGAGGATGACGGAGCACCAGCTAGCACCCCCAACACAGAATGAAGTGAAGTGTAGCTGACATGTTATTATTATATGTGTGCAATCTAAAATCTGTGTTTCTGGTAGTAGATATATTGCTTTCATTTCAAAAAAATATTGCTGTCCGAAAAGAGGGTGTCCGTTATATTCTTCGAACACTATTGTACAATACGAACTCATCTACCAGTATATATCATCTGATCAGTACTATTACGCGCGGTATACATATTCAATATATGATGGACAACGCATCATCGCTGTGGGTTGCTGGCAAGTCCAATGCCTAAGCAAACCATCAAGTCCTTCAAATGTTTTCATCTGTGGAAGTAGTTGCCGCGCAATGCACCTTTGCACTTGCCGTGACGGTATTCGTATGGAAGACTTTAGGTGTCTCGTGGGTTCCGATTATTGGCCCAGCCATGATTGCCATCTTTTCGGGGGAAAGACCACAATATCCTCGCCGTGCTGAAGATGAAGACTTTTGGAACTTTGCTTATTTGTGCATGTATGGGATCTTGGGGAGTCTGGCGCAATGGGGAGGCATTGTATTGTCAAGAGCAAACAGAAGTGACTTCATAAAGTCTCAGGAGATTGACAACCGATATCAAGAACCTGCTGCGATGCCTTTTGCACTACGATGCTGGGCCGCTATATATGCAGTATTTCATATAATTATTGGAAGCCACCATTTACTATGGAGCACCAACAAGAATCACGGCAAATTGGAACTTTGGCGATACAATCTGCCATTTATCTACGAATTGACTGGTTTGGCGGCTCTTGGATTGTGCTTTCATGCCTATTGTATACTGCTAGAGGCATGTAATGCTAGAATGAACCTACGAGATGTTTGCTCTCGTAAGACCGTCATGGATTGCTGCACCATTCTGACCTTTGTCAGCTTTTTTGCCTTTCTCATGGCCAACATGATAGGTGTGAAGACTACCTATGAATCGGAGCGGATATGGTGGATCTGCACCATGTATCCCGTACCGTTGGCTCTATGTGTAGGGACAATCTATAGAAAGTAGTAGACGATTCAGTCATATAGTTGGTATCGACGCCAATCAACGCAGCATCATGGTGGCGGACGCGACGATGACCAACATAGCCTTCCGATCGGATTGATGGACTGGACTATTAGGCAAACTATATCATGGCTTGAATATTCTTCGCGATCTCAAGAGAAAAGAGTTCCGAGCAAATGATGAACATGATACATTTAGGATCAACGTACCGGTACAGTACCACATGGACATCAACATGAAAGCTCTCACCACGTTGAGAACTCAAAATCTACGTGTTTTCATGTAGCTTTTATGTACCAGCCCAGAAATTCTCATCTACAGTATAAAATAAAGGTCCCAACCAACAGACGGGTTACTCATTCACGGGTTGTATAAATGTTCGACCCCGCCCGTTGCTACTCAAATCCCGCGGGTTCTTCAGAAAAAACGTACCAACGAAAATATAACACATCATCAGACATCATATACCACGACACTAGGGGACACTGCCTAGACGATATAATAATATCATCACGTGACAAATGAAATCCTTCCTTCTTCTATCAACGTTTACATTAGCCACTTTGTCAGCTGCCAGTGGCTCATCAGACGCCTCCTACCAGAACGTATACGGCCAAACGCTTCAGTCCTGCAGCTCTGATGGAATGGCCTTGACTGGATACACACGGAATGGATACTGCGTGGATCAGAATGACGATTCTGGATCCCATCATATTTGCATCGACATGACCAGTACAACGGGTGGAGACTTTTGTGGAGTGACTGGACAGTCCGACTGGTGTAGTTCGGAGATGCCCTGTCACGATGACCAAAGTGAAAACTGCCAAGTTCAGCATTGGTGCGTCTGCCAGTGGGCCTTTGCAAGTTATATCGCAAATGCAGGAGGGTGCGATTCGATTCAAGACGTGGTTTGTGATGCAATCAATATCCAGGCATTGATCGCATACCAGCAACAGGCAGGAGGGAGTGAAAAATATCAGAATGCCTTAAACTGCGTCCTGCAAAAGTGTGGCATCGAGCAAGATGACAGCAGTTACTTCAGTGGCCTTTCTATGGCAAACAGGAATGGAAACAAATTGCAAGTGACGGGTAGACCAATGAACTTTTTGGTGGTAGCGTTTGCTCTGGCAGTTCTTGGAGTTGTTGGTGCTTTCGTAGTCCATCAGAGACGAAGTTCTAGGCATGTGGACAGCAACAAAGAAGGTCTGATCACTGACCACCCGACTAGTTACAAAGCATGCTGAAAATGTACTTAGTTGGAATGACAGAGTAAGAGGATGTGGTTCTATTGAAAAGCTCCTTGTTCTTGACGATAGACCATGCTTCGAATCTTATGAGAAGTTGTAACATTACTACATCCGAAAATAGTGTAAGATACCGATCATAAAGCTGCAAGAAGTGTATGAGGAACTAGGGGCTGGAAAAACCTTAGCCGTCAGGTAGTAGTAGTATACTGTGAATGTCAAATTCGGGTTCAATATGTACTTTAAACTTGCAAAATGTTCTATGGAATTGAATAGGTCGACTAAAGCTGACTCAGCACGCAGAATTCTTCGATGAATATAAGAGAGAACTGTGAGTGATCATTGCCAATTCCACAGTTCAGACTACAATACCTCGAACGACAGAAGCCATGAGACATTTCCTATTGATCGCAAGTGCCTTCTTCACTGTTGTCACAGAAGCAACTGAATACAAGAACGTTTTTGGCCAACCACTTCAATCTTGCAGTTCCAGTGGCATGGCGCTGACTGGATTCACACGGAATGGACATTGCATGGACCGACAGGACGATATTGGATCCCATCACATTTGCATCGACATGACCAGTACCACGGGAGGAAACTTTTGCTCTATTACAGGCCAGCCTGATTGGTGTAGTTCCTACATGCCATGTCACGAAAATAGCAGTGCGGCCTGTCCCGTGCAAGACTGGTGCGTCTGTCAGTGGGCATTTGCCAGTTACATTCAAAAGGCTGGAGGCTGCAACGCCATTCAAGATATCGTATGTGACGCAATCAATATGCAAGCGATGGTTGCCTATGAACGGCAGTCTGCTGATCCAAGATACAAGGAAGCCTTTGATTGTATCAGGACAAAATGTGGTATTCAGTAGGTTATCCAGGAAAATCGAAAGTGTTACAACAGCAACAGCAACAACAGGGGTAGAAGGATTCTTTGACACGGTGATACACTTTTGAAAGTCGGCAAAGCGACGAAATGATAGAGAAACAATAAAGGAGAAGGAGATGCGGTAAAGAAGTCAATCTGAAATTTTCCCATCTTCCTGCTGTTTTGCGATAATTCAGTCATTCTACTTGTGATGACCCGTCAACTTTAGGTATTAGATTTTAAACAAGTGACTGTCATTTTCACAATACCGGTACTGGTACCTTAGTCTTTTTCTTGACGAAATGAGCTCTGGCGCCTTGTCTGTCTGTCGTAGTGGGAGCGAAAAAATGCACAGGACAAAAATAACTCTGAAGACACCCACTATGTGTTCTTCCTTCACCATATTTATAAATCTAAAAAGTGGACTACAGAGGGGAGAAGGCTTTTCGTTGAAACGTTTAGACGCTGGTAGCAGCTTTTTTGTTTGGGCCCTTCGCAATGTAAAATACCTTCTTCACGCATGCTTTATTGTCACTTTCAAACCGCAAGCAGCATCGCCACAGCAATACTGAATAATTCTTCCAGTATCATCATCACTCCAAAATGACAACCTCCATCTATACTCAGGAGCAACAAAAAATACTCTTCTGGGCTGTCAAGTTCCCTGCAGTATTCTCGATCGGCTGCTCGTCCGTCTGCATCTATCATTTGTTCTTGGATGGAAGAAAAAGCTTGCGCAAAGTCTACGGCCGTCTGTGGTTTCTCATTTCCTTGACCAACATTATCGTGGCGTTCTTCTGCATGCTTGCAGGTTTGGCAACCCCGGCTGACACTGGCATTTACGGAGCCTTTGGAAATGAAACAAGCTGCAAAGCTGTGGGCGCTGCCTTTATGTTTATCTTTGTGGTATGCATGGGATACAATGCTGCTTTGGCATCGTATTATTATATCAGCATCCATACGCACATGACAGAAAGAGAGTTTTCGAGAAGAATCGAGCCCTGGTTGCATGCCGTCCCTTTTGTATATGCCCTCATTGGCGTCATCGTTGGTCTGACTTCGAACATGATCGCCACCAACGATGTCTTCCTTTATTGTTGGGCTGCGCCATCTCCATTTGGGTGTCGATACGACGGTGGTGGTACTTCTTGTGAGCACGGAAACGATTATCGGGATGTCTTTGTCTTTGCTACTGGACTGGTGGAAATGAATCTCATCACCTCTCTCAAAGTGATTGCTACGTTTTCACTGTCCTACACAGTATCGAAACAACAGAAAAAGATGCAAGCCAAGTACCATGCCAGATCAGGCGGTAATACTATTGCCAAAGAGACTAATATGCAAGCTGTGCTTTTCTTCATGGCATGTGTCGTTCCGTACGTTCTCATGATCTTTCTTCGAGTGATAGACCTGTACTTTTGGCGAGAAGATCATGTCAAGACAGCTAGATTCTTTCGGTTCTCGCTGGTAGCACAGGTTTTGTTGCCGATGCAAGGCGCTGTGAATATGATCTGCTACTTCCGCCCAAAGATTAAGGAGCGACAGCGTAAGTTGAGACTAGCTTGCAATAATGAGACCATCTTCCAGTCGTCCCTTGGTTTGATGAGAATAGGATCATTCAAGTCATCAAAGAACAGCATGAGACCTTCCAACCCATACGCAGCTCCAGGTGGAACTTATGGAGGGTCATCTGCAAGTCATACTTTGGCTGACAGTGCGAGGTCGGACGTTGAAAAGGCTGTTAAAGATGCCGTTTGCGAAGGTTTCTCCTCAGAGTTGGATCTGACATCAAGAAGAGAGAGCAACGTTGATGACAGTCACATTTTTGACAATCAAGACAGTATCGAAAATTTGGATGATATTGCCTATCTAGATGTCTCACAGCTGGAAAAGGCCTGTGCAAAGGATTGCACTTTCATTCTCGGCGAGGACATGGTCGGAGATACCAGGAAAAGCATCATGGGCGCCCGCCAATCGAAGCTGGATATGAAAGGTCTATCATTGGAGCTTCTGGAGATGGAACAGGAAGAAGACGATTCCTCGATACCAGACAAGAAGGCAGATATAGGCGAGGCAAGATCAAGTGATACAATCGAAAACAGAACGATTCCTGAGGAAGATGACCAAATGGAAGTTTGTAGTACCACGTAGCAAATATTGAAAATAGTTTTGTATGCATTACTAATAACTGGAATCACTTCCAAGGCAATGGCGCTGTCTACGCTGATGCGACCAAACTAGATGGGTTGCGATACATTGTACCTTGTCGCTTTAATACTCGATTGCTGCGCTTAGCCGACAATTGGCCTCAAATTGAGAGTCAGTGCTGCGCTCCTGAGATGTTTCCGTCGCGCTAGTATCTCCTCATCCTTACAGCAAGAGGCCTCGTTTGTGATAATCCAAGTAAAGATCCATGCACACCTTGGGAACTCCATCTGGAAGGTCTTGCCAACAGGCATAGTCCATTAGATGCAAGGCGCACAAGGCTTTTGCCGTTGGTCCTTCCTTCTTCATCGCCGCCTTTGCAACCTTGTAGGTACCTAGTTGATCCTTGGTCGATTCATGCCATCTTTCAGGTCTCATGGGCGTGGTCAAGAGTTTGGTCCTGGTCTCATTAGAAAAGGCTCTTGGGCAGCTCGAAAGGACAAAGGGTGCCCACGTTTCATTCAGATTGGCTAAAGTGGGCAAATAATGAAAGTTGACGCGAGATTTGGGAATGTAGGTATCCTTGTCCAAGAGACGAAGAATTGCTGACATCGAATAGACATGTTCTATTTCCAGATTCCTTGGATGCTTGTCGACGATTCCGGGCAGGTTCTTGCCAATCGGGCATGTCACAAGATCCGCAACGAATTGGTCAAAACGTTCCATTGATCCTGGAATGAGACTTCCAAATGGCCATTCTTTTGCGATCGATTCTCGAGGGTTCTTCAGTTCCTCATTGATACGCCACTCAATTTCATTGTACCCTGACAGAAAATGGGAAATCGGATCTCGAATGGCTGCCACAATGCAATCATACAACTTGTAGTGCTTATTCTTAGACTTGGATTGGCTTTTTCTTGTCTTTGTCGTACGACGAAATTGAAACGGAACAGTGTTTGTCTTGTCAAAGATTCCATCTTCAAACCGTCGTATTTGAGTGTTGGCACACTTCCATATGCTCAGACGAAAAGATTTGGTGGTTGCCCCTATCCAAATGCGAAAAAGTTTGCCACGCTTCAGGATGATCGAAAAATCGGACTGCAAACTCATTCCCGGTCGAGTTTAAATTCTTCTCCCTTAGTACGGTACAATCCGTGGGTATATTCGACGAGATGTTGTTCTGAAGGATCTCCTTTTGGGCGAGGTCAAAAAGAGGATGTCTTGCATATTTCGTGCTTTGAGGAATCATGGACGGGCAAAGTTTGTCCGAGATCATCTCCCAATTGGTCATTTGATCCACACGTCGCAGCAGAGGCTTCCTGGCTTTGGATGTAAATGCACCTGTAGTCAGATTTCGAGTAGAGCCGAAGACAATCCAATCGTAGAGAATGGGAGCAAGAATGAAAATGATCACCATGCGCTGGCGTTTCAGCTGATGTGTCCATTGCGAATCTTCTTCAATCATTGCGTGATATGGGATCTATACTCCATCGTCACTTCAAAAGTATCAGGACAAGTGCGATGCCCTGTGAGAATAACGATGTCTTGTGGGTGTGTGAAAAATGATGTACAAATGAAAAGAATAAGGTGCGCGCAAAATTGAGTCGGTTCGAAACAGTCGAATTTCATCCAACGACGAAAAACGCATCAGAAATCATATCTTATTGATTTATGTACCTGCCAACAGAGAGAAGCAAGTTGCGTTTGGTGTAATGCAAGTCCATAAGCATCGTTCGACGAGTGGCAAAACTAGCAGCTGGAACATTAACAATAGGTTCTTCCGCCGCCACTGCTTTTTGAATATCCCATATTCGAACGCAACGGTCATCCCCTCCCGAGGCAAGAGCCGTGCCACAAGCGCTAAAGGACAAGCTATGGCACATTGCCATATTCCTCTGGTGTTGACTGAATTGACTCTTCTTGCTCGTGCTGCTTGCGTTGTCATTTCTCATTCCAGCGGGTGGGCGGAATTCTGTGATCTTCTTAGATGTCCCCAGATCCCACAAGTGAAGGGATCCACTAATGTCTGACCCGACTGCATATTGGCCGGATGGATCAATCTGCACTTGATAGATACCAGATGAACATCCATTCAGTAGGCGAACACATTTCCCAGTTTGAATATCCCATAGTCGAGCTGTCCTATCATCGGACCCAGTCAGGATGTAGTTGCAGTTGGGATGAAAGACAACCGTGTTAACGCTATTTGCCGTGTGTCCGCAAAAGAGGCGCACTGGGGCTACCCGGTCCGTCGTCCATAGTCTGGCAGTGGCATCAGCACCTGCCGAAGCAAAGTAATATCCGCACGGTGCAAACGCCGTTGACCAAATGGGCTTTTGTGCGGCATGACGATATACTGCCAACGCAGCTCCACTGGATGGAACGAGGTTGCTCTCTGGCTTCAACCCAGGGACAGTCATTTGAGGAGTTTCCTTCGCTTGCTCCAAGTTCTTGGTAGCCTTTTCCAGATCTTCCTTCAAAGCTGAACTAATGGCATTCTTATTTTCAGCTGGCTTCTTTGCTGCTGTCACTGTCGTGCTTGTCGGGCCTGCGGGATCGTTATTCGTCGACAAGTTCCCATAGGGTCCTTGTACCATAGTATCCCACAATCGAATAGTGCCATCACCGCCAGCACTCAACAAACTTCTTCCATCTCGATTCCAAGACACGTCAAAGACGGGAAATCCATTTTTGTGCCCCAGCAAGACTTGAGCTGCGTCCCCTGCCATGCCATCGCTCCCCAGATCGGCCAAATCCCAAATTCGAATAGCAGCGTCATCGCAGCCCACCGCAACACGACGGCCATCTGGTGGACAAAGCTTTGCACAAGTCAATCCGATGCCTGCTTCTTCCCACATGGCAGCAGTCATGGGTATCCTGTTGGAGGTACTCGACGATGTCGAATTATTCCTCTTTGGCGGACCAGCAGGAGGCATGGGCGGCGCACTGGCAGGATTCGTTGCCTCTGATTTGGCATGAGAATTATTGGCCGACAATGTCGACAACAAGATGCTTGGTTCCAAAGGATTTGCACTGACTTTGGATCCTGCACTCGACTTTTTCATGGTCTGGAACCCTCGTTTCCGTTCCAAAGCTTCCAACCTTCGGAATCCATTTACTAGTAGGGCACGATTGAATTCAACCGCCTGTTTGTCCTTTCTCGCAGATCTGGCGTCGTCATATTCTTCTTCCAAATGATACTTGGGGAACGGACGCCTGGACTCTTTGCTCGAAAGTCGGCTTTGACTTGGGGCCGCCCAATTCACAAGGGCAGTCTTTCGAAAGTCCTTGGCTCGGTCGGACTCTTCGTCAAAAATAATGGCTGGAGTAATTGGCAATGGGTCCCGTTGTTCCACGTGAATTTCGCATTTCGTTTGCAGCAGGGTGGACATTGCCAACAGCGCAGGATTCGCGGAAGTATTATTCAGAAAGGTGACGAGGAGGCCATACGAAGCTGCGGACAATGTGAGTTGCCAGCGAACGCCTCGGGCACGTCGCAAAAATTGGAGATCGGACATGCGATTGAAATAACTGGAAGCCTTGAGAGTTTTTTCCTTGTGCTTTTCTTGGTACAGATTGATTTCATTCTGGTATCGAGCCATGGAATCTGTTCGTGTCTTTTCGGCTTGCGCTAGCTTGTTTGGGTCCTGTTGGGTGGACAAGGGAAATTGAAAGGCTCTCATTTTTTCAATCTTGAGTTGGCATTCGGCAATCCGAACGTATATTCGCTTGATTTCGTTCAAAGATTCCAGGTACTCTTGATTTTGTGCATTCAATCGAACAATATCGGCCGTGGTGGTAATGACATTGAGATCCTTCAACTCTTCACCAAAGATTGGTTCGTAAACACATCCAAAGGTATCTCGTAGCACATGCGCCGTTGCATCCATACCAACTTCGAGCAGTTCGCAGTAAGTGTGAACCAACAATGCAAAGGTAACAGACAAGAGTTCGGGTTTCGAGGATGGCGGCAACTGGAAATATGGATTATCCTTTGGCCTTTGGGTATTGGGTGTAGCCATTCCTTTGATCATCGATGAAAGTCCAATCGTCTTGTCTCCATTTTTGGCAATGAGCTCTCGTGCTTTCGCAATGGGATCGTGCGTCAGTGGTTGCAGATTACTACCGTGTGGGTCATCCGGCAGAGTCAAGACCCATAATTGTAAGGCGGTAAATGAATCCAAATAGGCTTCCGCTTCCTTTTCACCCAGGTGCGCCGCGATATTCTTCTTGGTTCTCTTTTGTGGGGACTCTTCAGTGGTGGTGTTGTTTGGAATTCCCCACTGAACAATCGGTGCCGCAGCATCTCGATCATACCCGAACCCACCACCAGTGGACTTATGCAACATCATTTGTGAGGTGCGGTGGATATCTTCTTCATGTTCGAGTTTCTTCTTGAGTTCCGCCATATTATTTTGTTCGACAGCTTGAGGATTGTTTGGATCCACACTCGTAGTCTTGTCAGAGTGTTCCTTGCTCAGCTTGGCTTCTAATTCTAGCATAGCCGTTCCCATGCCCTTGGCTTTCAGATAATCCAAGACAGCTTGGTCAGACGGTGGTAAAAGTGACTTCAGCGACGGAGAACCTGCTGAAGCCTCTGTTGCTTGGGCTTGTGGAGCACCACCAGGTGCGTTTGCGCTGCCACCATTGTTGCTGTTATTGTTATCAGGCGGCGGCTGCGGCGTTTGGGAGGAGGCGGGTGGTGGAACGCCAGACATTTTGATCGCTAACGATGATAGAGTATTTTAGATTCAGTCAACGAATCGCCTCGATTCCAATTGCTTTTGTCGTTGTTTTTGATGATGTACGTTTCAAAATTCAGCAGATGATTGATTGATAGAATGCTAATCAAATGATTTAGTCACCAGTCACCAGTCACCACAGGAAAGGAAGCACCAAAACCAAAGCTGTAAGACAGACGAGCGAGTATCGATTCCAAGAATCAGCAACTTCAAGTCGTTGCATAAACAACAGAGTCGACAGTGCAAGTGACGGCTCAACAAACAACGCGTTGGCTCTCAATCTTTTATTAGCATTTCCAGATGCTCGCGCATCTCGCATCTCTCCAGCCTCCAATCGCCCTACGTGGAAAACCTACGAGAAATGGAATGGTTGGGTCGACTCATTTGAATTAATTAAATGACACTTCTTACGATTTCGTCTTGGGAATAAAATGGAATAGATGGATACCCTTGCTACCCTTACCAATGCGGTTAAACTGTTTGCAACGTTTAGAATAATCATAACCCACGTGTAGAAGATGTCATAAATTTATCGTCATCTATGTTGGTACCTTGAGCAGCTTAGCTCGATGGTGAAATTGGCTGACCACCAGTGTCTTATTTCTTTGCCACCTTCTGCTCCGGTTCACTTTTTTCATCTCCATCAATATTATCTTCCGTGCTGGCTTCTTCATTTTCTGCAGCTCCTTCTCCTGCTTCGTTTTTGACACTTTCGTCTTCGTCTTCAACGTCGTCGTGATTGGTTTCGCTACCTTCTTCCTGTAATTCATCTTCGTCTGCGTGTTCTGTGGGCTCTTCGTCAAGCTCTGCGTCTTCTCCCTCCCCATCGTCGTCCTCTTCATCCTCCTCTTCTTCTTCCTCATCCTCTTCATCTTCGTTGGCTTCATTGTTCTCAGTCCCTTCCATTTCTACATCATTGTCTTCTTGTTCGTCTGCATCGTCATCATCCATTTCATTGTCTTCTTGATCTTCTGCATCATCATTCTCGTCACTAGCATTTTCTTCCTCGTCATTTTCCTCCTCTTCATTTTCCTCAGACTCTTGTTCGACTGGGTCACCTTCATCATTGTCGTCATCATCGTCACCTTCATCATTGTCGTCATCATCGTCATTATCGTCATCGTCTTCGATAGGTGGCAAATGCCACTTGACATATCGTCCCGCGGTTCCATTTCGTGTATATCCAGCCTTGAGCAAGGCTTTGGTCATGGCTGCCTGATAGGAGCGTGGTTCAATTTTGGAGTTGAGCTGTTGGACAAACTCTTTATACTTGGCAGACTTTTCAATCCAATCAATGACACGAGAGCGGGCGACCCCATTGTCCTTGGCCAGTTCCATGATTTGATGAGCCTTGGCAGCGTCCTTGACGGCGCGGAGGACTTGGGATGATCGAACAAGTAAGCAGCACACAGCAAGTGAGACATAAAATATCCAACACAATAGTGCCAATATCCTTTGTTCTTACCTAATACGGTTCCAACCATTTGATTCTTGCGGTCCCAAACATTGGCTGTGATTGCGTTTGTCATCACACGTAACAATTCTTGTGTGGACATGGTTTCCAATGATTCCGTGTAGGATTGAAGCCCCTTTACCTTTTTGGCTGGGGACGAGGAGGACGCGTCAAGGGATGCTCTTCGTTTTGCTTTTGTGGCCGCGGGAGCACTGTTTGGTGTTTCTTGAATCAAGTGCTTTCGAGGTGGTGCATCCGTAGGTAAAAAAAAGTACAATCTGTGAGATTGGGATATTCTAATCGGTGCACCAGACTCCAAGACTATCGATTCGCCCTGTTCCACTTTTTGTTTGTTGACCGTGATGCTATTTCTACCCAAGCATTCAATGACGAAAAAACCTTCTGCTGGTAGCTTGTCAATGGGAGTCTTGAGGGTGGTCTTTTTGTAATCCCAACTACCAGTTTCCTTGTATTTCAGGTCGAGGTCGTCCCATTCAACACACCCCCCTTTGGCATTTTGATAGTATATCACGCATTGCTTACGGCTCAAGGCTTTCCGCCTTCCCAATCCAAAGAAATTAGGATTTTCAGTTTCGTGGCTTCGTCCCAATACGGCCGGTAATTTGGTCAAAGGAATCTTGAAGGAGGAACTCTCTTCGGTTTCGGGATCTGTGACTCTTCCATCTAGCAAGGCAAAGCAAGGAGTCTCGCATGATCCTCCGAACGTAGCATTCTCAGTCATCTTAGAGTGAGTGATCGGTTGTATTGCGTTTGGACACGTGTTGAACAAAGTCTAAACGTAACACATATAATAGGGTCAGATCATATAATATCACATATTGCGTGTGCGTTGTTTTCAGTTTGCATTGCACATAATTGTACGAAGAGCAGACGCCACAGACTTTATTCCAACGAGTCGTATGTGACATCACCGTATGTCCGTATAGATAGACGGACCAAGTACACATGTACTTGTTTAGTGTTTAGTGGTGTTGGTGTAGAACTGCCGCCAAGCGCTTTTGAGAACCAAAAACTGATAGTTCGACGCAGCACTGACGTCCAACAGTTCGCTTCTGGCTGGGATCTTGGCACGCGCGGTACTGAAAGTCTAACACGAATCACTTCCTATGCGACCACAAAGGGTACACTTTTGTTGAGTTCGGCCAAATCACCATTTATCTCACTCGAGGCTCATGGTGTACTTCGTTCACTTTTTGATCGTCAACACTTTTTGATCGGCACCATGATATGCGGTACTGGTTGTCGAAGCTCGGATCAACTAATCAAAGGGACAAAAGCATGGGATTAGCTGTTGAATGAAGAGGAAGTTGTTGCAAATACCATGCACTTTGGTTGCAGCCAACTGCACCGAAGGTTTGCTGAGCGCATACAAAGTTCTATTTTTAATTTGTTGAACATCTTGGTTCGCTTATAGCCTACTCCAACTTATTTTTCAAAGTGACTAGTATCCGAGATGAGGAAATTCCTTAGATTCCTTGCAATACCAAATATTGCTGTCTCGCGTTGATATTCAATCGCATTGTACTGCCCCCACTAGTCGCCACTTCCCAATACAGTCACTCCTCGTCGTCATCTTCACTGCATTTCTTACTAAGTTAATGATCATTGCATTGCCAGTCACAGGTCTTCCCAAGAATACCAGTGCTTGTCGATTTTTGCCATGATGAACATCGCGACAAAAACGATAATATGGGCTAGTGCAGCTCCGCTGAGGATGAATAGGATGGTTATCTGGAAATCTCGCAATGAAAAGACTTGAGATGACTCCTCCTCGCTTTTTGTGGAAGCTAAGGGATCGCAGCAAAATGTTCGTGCCTCCTTCAAATCATCCATACACCTATCTTCATTGGTAATATAAAATGCATATTCCATTGCTTGACTGCATGACATGACAATGCTTTTTCCTCCACGAGAGACCAGGAATATAGCATTAAGCCTGGTGTCGTCGTTCTCTTTCTCGATGCCTCCATCGTCGCCCGGACAGAGCTCGCAGCTCTGCTCTGGTTTCGCAGTGACACCAGGACATTTGCACCATGATTGATAGTCAAAACCAAATGCGTATTGAGTGGGCATCTCATCTGCTCGATACAGAGAGAATAACACTTCCATTTCCTCACAGTCCATTCCAGTATAATAGTCGATTCGACGGCGGTCACTTGGGCTACGATGATCCGGGCATAACCATACTTCTTGCTCCTCATTCCAGGGTGCTGTACCCGACTTGAGAGCCGCTGGCTGCAAATGTGCAGGCAAGTTCATCAATCTATCATATTGAGATTGTAAATCAGCACTTCCGCTATTGCAGGAACCGTGGTCTCCTTTCTGGTCAATGACGCACTGCTGATCATGCGCAAGTGCTGAATTGGAGAGTAAAGCACAAGCAATGAGACTGTGTATTAACAAGCACGTTGATGACATCCAGCAAATCTGATCAGACGTCGGATTATTGATGGATTGCAAAAAAATGCAAGGCTGAAACGACGGGACCAGCATTTCTTGTTTAGTTTGTCCGAAACTCGCGTAAAAACTGGAAAGAAACTGACGTGCGATATATTTGTACTATGTACAATGAAAACTCTCCGTTTGGGTGATACTAAAACCGGGACATTTGACGTTATTTTATTTTTATTTTTTATCACATACCAACCATCCTACACAGTCTGATACGACTACACTTCACGGCGTACTGCAGTATGATGCTTTTCCAAAATGTAGAGTAATGAAGGAATCTTGGCACCAACAACCTTTCTTGGATACATAGTGTGCCAAGAGAGAAATCAGCCAACCCAAGCAAACAACGAACTAGTACGAACGTCAAGTTAATCTCAGTTGATGCATAATACAGCTCAGGCCAGCCTGAGCTGGACCAAGTCCCGGAGGAGTACCCCCATTGCGTCCACCACGTCGATGGGCCTGCGGTACCTTCAGTAGTATCAGAAACTGACTTGCGTACATGCAGTATCCTTGTTGCGACTTATTTCTGGTCTTGACCTCCGTTCACGTACGCTGAAGTCGACTGAAAGTGATCGATTTTGTCGTCGCTATAAAATCTTCTTTTTTTTGACGAGCGTTTCTACCTCACACATTTTGCCACTTTCACCTGGTACTGCCTTCTTCATTTTTTAATAAAAAATTGTATTAATTGAAACTAAGATTGCAATAGAATACCGATAGAATAATTCGGTGCCATTGATGTGTTCCTGAATGCAACAGCAGCGGCAGCAGGCAAACTGCTATCACTTCTCTTTACCCAATATCACTTTCATGACCATATTTTTCTTTCGCGTCAGCCAATACCGACTCGTAAGGAGGCTTGGGGCGTTGTCCCATTGCCTCCGCCACGTGGAGCAGCTAGCAACACATGCTGCCAAAAATTGCTACCATTGTTCGTGGAATGATCTTCAGGCAAGATGGAAGAAGAGCAAAGTATCAGGTCGATGTCGGTTGCAAGTGGACTCCAGGGGGCGTAGCACTTGAATCGGCTACTATGACTTTGTTGTTATTGTCTCCTCTTCAGAAATCGTCGTCGTTGTTGTTGTTGTTGCTGTCTCCTCTTCAGAAATCCAGCGGTTGTCGATATATTCCATGCAACAAAGCATACCCTTGACCAACAGAGTGTTTAAAAATACCATCGAAATGAAAATGAAAATAAAAGCCATGACATCCGAAAAGGACATACCCATACTGCCTCCTTCCTCATCATCATAATCAGCCTCTTGTGGCGGGTCGCATTCGCGTACTCCAAGTCGCTTTTGTTCACATTCCACAATAACAACCGTATTCCCATTCGAAGATTCCTTGCTAAAGCAAGTTTCATCTGTGTCAGATTCGGTATCAGTAACTATGGCATCAAGCGATCCACACAAAGACTGTGAATCCTGACATGAATCGCCTTCTGATTCTTGTGTCGCTTTCATTACAACATCGCCATCCTCATCTTCAGAACTAGCTTCAAAGTGAGGGTCACCTTGATGTTGCTCATTTGGAACCACCTGTGATTCTTTCTCGTGCTGCTCAGGATGGTCCTGATGTATTGCACTGGATGCATCACGAGTTTCTTGTGTTTGTTGCTTCACGCCGTTGCTCTCGGATTCACCTTGATTCGCGATGAGTGGATCTGTAGCTGTGATGGAATCGCCTCTTATCAGCGCGTCATCAAGCTGATGTCTATTAGCAGTGTCGTTGTCGTCAATGACAACAAGGCTTGCATCTACTTCGTTATTGGAAAGCAGCAAGATGATCCCTGCAACGATGATGTTGGAAACCATCATCAGAGTAGCTATTACACGCATACTTTGTCGTTTTGTGCGTATGCAAAGCTTTTGAGACTCTCAGCACAGCACTGCTGTATGGGAGATTCTTAATTTAAGACTTTTTTTAAAATTGATAAAGCTGCTGCTTCCCACCATGTGTTATTGGCAACCAAGGCTCTTCAAAAAGTGGTACCGGTTTCTCTGTCTTCATAACATTTGTATTTCTACTGCAGCGGATGATCGAGTTTTTCTCGTCTGAGCAGAAAAAGTCCAGCCGCAAAAAGGACATATATTTAATGTGGCTCCATCTCGTTACTTATAGGCGCCGTGAAAGTACCTTTTATGAAGTTTGCTATATAGGCCGATACGTGGTGGAGTGTGATGACGATCAATTTTTGCTACCGTATGTGTACTGCGGTGTTGCGGTCCCAGGTAGGACCGTTTCTATTGCGAATTTTTAAGAAACGCCACAAAATAATGTTTTTTTTAGTTTTACCAGTTACCACGCACTTTCTATTACGTTGCATAAGGTACAGCACCCGTCACGTGGTAACAGTGAAATCCTTCCCTGATGATCCAAATTGAAAATCAAACTTTCATCGTCAGCATCCTTCCATACCGGTACCATACCGGTACCACACCGGTATTATTGTAGCTTTTAATATATTTTTTTCATGTTAATACTCTACATGGACCAGAAGACTAGCGTATCGCAAGGCTCCTGTACGGCAATTGTTCTTGTCAAAGAATTGAATGGATCGATATCCCTTGCGCAAACAGGATACTGGGACTGCGGCACTCGCCACGCAAGTACTAGCTGACTTGCCACCACTACTCGTTTCCCGCCCCATGACTTGAAAGAGCACCATTGCGATATCAGGCTGCTGAACCCCAAACTTTTTGCCTCGGTCTTTCCACACTGGTGCAAATCCACTGCCATCTATCGAAGTGGTCTTGTGACAATCCTTGTAGACTTGTTCCATCATACTGTCATTCTGTGCTTCTGTATTGGTACTATTCTTTTGAACATCGTACAAGGTTACCCAGACGGAAAGATCCATCTGGCGGTGATGGCTCTTGGGACTACTAGTAGGAAGACACCGACCACCCAAAACCCGGACAAAGAGGGAGATTGGTTGTGCCGGCTCGAGTCCCAGAATGGAGGGTGGTTTCAAGATATAGCCAACCCCATTTTGTTGTCGAAAGAGTCCATCGTTCAATACCACTGATGCGTTATCGTGATCGTCTCCACTACAAGAACCCAATCGCAATGCCACAGCTTGACATCCCAACGACCAAGCATGGACTGGATTAGGATTATTGTTCAAGGATGATGGATGGCTTCTGGTCAGGTGAGATGCGTGATGCTTCCGATGATCCTTTTCCTTGACGATTCCACAAGCACCTTGGAGCAATTCTTTGTGTTTCGATCCATCCAGCGACAGAATCTTGTGATTATGGTCTCGGCTTGATGCCATGTCCAAATTGCCCTCTAGTAGATTGCCCCCTTCAAAAAAAACAAGTTGCTTAAGTCCCCCGACAATTTCTTCCATTTCTCGTGTTTGCTGTCGGTTGTTGTTGAATAATGACACCCAATCCTTGTCATTTGTCGTCATCGTTGACGAGGATGACTCGGGATGTGCTTTGGAATGCAATATGACCCGTCCTCGCAGGGCATCTGGGCTTGGCAGGCATGGTAATGAGGGTGTCGATTCTTCATCCCAGGAGGAATTATTATCCTTGCTATTATTGTTTTGTGATGTCGGCAGTAGCAACCGATGCCCCAATGTTTCATGTAGCAACAAGGCCATGGCCTCTTGGAAGGGAGGTGTACAATAATTTTCAATCGACAATATAATGGGATGGGATTGCGGATGCATTTTAAGATAGGCTTCTACCACACCGCAGACATGTCGCAAGAGGAGCAGATTGTTCTTGTTGCTACTATTGTCGCTTGTTGCTTTCGTCATGGGGTGCCCCACCATGGGAATGCAAATTTTGGCATTGGGCATGGTGGGTCCATCCCAACAATCTAAATCGAGGCATTTGCAACCTCGAATCAATGCTTTCATGTATCCTTCGACGCTGGCACATGTTCGTTCCTTATTACCAATAGTAGTGCGGATTTGATAGGTCTTGAAGGAGGTATTGATCCAATAGGCCGAGAGTGGTTGGTCAAGGCGTTGTTCCATTTGTTGGATTTCTGGATCGTAGGCATCGTTCAAATCAGAGTACAAGAACTCTTCGAATTGATCCTTTTGCAGTGCTGTCTTTTGGCTTTTCAAAGAATTATCACCGTCATTATTATCACTATCATCGTAATAAGGATCCGAAACTATTTCAATGGTCTGAATAAATGTCAAGATTGCGTGTGCTTGTCGTATGGACAAATGAGATTCGCTTTGAATCTTGGACAGAAATTGTCGATGAAGGTCCTTGTGGGTAACCGTACCGGTACCACCACTCCCATTCTTGGTTCCAAACAAAAAATCCCAAAGGACCGTGGCCTGTGTCTTTTTGGGTTTCAAAGTTCGGAGCATCCGGATGCATTCTGAAAATGGCAATGTATTCTTGTTGGTCCGACTCTGAAAACAAAAGGCGGCATCCTTGTTACTGCCCACATGGAGCATCTCGCAAATCTTGTGAAATTCCGCTTGAGTAATGGTCTCACTGGATTCCATGGGTGGAACCATTTGATTGGCAATAATATATCTCAATAAAGAAGATTCCTTGGAGATCCATGGTTGGGCTCTATGAAAGGTGGAATGAATCTCGGAGAGGCTGGAAACAATCATGTTCAATTGTTGGGCCACAGGCACCACCAAATCCAAGGTTTCCGAGCCGCCCTTGTAGTAAATGGTCAATAGCTTTTCCGTTGCGACTTCATCGAAGGTAGAACCTCCCGTACTTCGGTCCGTCTCCAGACGACGTGCCACTTCGGCCCGAAAGGTTGCTACCGTACCAACATGCCAGGCATCAATGTCGGCCACATCAATGAATTGATAAGGGGGAGCATAAGCTTTCTCTTTCTTTTGTGGGTCACTACTGTAATAGTAGTGTCGATAAGACTTGTTGTTTTCCGCCAATACATTAGGTGGCAATGGTTCGGGCGTCACACAAATGAATTCTCGGCTCTGATCAATGGTAAAATATCTCACATCAAAGGTCTTACTCTTCAAAATATTAATCCGAAGAACTTTGATTCCAGTAAGAACGGACGGTTCCACTTCTGCATTCTGAAGGGCTTGTTGCAGTAATGGCAAGCTGTTCTGTTGTCGTTTCATCATCATTTGAATCCGCTGGGAACCTCGTAGCATGCGCCGATATAAACAATTGTCCGACCATTCTCCCTCATCGTGCTCGTCTTCATCGCCACGGTCACCACGGTTTGGAGACTTGGCTGCTGTGCTTTTATTGTTGCCGCTGCTTCTTTCATTGATTGCTTTCATTATCGTTGTCATTGTTGTCATTGTTATGGACGGTCCAACACATTCATTGCTCAGGAACACAAACACATATATTTTGTCATTCCATAAAAGCGATGGACCTGAAATTCAGTCCTTCAAGAGCGCGACTCGAATCGAAATTTCGACAAAAAGAGAGGTGATGATGCACACGGAGTATGAACGCGCATTGAAAATTCGCTTTGTCGCAAGTGACAATTTTACTTAGCACTGTTATCCGTTGAAATGCAATGATGTTGGTTCTTCGCCGTCATTTTGAGTTCCGTCGGATAGAAGTCTGGCCTTGCATCCAAGAAGCTTGTTGTGACGACAGTCGGACCTCATCCATCCTTCAAAATATTTTATGTATGACATCACACTAAAACAGAAACTTCAGATCAGCATCGCGTCATGAAAACAAGAATCCAACCCATGACGGCTGCTACTTTATTGTGTGCCGGATTTATTAGATCAACTGCAGCATTCACTTCCACTACTACCATCAATAGACTTGCTCTCAAACAAACTACGATGGCAACAACAAGAAGTAGTAGTATCACCAGGAGTAGTCGTCGTGGTCGTGTTCCAGACTACATGTCCAAACTCTTTGGTGGTCCTCCGCAAAAGGAAGAAGTGGATCCAGGAGTCGTCGATGGAACGGATCTCAGAATTGTCAAATACCCACATCCAGCACTCCGAGCCGAGAATGCCGAAATTACCCAAGAAGAATTGAAGGAATCTGACGACATCAAGAACTTGGCGAAAGACATGCTCAAAGTCATGTACGCCGCCGAAGGAGTTGGTTTGGCCGCTCCTCAAGTCGGTGTCAACAAGCGATTGATGGTATACAATCCTTCGGGAGATTCCAAAAAGTGGCTCGAAGAAACCATCTTGGTCAATCCACAAATTATTGAGTATAGTGACGGCAAGGATACGGAAACCGAAGGCTGTCTCTCCTTTCCGGACATGAATGGGGACGTCACACGATCCAAATGGATCAAGGTACAGGCCATGAACTTGAAAGGAAAGAACATGAAGAAGAAATATACGGGATGGGAGGCTCGCATTTTTCAACACGAATACGATCATTTGGATGGCACAGTGTATATTGATCGATTGACGGAGGATGTTAGATCGACGGTCCAACCTCGATTGGACGAACTTGTTCAAGAATTTGGAGAAGGTGGAGAGCTTTGAAATAAATAATAAAGAGGCAGTAATATACAATTGTAGAATACAATATGGTATAAATCTACTTGGTCTACTACTAGGACTAGGTCCTACTTGTTGGAAAAGAGTTCCGAAGGATTCCAGAGTGAGGATGGCAACTCCAACTTGTGATGTTCGTCCTCTTTGTATTCCATCTTTCCCAAAAAGGCCTTACGCTTAAAGAACAAGCCTTCGACAAAAAACTTGCTCACTTCTTTGGTATGAGCGGATCCCAAATACAGGACAATCACCACCTTTTTTTGCTTGGACGTTTGAGCAATCTCGGCAACTTTCAGGGCCACGGCAATGTCCAACAGACACGACGTGTAGATGTCAATCAGAATCTTGGACAAGACTTCCGCCCTCGGATCAATCCCAGTCTTTGTCTTGCTGGAAAAGGATTCGACCATTTCTTCAAACCCTTGTTTGCCATTGGGAATTTGAATTTTGCCAATGTCGTGTTTGCGGTTGCCACTCAGACTTTGCATTTTGTTCTTTTTCAATAAGGCAGTAGCATCCGATCGATCAATGTCATTGTAAATCTCGCGATGGACCGCATGCAAATAGGCTTCGAACCATTCACCGCCACAATCGGGATCGTCCGAACCCTTTGGATCTTTCAAATTGCGATGAATCTTGCCCATCCACCAGTTTTGAATGGCAAGCGCATGGATTTGACTGTTCGGACTACTTGCGTCGTCGTACACTCGGTTGAACAAGTTGGATATCCAAGTCGTGGGGGAGGAAGTGCCCTTGGCACACAAGTAGAAAAAAGAGGGGAAAAAGGGATACGAAATGTATTCTTCTCCATCTGGTCGATAGCCATACTCGCCATTTCCCAAGTCTTGGACTTGACTGCGAACGTACATATACTCCGTGTTGCCCTCCAGTTTCAAGAGCGACAGGGCCTCCGGAATGCTCCCACCAAAGAATAAAGTAGTGAAGAAATTGTCCCAATTCTCCAAAGACTGCACACACTTGACCATGAATGGACTATAACACACTTTCACATGCTTGGAATAATACAAAAAGTCTGAATTTTGGCCCAGGAAGCCTTCGATGGAAGGATACGAGAATTCTTGGTGTTCTTTTTCTTTCTCATCTTCGTCGTGTTCTTCTTCTACCAAAGCAGCCAAGTTTTGCAATTTCCCTTTTTTGCGCAAGTTTTCCACAAACTTTGTTTCGGGATTCATTCGAGGTTCCGGAACAAACTTGATGTAATCCTTGGTAGAACTTGGTTCCAACTCCAAGAAGGACTTTTCCTTGTTTTGATCGGGTGTTGCCAAGTATGCTCGTTCTTCTTCGTGAAGAAGATCCTTCCATTTCTTGTGCACCGAGTCGGTACTGCTAGCCGCCTCGCAACCAAGATCACGAACTTTGGGAAATACAAGGAAAAATGGGGATTTACAAATTGTATGAGCCAGATTCGAGTGTTGCCAAGCATTTTTTCACATTGATTGCCAGCTGTTGTTGCTGCTGCTATGTTACTTACCATCCACACAATGAAGCCATTTCGTTTCAGGTCGATCCATGTTGTTGGCCTGGGTCGACAATTGTTCGACCATGAATCGGCGATACACATGATCCAGAAAGGAACCAATTCCATCGCTGGATGGATCCCAATCGTCTTCTTCGTCTGGGTCCTCGTCTGGGTCCACCTTCCGTATGCAGTCGGCTGCAGGTCCCATTTGAATATTGTCCTTTTCCTCTGGTGAAGGACGATGCAAATCCAATTCCCATGGCGGAACACTGGCTTCCAATATCAAGTGGACGTCCATGTCGTCATTCTCATTTCCCTGGCTTTGAAGGTGGGCAAACCAGTCGTCCCAAGTCCATATTTTATCGGCATCCTTCAGCTTTTGTTGGCGCTGTCGAATAATGGTATCGAGTTCTTCCGTCGATATCTCTTCGTCGGTCAGTCGCCGTTGATTCAGAGCAAAGGCTTGGGCATCGAGGTCGCCCCATTCAAAGGACTGCATGGCTACATGTCCTCCTAGAACCCAATCCCGTACCTGACTGGGCAATAATGATACTGATTCCTCGGTCTCTTCATTGGGATTGATCCAAAGCTCGTCTTCCCCTTCGGTAGACTCGTCATCGCCTTCTCCACTGCCTTTTTCTTGGTCAGCACCAATTTCTTCTTGCGTCGCTAGTTCCAATATATACGACTTGCCTTTACTGACCCGTCCTCCTCCTCCTTCGTCTGGAACCCACAACAACACCAAGGTGACAAAATATCCATCGTCCGACTCTTCGACTCGATTCTTGGCCCATTCCTTGGCCTTTTGCAAGGGCAGACCCTTTTTGGGAGCCCCCAACAGGCGACACCTTAGATTGCTATTGGCATATTTGGTCGGTGCGAATATCGAGTCACGAGACTGATCGATCCATCCTTCCTTGCCGGAAAACTTGCCACCTCTCCGCGTCACATCGATGGCATCCTCATGGGATTCTCCACACAAAATCAGTGCGATTTCTTGTTGTTGTTGTTGTTGTGGATCTGTTAGGGACCCATGCAAGATTTGAATATAGTCGGGTCCTACAATTGTTACATCCTTGAATTTATCAGTCTCTCGATTCTTTTTGTTTTTGTTCTTGTTGTTATTCTTTCGTGGCATTATGTTATTGAACAAAGATTCGTCCTTATTATTGGAGGATGCACAAAGAGGAGAAAGAGTTCTTGTAGAACAATGAACTGATGGTTTCAGCTGTGATATTGATCTTTTACTTTGATTAAGAGGCTTCAGAAGTAATGAGTATGCACTTTGTTGAGTTGCTAGACCAAGCCAAAGCGTCAAAGCCTTCATTCATCACAGTTATTGTGTGTCTGTGTGTCATTTCATTTTCACAGTTTCAAGTTCTGGATTTTTTCCCGTGGTTTTGGAGGATCGATGCGGTCGGAAGAATCGGAAACTTCGACCGATTCGACTTTAATTTCGTGCGCACGACTGTTTCCAAAATTCACGTAGAGCTTCCTACAGTACATACCGGTATATCTTTTGTGACCAAAACAACTGCCGACGACTGCCAAACGGCAGCGACCCGAACAACAATACAAATTTCGAGTTTCGTCGTTGTCGTCGGCATCTTTATCATCCTTTATCATCATGTTGTCTTCTGTCGTCCGCAGAGCTGCCAGGCCAGCCTTTAGAACAGGTACGGAATAAAGTCATGGAAGAAAAAATTGGGGTTCTGCTGAAAAAATTCTACCATTCGCACTCCAAAGCAAGCACCAAGCTTGTTCGAGTTCGGGTCGTTACGTTGAATTTACGTCGATATCCTACTGTTGTCGGTTGACAGACAGACATTTGGCTTTTGATTTTCAATCTCAATTTGAGACCCAAACTATCCACAGTCTCATCATCATCCTCTCTCTTTTTATCTTTCATTGCTGCAGCCACCCGAGCCTTCTCGGCTAGCTTGAGCGATGGCGAGAACGTCGTGGTTCCTTTGATTGCCAACTCTTTGGAATTCACTCTTTCCAGTCCTCCACCGCTGCATCAATTTGAAGAGCCTCCGCTCGTGGTGGAAACGGATCATTTGGATCTGTCTCCTGGAAAGGAAGTCGAAGAGGTCTTGGCAGCACAAGGACACGAAGTCACCGATATCGTTGGAAAGGAAATGTGGACTTTGAATGACCCTGCCAAGTATGAAGGACTTATCCCTCAAAACTTGGAGTGGACTGAGTTTGTCGATGAAAAGACTGGAGAGTGGGTCACTTTGGATGAATTTGGTGACCGTGTCACTAGCTCTTAGATCGGTTGAAGCTTGATGATGATATGAGTTTATTATCAACGTCATCATCATCATCAATTATTATCGAGTCTACTAATGGAAGGTTGGGATTCTAGTCTAAACATAATGTTCAATGTTAGGCTACCCATTTCAACTTGCTTACATTTTACACTAAATTGGACTAGACGGTATTCTTCTATTTTTATGGAATAACATTAACCACCTTCTTCTGTTTGTAGCATGTTAGATACCAGTACTATTCCACTTACTGCTCATCTTGTGTGAAGAAGTTTCAAGTGCCAATGGATCCTACGGAAATACTCCAGTGAGCCAACTTGTGAAGATTGTTGGCAAAGATTTGCTTTACACAGTCTAGTTTTTCATTATCCTTTCTGGTCATAATGGAACAGAAATTCTTGTCATCGTGACAATATAGATAACACCATTTCTCCTCCGACAATCCAACAAAGGCATCAGGATACATGCTCCAGAGTCGAATGGACAGTTCCAATCGATCCCCGTTGGTATCAATCCGTTCCAAACTATCTCCATCAAACGAATTTTCCATTAGATAGTCGACAGAACTAGGAATGGTAACATCTATCAAAGATTCACAACCAAAAAAGGCGTATTCTGCAATACATCTCAAGCCGTCTTGGAACGCGACTGAATCCAGATTTGAACACCCCCTAAATGCCTCACATTCAATAGATTCCAAGCTTGATGGAAAGGTCACGTGATTCAAAGTCTTACAGTCCTCGAAGGCTCCAGCTCCAATCGTTTTCAAGTGGCTAGACGGATGAAAATGTACTGTTTGCAATGCCGAACAGCCCCGAAATGCGTTGGATGCAATATCCATCAACTCGGCGTTGAGTACAATCTCCTGCAACCTCCTACAACCGTCAAAGGTGCCTTCTTGAATTACTTGCACTATAGTATGAGTCAAGTCCAACAAGATCAACGCTGCGCAATCTCGAAAGGCTTCCCGACCAATAGTCTGGAGTCGACAAGCTTGGTTCAATCCGTGAATAGTTTGGAGGCTCTTGCAACTCGAAAAGGAATAGGGACCAATTGTCTCCAAAGTAGGGGGAACACCAACTTCGATCAATCGCACACACATTGTAAATGCCATTTCTTCAATAGTGCATACCATGGTCGACTCCAAATTGATCTCTTGGAGTTCCGAACAGCCATAGAAGGCATGACTTGGAATGGTGTTTAGGTTATTGGGAGGCAACCTTACTTTTTGTAATCTGACGCACCGAAAAAAGGCCCCTCCACCAAGAGTAATGATGGTCGGGGGAAGCAACATGTTTGTCAAACTGCCACAGCCTGCAAAGGCCTCGACACCAATTTCTGTCAGATTCACAAGCTTGTCAAATCCAACAACCGAGTGAAGCATGAGACAGTTGTGGAAGGCCTGTGCTTGAACAACTTGTACATTAGGGGCAAAAAATACTTGAAAAAGCGACTTGCACCCATCAAAGGCTTGTTCCCCAATGATTTTGAGTTGACAGGCGCGTCTCATGTCCACACATTTCCAGTTCAAGTTCTTCCAATAGCCATCCCATGGAACCTCTGTGACGTCTTGAGGTATCTCCAATGCACCATTATTGTTATTCTTATTATAGAAGCATTCGGAAAATAGTTCGTCTCGCGCTATTGAATTCAATAAAGGCATCCTGAGTTGAATTATGGATATTATGGTTTATTATCATGAGCACAACATCATCCACAAACACTTTTGTTTTCACACAGACGCGTTGCTTTTATATTTTATGAAAACCACTGTTTGGATCGAACTAGTCCAAAACAATAACAGTACTAGAATATGTTCGGGTATTTTTATAATATTATGGTGCGGTATATTGAGTACACTGTAGTACTGTACAGCTAGTAGCATCTCACAAAGGATGACGGTGACTTGAATCACTAATTAATTGTTTATTGTATCTACCGATCTAGCCTGTGCGAGATTTGATGCATTTTATTGAAAATTTAGTGTGAAGAAGTTTCAAGTGCCAACGGATCCAACGGAAATACTCCAATGAACCAACTCGTAAAGATTGTTGGCAAAGATTTGTTTTACACAATCTAGTTTTTCATGATCCTTCTTGGTCATTCTGAAACAGAAATTCTTATCATGGTGAGAATATAGAGAACACCATTTCTCTTCCGACATTCCAACAAAGGCATCTGGATACATGCTCCAGAGTCGAATGGACAGTTCCAATCGATCCCCGTTGGTATCGATCCGTTCCAAATAATCACCATCAAACGAATTTTCCATTAGATAGTCGACAGAACTAGGAATGGTAACATCTGCCAAAGATTCACAACCAAAAAAGGCATCTTCTCCAATATACCACAGGCCTTCTTGAAACGAGACTGAACGCAGATTCCAACATTCACTAAATGCATCACATTGAATAGATTCCAAGCTTGATGGAAAGTTCATAAGATACAGATTCCGGCATCTCCTAAAAGCACCAGCCCCAATCTTTTCCAAGCGACCAGACTGGTGGAAGTACACTTTTCGTAATGTGGAACAGCCGGAAAACGCGTTGGATGCAATATCCATCAACTTGGCATTTAGTACGATCTCATACAATCTCAAGCAGCCCCGGAAGGATTCCGCCTGAATTTCTTCTAGTATGGTATGACTCAAGTCGAACGAGACCAACGCTATACAATCTCGAAAGGCTTCGCGACCAAGGGCGTGGAGTCGTCGAGCTACGCTCAATCCGTGAACCCTTTGGAGACCCTTGCAATTCAAAAAGGAATAGTCACCAATCGTCTCCAAAGTGGGTGAAACAACGACCTCGGTCAGTTCATTGCACGAAGCAAATGCGTTTTTTCCAATGTTGGAGACCATGGTCGACTCCAAATTGAGCTCTCGGAGTTCCACACAACCCTCAAAGGCATGACTCGGAATGGTTTTCAGATTGGGAGGCAACCTCACCTTTTGTAATTTGACGCACTGAGAAAAGACACCTTGATCGAGGGTGGTAATGGTTGGGGGAAGCGACATTTCGGTCAAACAGACACATTCTGTAAAGGCCTCAGCACCAATTTCTGTCAGATTCACAAGGTTGTCAAATCTAACGACATTGAGACTTTCACAGTGCTGAAAGGCCTGAGCTTGAATAACCTGTAAATTCGGAGCAAAGAATACTCGAGCAAGCGACTTGCATCGAGCAAAGGCTCGTTCCCCAATGGTTTTGAGTTGACAGGCGCGTCTCATGTCCACACATTTCCAGTTCCAATTCTTCCGATGTGCTTCCAATGGAATCTCCGTTGTGCCTTGAGATATCTCCAATGTATCGCAAACATAGGAACCTTTGGACAAGATGTCTTCATACAATACAGACATCCTGAGTCGAATGAATAATGTGGTTGTGCCTATATACTGTTTCCTTTTCACACGACTGTATCATGACATGAAAAAAATACATTAAAAACGACTGGTTCGACTTAGATTCCAAATGCGGAGGCGAAATGATACTGTACCTGGTACTGTATATTGAGGGAGAGTATTATATTAGAACCACCACACCTAGTATTTTACAATATAGGATGGCGGTGACTTGAACAAATGATTTTTATCGTAACTGTACGTCTACGAATAGGACAATGCAAGTTTTGATGCATTTATTGAAAATCAAACCCCGTTGCTCCCCCGGGCAAACGCGTTACCCAACCAACAATTGCATAGTCGTATTACTATATCTTCAGGCCCATTGGACATTTGTGGGTTCAGCGGTAAGTGCAGTTCGTGTTTCCGCATTCGTTCTGGCCATGATTGCCTGTCCCACCGTGACAGCCCCGGCTTTTCCCAATACCAGTGGTGCCAGGTACAACAAACTCCATCCAATCGTCGCAGTAGGAATAATATCGGTAAAGGGCAAGGCTTCCTCAAAGAAGCTAACATATTTCAGGCTGGGATATCCCCAATCTTCCGTTTCGTACAAAGCAATAATGAGAACTGTCTGTAGTGGCGCCCAGAGCAGATCAAATGCTTCTCCCACCAACGGCAACAGATACGAAGCAGACCCAATGAAATCGATTGCCAAGGATACCGCCAGAGTCGACCATATACCAGAAGGCAGTAAAAGTTTTGCAATATGGACGGGTGTCGGTCGAGGACCAATCTCGTACAGCAAGGACTGACCCGACCGACTGTGAAATAGGGGTTCCGTCACTGGTTCCAACAAGTCCTTCAGAAAGGCGCGTCCACCCTTGGAACTTGCGCAGACAAAGCCAATTCCAGAAATGACACTAAAGAACATTGCCATAATGGCAACCATTAGCGGCAAGAGAAACGGCAATCCCGCAATCAAGACACCGATCAGGATCGGTGAAGACACCACCAGGATTGCCAGGATGGGTACCGCCGGAAGAGCCAGATAGATATTGTCAAATGGAAGAGTAGGAAGCTTTCCCCATATTTCTTCCACATGTTCCTGAAGCTTGTCCACCATTTCAAACCATGTCTTGGAAAATGCCAACACCGAAGAAATCTCTGGTCGATAGGGTGCACTGAGGTGGAGTGCCATTCGAAATGTCGGAGGTGTATCACCCCCGCCACCACGAGCCTGACGTCGAGTCGGCGTCGAGTTGGGGGATTCATTCTCGTCGTCGTCATCGTCCATGGTGGTGACAATGGCTGTGGACGGTATTGGTTTGGATGGATCCGACAGTGTGAGTATGACCCATTGACGTTCCCATACCCTCAATTGATTCAGATCGTAATCCCCCACCAATAGTTTCGAAGGCTGGTTCTTGTAGACTACCTTCACTTGCAAATTCGACTTGAAAAACTTTGGAATTGGTGCACTTAGTCGGACAATGCCGCTATCATCATCCATCGTCGTCTTGTTTGAACTCGATGACGTTGCATTATCATTATTGTTGTTGCCGCTGAATCGATACGTGTTTCGGCCCCTGTTCTTTCTCATGGGAGGTCCTGAATCTTGCACAATGTCACCAATTGTAATGCTGATATGTGATGGAGCCTCCGAACGAGGCAGATCGTACGCTGAGAGAACGGAAGCTTCCAGAACTCCATGCTGGTTCTTGGTGTTCTCTGCATTATTACTATTAGAATTATTGGAAGAAGAAGACTCGGATGGAACCGGTATCGTGAGGCGTTGCATTGAAGAACGAGGCATCTTGTGCTGTAGCTATATGATTGATTGATTGATTGATTCAATGGAGTAGTGATGTGAAGAAATTATGCAGTTGTGCCTTCAGCTCATTGAGGGATAATGGTTGGCCATTGGCCAATGATGTTTTCGCTTCAGCTGAAGAAAACAAGGAAAAGAATCTGACGGGATGTCTGCACTCTCAACGGATGCATTTTCCGTGCATCACCCGCTTGTAACGTCATAGTCTCCGGGTGGTTCGGGAAACAAGAGGCACAGTACCCGCTTAATGAGACGATGAGACAATAACTCGCCTGCTGAAACGATGAGACAATAACTCCTCAATAGTACGAACCAGGCACACAAGAATTTTTGTAACAAGGTATTTTTTTAAATACAATAGGTCTTGGAATACATAAAATATGAATGGGTTAGGATTCTCCCTGGATTGCAAAAACTCTTCCGAACAATTTCAGTAGAACAGGATGATCCACTACTCCTTTTTCGTCAACTGACTTTTTGCCCAACCTGGGAGGTTATCATAATCGTCCAACCAGGCTTGTTCTTCGGGAGTCGACTCTCGACCCTTTTGCTCATTTCGATGTGGGTATCGTCCAAATCGTCTCAAGACTGCCACGTGGTGCTCGGCAAACTCCACCGCTTGGTCCACCATTTTTTGGGTATCGGGCCATCTCTTGGCAACGTAGTCATACATGCGAATATCAACCCCATGAAAGATGGCTTTCTCCTGGTGCGAAAGGGCGACCCCGACAAAGTAACAGTCACAAAAGGTGACATCTTCCCTGTTGACAAATGCCGACAGGGCGTCTTCCGAGATTTCTGTTTGTTTGTCATCAGTGACTTGCAATAAATATTCCAAAATTTCCTTCACCTGGTCTTCGTAGGCAAAGGCTTCGGGATCGGCCCGAAAGGCATTCCGCACAATTTGATCAAACAAGACTATCTTGGCGATCAAGTCTTCATGACTATTCTTGTCCAATTCACTGGCCGAATGTTTGGCACCTTCACTTCGAATCAAGGATCGGAATGCTCGAGATTTTTCGTCCATGGCATCACCACCAAAGAACCAATCGTTCATCTGACTGCCAATGTAGCTGGGATCGTTCATGTATTCTCTGCTACCATCAGGAGATCCTCCTGGTTTTGGAAACCAAAACGAAAGAACATCTGGTAACGTCTTGGTAGTAACTTCTGCGGAGGATGATGATTCCTGAGAAGGTAATGATGTAGAAAAGAGATTAGACCCAAGACTTGTTGGCTTATTGAGCCGTCCAAATTGGTTTTGAATCGGACTCGGGGGCGATGATGCTGATGCTGTGAGAATCCCAGATGAAGTCACAATCATGCGAGATGCTGCGTTTGGCACCATCGCACTTGCCGGTCGTGCCACTAGAGACCACAGAATATTTGCAGTAGCGACAATCGCCGGGGTGCTGCTTCTTCTTACCGTCATTGTGTTGAATAACTTTTGTATCAATGTAACAAAATGGCGGTGTATATTATATGCAGTCGCTGTGCCCATAGAGATTAGATATTCGGTGTGTTGAAGAACAGATTCGAACATTTGCTCAAAACCACATCTTCAATGATGACCCGATATATGAATATGGCGCTATAGAATTCCCTCATATATATCGTCCCTCAGAGCTACCGGTATGCTCTTGCTGAGAGATCGTATTGTATATCGTCCCGCTGTAAATACCATCACAGAATATAAGTTGCGTTGCCATGCAGCAACATCATCAACAAAATCAACAACAGCAGCATAGTTGGAAGACAGTTTATACATACTACGTTTCATACGACTTCCAGCCAGTACTAGGACGAGGCAGTATGGTGGGCGCACGATGCTTCCTTCCTTCCTGTTCTCACTCCTCGTTGCCGTTCTTGAGAGACCACTGGCGGTGGAACGGGAAAGATTTCTGCTAAGAAAAAGCCAACATCCATATCCTCACCCTCTCCTTGTTGGTACAATCGCATAAAATCTGTTGTTTTTAATTCCTTTCCTCCTGGTGTTATTTTTCACAGGAATTCCTTTCAGCTCACCTTTTTTGAACTGCGTTCCTTCTTCTTCAGTCGCGAACATGTGGACACACATATAAGTACGAAACTTTTGGGGCCAAAAAAGTCGTGCTATGTGCTCTGAAGAACCAAAATCTATACCGTGCGGAACAACGAAGTTCAAGTATTTGATACTAGAGTTCAAAAGCGCATTGAAACGGCTTCTCATTCCTCCGCTACGCAAGACATGCAAACATCTCACAAAAGCAAAGGGGAGAAACACTCAGCTTTAGCTTTTAGTAGGAATGAATGATCGGAATGTTTTAAAAGTGGTGGTATCTTTCTATCGCCAGAACTTGTACCATATGTTCAAGTCAACTGGATTCTCCTTCATCTCTTGAATGGTTCTTGGCTCTAAGAAAGCGTACATCATAAGGCTGCTGGATACTTCAACGTAGGGGTTGGAAAATACTGGTGATCTTGTCTGTACTCTCCTTATCAACGAAAGCGCATCCGGATTGTTGCGCCTAAAGGCTGGATGCGAGTCTGTGCACAAATGTTATAACGGGGGCGAATGATGTAAGGTTGTGAATAGCTAGTTTTCAATTGGACACTCAAGACGTGGCGCTTGTTCTTACAAATCCCTGTTTGTCTTCCCGTCCGAACACCAATGAATCCATGGGCGCGTAGCATTCGTGTGAAGGTAGCATACTTCTTGGTATTGAAACACCTGGGAAGAAGGTCTCGTTCGAACTGTTTGAAATCGTGCACTTTGAAGGCTGCGCCGTGGTTCATCCAGGAAGTGATGTCGGTCCTGCCATTCTCTTCGCACAGTTGCAACACCTGGTAGACCTTTTCAGGGAACGATAGACCAGGAGGAGCGGCAGCTCGCTTGGTGGTCTTGTTTCTTGCCTGATTGTTCACGCAGTTTCTCTTCATTTTCTTGATCATTTTAATTTTGATTCAGAAAAATGACCAATCGTAAATTTTCAATCCTTGTTCGTCTATAGCCAGCGGTTTTCTTGTTTCTAAACTGAAATCTGTAGTGATCATTGCATAGTGAGACTTCCCGTTTTTATATCTTCTGTTCTGGATGCGCCCGGATCGCGATCATAAAAAAAGCACCAAAAGAATATACGTATATCCCGTACCGGTAGCTCAAAAGCGACGTGATGGTATATATGTATTATGAGACTATCAGGTACTGTACCTTGTACGAACAGAAACTCTTCGATTTTATCTCGTTACATCAGACAGCCTACAGAACAAGAAAAGAACAAAAGCTGCAGCTTTTGCAAGGAGGCTTTAGTACTAAATGTCGCTAAAGCAGACACCGAGCAAATGACCGCAGAAATGTTGCTCAACTTGCGAGATACCTACGAATTTTAGGCTCAGGTTTGTTTAGAGTAGCACTACACGTACCACTATCTACCAGGCAGGGCAGTGTCTAGACGGCATTATTGTTTAAAAGCTTGATCCAGCGCAATGATGGTCGTGATCACACCGGCACGCTCCAAAGAACAAAACTCTTCGGTGAGAATGGTAGTTGTTGTTTGTCGGTGATTTATGATCACCGGCAGGAGGGCTACTAGGCCTACGACTCTCTGATTGATGGGACATGATCCCACGGACGCCCGAACAAATCTATCCGTTCACCATTTTTTTAACAGTTGTTAGCTATATATAAACAATAAGTTTGATGTGCTTGGAGTATGAATGTAAGGTTGAGTGCGGCGGGCGCCCAGTACCCTCATCATTCGAATGAGGAGAGCCTTCCCAATTTTTTGAACAATGAATTGTGTTGTTGGATATATTAGGTTTTTCGGAGTACATATTTGGAGAACGAGAAAAAGAGAATGCATGTGAGCGATAGAGAAATGATGTCGATTGATACGACTACAAATGAAGACTGATGCGACTAAAAACATCGAGCGTGGCGAGTCAGAAAACGGATTATATTTCTATGGAAATCATCCTGTTGATGATGTAAGAAAGTAAGATTCAAGCAAGAACCAAAGTTGGATACTAATCAAAGTACCGACTACAGTGGAAGATGAACGGATAAAGAGATTGAACTTGCAGCATGTCAGGCTGACGTAGAGAGAATTCTGAGAATTTCCACT